TGTAAGCGCGAAAATCCGAGACCAAGAGCGCAATGGTCTTGTGCATAATGATTACGGTGGAAATTGTGATAGAGTAATAGCTGGTTGCGCATACATATTGGTACGTACATTTTCCGAGTGACCAAATAATCAATAATCAAATCATTAATAGTCACGAAATCAAAATTTTATTATGCACACACAAATTTTTGGTATTAACTTCTGTGAATAAACAAAAAACTTCCGCGGTTGGGGATGAGGTACGTGTATCGGGCGTGACACACCCTCCATGATTGAGGTGCAGCTTCTCAAGATGTTATCGCTTAGAAGAGAATTAGTGGAGGAATGAGAGATGGCAGCAAACACTGTCTCGATCTTCTCCTTTGTAGCTCCTCGGAGGAGTTTGGCTCCCGGCCAAGACTCGATTCTTCTCGACGGCATGGAGCGAGTGTATCATCAACCACCTGACAAGCTAGATGCTCAAATCTGCATCACGAATCAAAACAATGTTAATAGAGACGGTTCCTGGTACCGAAATTTTCCATTCAAATACGTAGGTAGGTTTCTACAACGATCAAGAATCTAGAAGTTGAGCGCAATTTAGGATGTGAAATAACGACTGCGCTTACCTGAATGCAGAAGAGATGAGATATTAACGGCACTGCACTTTGAGAAATAAAAAGAACAGCAGGATTTCACTTTTTCAGTTATCTGAATTGTAAATTATATCACTTAGGCTAGTAATACTTTCCTTGGGTTGATATATTTACAATATTACTTTGACAATTTTCCAATCAGAAATGGATTATTTGCCTCAACTTTGAAGTATCAATATTTCCTCCAATTATGCAATTTAAATTCAATTGAAATTTACTCGAACTGAAAATAATGAGAGCATTCAGCACATTTTTCGCGCTGAGGAAACGAATGCAGAACTTGCGTGCTCGTACAAATGTCGCGATGCTGTCCCTCTCGTGGACGGTGGCGGTGCGCCGTCATTGTTGACACTGCGGCGGGCCAGCGCGTCTTGCGGGTCCCTGGCGTCCGTCATTAGCGCGTAATGAACTAACAACGCCCCTGGCGCGGCCGCTGGCCCTCCTCCCAACGCTCTATCGAATTCCAATCGGAAATTAGCTGCCGTTTCTTGGGAAATATCAGCGCTTGCAATGAGGAATATCCGTGCATAAAAAATCAGTTATTAAATATTGACGTTCCATGAATATTTTGTGTCACCGCGTTATGAATTAAATAAATTTCGATCGCTTGTGTGGGTCTATAGATGGGATATATTCCATCATAATTAAACTTCAAAAAGCCATCTGCTTTATGAAAAGAGTTTCCGACATTTCCTCTTTCGTCGATTCGATGTCGGATTGAGAAAAAAACTTCACTGTTGATAGATACCATAAAAAGTCCATATATTCTCGTTGATTACTTTCAGAATGGACCGCCAAAGAGCATCGTGGTTCTCATTCGCCATACCGCGAGAAAATCAATTAACCGATCCATCACCGCCTGATTACGAAGAGCAATCATCGTAAAGAATGCCTGCCACGGACGATGCTTCGATATGACGGCATCGACGATGAGCTTGATAGCTGCGGTGACGCTCAATCTTGTGTACATGCCGCTTCGTGATGCGATGAAATGATCCTTAAAACTAACAATTGGATCCATGAAATGTGAACACGAAGCATCGTGGACTACATGAAAATTTTTGCTGCACAAGTGAAAGCGTTAATTTCAGTCTCATTTTCGAGTAGCGAAAATAGAATTAAAGTAATGATGTGTCATGATACAGGTGTTCCTTGATTGGTATCTCGGTAGATACAACAAAGCCATGTGAAGTTAGTCTTAAATAACTTGAAAGTTATTTATTCATATGGACATGGCTAACAAATGTACTCAGAAATATTTTTACAATGATGAAACAATGAAACTTTTTCTTTGGATTGTTTCATTGAACTACAAGCCGGTCGACCAATCCAATAAAAGAATAAACATTTTAAAGATGTTTCAGCTACAGACACTGGCTGATGGAAGGCCAAGAATTAATGTGTCGAGATAAGGACGATCACTCATGAGATGCTGTCGAGTGTAGGTCGTAAACTCGTTGGTATATTGCGAATACATTGAGACACATGTTTACACTGAAGTGAATACTGCACTAAAATTGCAATGCATAATGCAATGAATCCGAAATGCATACTGCTCTAAAAACACTTTGCCATTTGGCATTCATGAAATATTCTGAAAATTTTTCAGCCGTCTTTTAATTATAAAACCTCTTAACTCTGGGCAGTCCTGGAAGTTCATATGATGTTCTTGTGACGTTGATGGAGAAGAAAGTTTTGGTGGAGATTACACAAAAAACTAAATAATATTTCAATCATTTTCCATCTGGTAGTCCGAGAGCTGAAAGGGTGATGTGAATTTTAATGCGTATCTAATGAAAAAATCAGCATAAATACGACATTTTACACGACACGTGTTATATTTCTAGTTGGAAATTCTGTTGTTTTATCACAATTTCCAAGGGTTGCGTCAGGAGTCCGGGATGAGTGCCAGCCAGCAGCTGCGGACGGAAAAGCTAACGACGCGTGAGTCCGGCCCGCGAGTCGCTCTTTAGGAGGTCGAGTTATGGACAGCCGGCGGAACAGCTTTCCTTGCAACAAACGAGCCTACGCCTTTTGGCTCCAGCCTGGGCTCGCTGCTCATAACTTTGAGCGAATCCTTTGAGAAAGAAAATTTGTATCTACAAATGCACTGGCACTTCCTTTCTGAAATTCGTCCACGAAGCTCGTGCGAGCTGTTTTTTAGGTTGTTGTTGAACAAGCCTTTTCTCAGGCGTACTTTTGCCGAATTCTTAGTTTTACTTACAAACGAGGTGTGTAAATTTAATTCAAAATTAATGCAGCTTCGAAGCTACTTCTAGATAAAATACAAAAATCCAGGGAAAGCGTAACATCTATCGGAAAAAAATGACTCCAGGATTTCTTTTGGAGCGGCGGAGTCGTAAAGCTGCACGTAGAGGCAGAGCCTCCCTTAGAACGCTCACTGGGTTTCCAGTCAAATGTTCCTTAAGGCGATGATGAATAGGAGGGAGAAGACTAGCGAGATCTTCTGAGCCATTAATTTTGCGTCAACAAAGGACATGGCTGCTGGTATCGCACCGCCGGAGCTCAATATAAAATTATAAAGCGAGAATGGCGTTAAAACATGCCCATCGATCCGACTTTTATTTTACGACACGTCAACATGTTTTTTTTTTATCATGTACTGCAATCAATTTCATAATTTCATAATTTGCATACTAATAAACACAAATTTGTTGAATCATTACTGGAATGTTTTGAAAAATAATTACTAGCTCTATATTTCATAAGTTTAGTTCACTTGAAATTCAAGACCTCATGTCGGCAAGGAACTGAGTTCACAAATACATTGCAGATACTAGCATCAGAGGCTGCGTTCGGACTTCATCGTGCGGAAGTGCATGGTCAGTTAATGGTCGTGGGTCAATTACCGCAGCGGAAAAATTAGTCAGGTATTATGCAAAAAGTTTCAGTCTATTTTGAAAATTTTCCACGTATTTTTAAAACTGTTCAGTTATTTTTCTAATAATTCAAGAATTAATTTAACGGTTTAGAGGTAATTAAAGGTTTTTTCTTAAACTATATCATGTTGCGAATACATGGATGTGCTTGGGTTTAGCCAAGATCAATGAATAAGGCCAAGTGAGTTGCAAACAAAGCATATAAGAAAATGGCTATTGAAGATAGAAAAATCTCAATCCAGGAGGGAAAACCCAAACAGTCATGATGGTGAAAGAAAAACCGCTTGCTAACACAATTGTCTCAAGACACTACCAATGTAGTTAAAACTTTAGCCAAAATTAAAACGATATACACTGCTGTGGTATTTTCTAAAAATAGTTCAGTTGTTAAACCTGAATAATTGCTCAACATAAATATATATAAACTTTATCTCATTTCTGAACTTAATTTGACGAACGCTGGAACACACGTAAACCAACTAAATCTCAACGAGGAAGTGATATTCATCCACGACTAGACTGGTCACAGTGCTGCATCCACGACTAGTCTGGTCACAGTGCTGCATCCACGACTAGTCTGGTCACAGTGCTGCATCCACGACTAGTCCTGTCTCTTATACACATCTAGATGTGTATAAGAGACAGATCCATGACTAGTCTGGTCACAGTGCTGCATCCACGACTAGTCTGGTCACAGTGCTGCATCCACAACTAGTCTGGTCACAGTGCTGCATCCACTGAACGGTGCTCAATAACGTTCAGAAAATGGCGTTCGAGCTCCACTCAATAAGAATACGATGATGGAATATGAGAGCAAACGATTAAAAATTTCACTTAAATTGCAATACGGTAGCTTTAATTATACACCAAAAATGATATAGAGCCTCTATATTCAGGACCTAAGAAGTAAAGTTGATATTGGAGATCTCCTGTTTATATCTAAGATTATAACAGTTTCCCTCGCGTTCACGGTTAACCAAAAGCCAAGCCAGTTGATGCTCTTACTCAGGTGAGAAATTCTGGCTGTCTGCGGCTGACGCTCACCGCTGAGTGACGCGCTAAACACGCCTTTGATGAGGTTACTCACTGACGAGTTGCTGGTGTTAGTCAGCGCCTCTTCTTCATACGCTTACTCAGCCAGCTTTTGTATCTACTCCGGGCCTCGACGACGAAAAAAATTGAGCGATTTTGCCCGTTTTTTCAATTAGTATCTGATCGATGACAATGATGGGGTTTCATGTATACAACTCAGCAACGTTGCGAAGAAACTTATTGTCCGTATTTGCTCTAAGATATAAAACGCTTTTATCTGATATTTTGTATACACTGAAATTTCTCAGTTGGTGACAGTTTCGTATCTGATTCAATACTCAAAAGCGGAGACGATCTCACGGAAGATAACAAGTGAGATTTAAATAATTAACCTTAACTCGGTTCACTAAGGAAAGGGCATTAAAAAATGTTCATCCAGCTATTTATTTATTTTTACATCGAATTTTAAACACTAGATATAGTTTTACACTCCTTTACTACGACTACTGAAACAATTTGCCCAAAGCATCGACCGGCCATTGTTCTGGTCCTCAGGAAGTGATCGTTGAATTAAGGCCAAAAATCCCACGCACATGCACCTCAGTCGAAATTACAATTTTATTTATATCAATATTCATCACTTTAATATAGAAAATTCAATAATATTCAACTCAATAGTAGGATTCATATTTGGAGGCTAAAACCCATAAGTGTATCTCAAGAACCCTCGGTGTTATCGGCGAATGGATTGAAAATTTGAAGACGTACTTTCCCCTTCTTACGCTACTTGCAGAACTGCAGGCCTAATAATGATGACTACAAGTAAGATATCTATAAATATAAGATTAAAAACATGCGGAATAATTGAAGAAAAATAGCTAAATAATGCAATGAAATTGCGGCAGAGTGGAGTTAGTGATTGGAATTATTATTACGCATTTATTACGTGAAGATCATAAGTTATGAGAGTACCAACAAGCCATGGTTAAACTATATATAATAGTTCAACCATGCCATCAAACAATCATCATTTTGTTGATCTGTTGCCGTCATGGTGACCGAAGAATGATGCATATCATCCAACGCGTACATATTGTGTGGAAAGACATGGTCAGTAGATCATTCAGTCAAATGGTTGTCTTGACTCTGTGAAGCTCAACTTTTAATATTACGAATTTATGAATTTTTCCTCTTGGTCTTTGTAATTGCAATCGAAGATGGAGACAACTATCTGATATTTTAATCAAAGTTTACAACTCTTTGTCGGAGTGGTTAGATAGAATATAGCAGCAGTATTTTGTTAGGTAAAATAGGTCACAGCTTGACCTCATCGTAACTTTACAACTTCAATTAGATATTGAGATTTGAATTGAGAACGGCATTAAATTGGCCCTCGTTGATGCATAGTAAAAATGCATGCTCGAGATAAGGTTATACGAGACGTATGAAAGAGTAAAAATGCATGTTGAGTGCAGGTGCAAATAAGATAAGAAAAATATCAAACAATTGAGTGAACAAAAATGAGTTTTAAAATGCACGGCTGTAATTTGACGAGAAAAGACTCTTGAAAAGAACAAGCAATGCCTTGCGAGCATTGCAAGGTTCATTAACAGACTCAGATCGACGCATGTTAAAGAAGTTGTGCTGAAAGAACACGCGTCGAACACAGCGTAGCATTGAGCATACAGGCTTCATTCAGTCGGTAGACGAATTACATATAATAATAAGTTAAGAAAGCATAAATAATGTCTCCTATTCAACCAATAGTATATAACCCATATAACCTGGAGCACACAGTTCAGCAACCCCCTTACAACCCTCCGTCACTTCAATTATCGGTAAACTCTGTTGAATACATGGGCTAAGAGACATCCTCAATCTAGTGGGAAAATTCATTTCTCCGGATTAAAATAGGCTAGAACGAATTTTTTAATAGATACGCGTAGGTTATGATAGTGGAACTCACTAGTCTAGATGCTAAGGACGCAAATACTTTACGGCAATAACGTACTTCGTAGCCTTTAATACAAATTGCTAAACTGATGGGCAATTAATTGAATACGGTTCATTCTCGCAGAAAGATCGACTGATTTTGTCGTTACATTGTGTCTTACCTTACATAATAACAATAATCCTTCATACTAAGCCATATCATTTCATGATAAAACCACAGTAATAACTTGAACGACATGAGTTTAATACTGTTAATCTGATATGAATACTGGCTCGCTAGCTAATCTAGGTAACGTTAAGACGAGGAATAGTATCCTCTATTAGCATCACACATTCACGTTTCAATCACATAGAGGACTAACATTTAACCCAACGCACGTGATGGTTGGAAAGCCTCAGAAACATCCAAGACACAATCTCTTGTAGACACACCAAGTGATGGCAGAGTTGAGGCGTTCAACCGCCATGGGGACGAGGGTGGCCAGCTCTTGCTTCAGTTTATTGGGACGAAGCTTTTAGCAAGCACATAACTTATATAACCAATACCAACAACGAAGGTTTCTTTAGAAAAAATGCTGCTAACGAGAATCAAATAAAATTACGTGATAAAAAAAGAAAGAAAAAACATAAAAATTAGATAGTGGATCTTGTCTTCTATCATTAATGAGACGGGAAATCATAAATGTCATTCATGATAAATATAAATGAGAAAGGAAGCTGAAAAGCACATTGCAAGTAATCTCGTCGCTAAAGCCATACCATTGAATTTATGTGAATTCATGATGGAGGTAAACATGCCTCCCCAACATCAATACCAACTCTCTCGTAACGTAGGCAGCTCAGCTCAGAACATTATAGAGAACTTGTGACTCAGTTGAACTTAACACTACAGAAGGTTAGAAATGCATTGAATGAAGGGAAATCAATTATAGATTTAAGGAAAGAACTGGCCACCCTAAGTCCCCAGGAAGACATATTGGAAGACAGTCGCAAGGACAGAGCCTTAATCTACACTTATTTGCGCTAAGTCAGAGCAACATTCCACTATAGATACGAACGTTCAACTACTACAATAGGAGCAACATCTCAATATCTTCTAAATTGTTCACTAACCAAGTCACTTCATAATCACTCCTAACTTACGCTATTATTTGGGTGGTCATTAAATGATGCGCTGTAGAGCATAAGATGTTAAATTAAATTTAAATCATGACCAAGTTCTTAACAGTGTGCTGTGTAGCTGCTCAATCTATAACTTACATTGTTCACCTTGTATGGTAAAGAGCAAGGATCAATCATATGACATATATAAAGTCGACTGTGCTTATGCCCCTAAAATATAACATTAAAAAATAGAGAAAACGAAATCGATTAGTTAATGAAAATCGATTTTCGTTAACCAGAAAATTTTTTTCATTAGAAATAAGTGTTTGAAAATCAATTGTCTAGAAGTACTGAAATATCAAATAATCAAACATTTAATTTTCCTAGAGTCGCAGAACACACAACCGCAGTTGTCCGCTTGTAGGTCTAAGGAGGGCTTAAACGTTGAAACTTATTTAGTAATCTAGATAGTTCTTTTCATACAGTGGGCACCTAGTGGAAGGAATTAGTCTGCTATACGGAAATCGAATTTAGTAAACCCATACTAAATTTATGACAATCATAAATACACGTAAATTAGCTAATACGTAGAGACGTCGATGCAACTCAGGATGGATTAGATTCACTACGACGTGAACAGGACAAGTTTTCAGTGTCGTAAAGGCCTGATTAATTGAATAGCGGCTGTTCGAATCTACAAGGCTAGCTGGTCTATTCTATTCACGATTGCAGCCTGTATGCTAAACGCTCTTGCATGCTTCTCAGTCAAAATTATATGAATGATTACATTCTACAAACAAATGCAAAAAGCATTAGGGAAAGGATTCATATTGACACAGAAACAGCAGTGAATGATTTTGCGACTTACGGGAGTTTCTCTCATAAAGTCAGAGTTATGATGAAACCTTAAGGAAGGGCAGTAAATCAAAGGCTGTTTACGGTAGCGGTGGCGCACCAGCAACAATTCGCCCAGAAATACCTCACAGGGACAGCAGACAGGCTCGTTTATGCGGCTCACACATGCACTTCAAACAAGGAGCTTTGAGGAATGCGTGCACAAAGAAGTTAAAAGCGTCCAGAGTAATGATGTTCAAAAAATAGCGATGAACGTGAATTCAATGATTCACTTTAGTGTGTTCGGCATTCACCGTGCCGATTGCATTCTGGAAGTGGATTTCGGCAGCAAGGATTCAGAAACTACTTTACAACTTTAACAAAAATATTTTCCACTATAATATTGCAGTAGAAGCGATGCAAAAAAGAGTAAAATTTCTACTGACTAGATAGCAACACAACCAAACACAAATAGAAATCACATTAAATGTGAAAATACGAGATCGAAGTCAGATACGGAGGGGCCAAGGTGCAAGTCCGGTCGCATTTTCAGTCTAAATCTACGGAATAAATGTATAAGGTCAACAAATAAAAGCATAAAAAGGTGAGGATACATTTATTGAATGAAATTATTCAAGCAAGAAAGTAAATGGCAAAAGATACTATTTACAAATATTAAAAATAAGTACAGCAATTAAGGAAATTATCATTAATCTCAGACATGACATGGGCGTTTCTTCATGTATCTATTTCCTTGTACATGCATTTAGATGACCATGCATTGATACTACAATTGTGGCAGTACAAACATCACTACAGGAATATCATTAACATCATTGAAAACATAATCAACTTACAGTACCGTCAGTGGTGCAATAAAAACTGCAATACTGACGGTGCAATACTGATGAAGTCTTCGATGAGGCAAAAATTCAGTTGCAGCTTTAAACTTTCCAACACAGATAACATAGAGCGCAAAGTTGAGAAAGATCAGACTTTAAAGTTGCAAATATTGCAACAAAAATATAATTTAAAGCTGTCAATTTTACCGTCCACCACAGGGAACCTTGCCCTCATAATGAACATAAAATGCTAGCGTGCATGTAAGGCGTCGTGAGGTATAATTTAATGTAGTCAGCGTTGTGAGTACACCGTGGATGACATCAAACTCTTAACCTAAGACACAGCAAGTAGCTGGAGGGAGGCTCTATTCAGGATCAATATCACGCAACGACTTCACCCTAAGAACATTTGATCTATTTAAATTCGATATATTCTATGACGAAGAGTTTCACCGTATATTGCTCATCTCGTTAAAGCATCTGCTTTCACTTATGAATGTAAAACGCTCAAGAAACTATTTTCACCCTCATGAGCTCGGAACACACTAATAAGCCACAGAATATATTGCACGATCCAACACACGTACGAGCCTCTCACTTATTGCCGCTCTTACACGAGCATAAGTCTTCTTCCAGACGCACAAATGGCCGATAATTATGGAAAATTCAAAAGATACTCGACTCTAGTAGCCAAGACCGAGCTGAATATTTACTTACTATGCTGCCCAGTTTTGATGATGAATAAAATGCTTGTGCAAGAACATCTACAAGAAATTTATCAGTAAAATTATGGAAGAGGATATTGCATGAATTGTATCAAGATTGCCAACCAATTATGCTAAAGATTTCAGCATCACAACAACAGAGACGCTTCAGAGAGTCCACCAGACACTTGAAATGTAAACGTCTTCATATCCAAACTGCCACATAACACAACAAGAACAGTAAGTTGCCATCTTGTAACTCACTCCAGCCGACGATGCTCAGACGAGAGCAGATCAGTGTTCCGTCATTTGACGACGACGCTCGATATGACGAGCAAGGACGTGGTCGTTTTTAGACGCTGAAATTAACCCTGCTGCTGCAGGACCACGAGACCACCGACGGTGGACAGCGACGACCTCCCCTGCATGAGGAACGCGTCCACCTCGCGGGCGGCCTGCCGGCCCTCGGATATCGCCCACACCACCAGGGACTGGCCTCTTCGGCAGTCTGTACCGAGAAGAAGAGACCGTTTTATAACGTAGTTTTCTGTAGTTTTAGATTATTCAGTAACTTATATACTGTTTGTGTAAAACCAACAGAAGAAAATAATGAAACGATTCTCGAAAAGTTGAAAATACGTACGTATTTGTCAAAGCTTGTGTGTTTGTGTCAATGTTTGAAACCTGGCGCCGTAAATATGTATATAGGAGCGTTAGGCTTCAAAGACCAAAAAGCACGTATCCAGGATACTTATCGTGTCGGCGGCATTCTTTTTATCTGAAATTATGTTACTCTTGGTTTGAATTATAGGTCATTTGAAAACAGGGAAAACGAACGGTGAATTGCGAATTTTTTTATAATTCAAAACATCGTATATTATCCAATAGTAAAAAATTTAAATTAGCTACGGATTTCGAAATGCGAGGTAAATGCAGAAGTGGGCACAGTCCGGTAATTGGTAATTAGCGAAGATGACGTTTTCCTTATCGTTCGAATTTCTCGTGCCACACTAATGGCCGACTACGTCAACATATGTACGTCAACCAATCACGTCTTGGATAACAAAAGACGTGATAGGTTACACAAGACGTGATTGGTTGACGCACATATGTTGACGTAGTCAGCCATCAGTGTGGCGCACCGGCTAAGGAAAACGTCAGCTTCGCTAATTAGCGGTTAGCGGACTGTGCCCCCTACTGGGTAAATGCAAGTTCCAAGTTAAACAGAAAATTCATTAAAATAGCGTGTGTTAATTTAAAAATTTTTAAATGGTTCCGGAATTTAGGAAAATGGCATTCGGAATAATAGAATTCAGGAAGAGAGATAACGGGATTTTCAGATTGTATAGGATTATCTATCCCGGTCAACGCCGGTAAAAGCTGCAAGTATCTGATGAACATAATACAAAAATATTCCAGTTGAGTAGTAGGCAACAATTATTGCAGTAAGTAACATTACCGACAGTCTTTGTCTAATCAGCGGCGTATGTAATAAATGTACATTCAGGAGACATAAGTGCCCACAAACGCACGCTTATAGAAATTCAAGGATACACAAACAGAAAGAGGATGCAACTAAATGAAAATACAGGCAAAAGCTTTTGAATCTCACCTCCTGCTGCGAAAACTTTGCTGACCGACGTAGCGTATTTGCCAGCAGGGGTCTTGATGTTGGAGCGCGGGTCCTGGTCCAGCTCCAGCTCTCCGATGATGTCCTTCTCAGGGCCCAGGAAGCCCATGGCCAACAATATCAGATCTGCATCGTACACCTGAACAACGAACAACATCGATGAGAATTCTTTAACTATTCTACAGATCGTCTAGTAGCATATCGGGACAAAAGTAACTTGTGATGATTCACTGTGTGCATATTCAGTTTTATTATTAAAAATAATAGATCAGACATGTAAATTTTTTTTTGAATATGAACGTTTCTGCGATGGTAATAAGCAAGTTCCATAAAATAACTGTAAGTCCGCTATACATGCGGGCTTGTCTGATAACGAAATAAAGTTATTACTTGCATAAACTGATTATTTCACTCTTCTCACCTTCTCGGTACCAGCAATTTCGTCCATCTTCCAGCGCCCGGCATCGTCCTTGGTCCACTCGACCTGCACCGTTTTGACGCCCTTCACGTTACCAGCTCCATCGTCCAAAAATTCCTGATAAGGAACATGGAGCCTTCGTTAATTTGTAATCAGTTAATTGACTTCTACACTAAAATCTTGACAGATATACCATAAAAACGAATGAATACTTACGTAACTTGGGAAACTTACCTTGGTGAGGGTGCTGTACTGGCGAGGGTCGCGGCCGAACTTGAGTTGGACCTCCTCGTGGCCGTAGTCCACCTTGAAGACCCGTGGGTAGGTGGGCCAGGGGTTGTCGCGGCCGCGGGATGGCGGAGGCTGAGGCAGGATCTCGAAGGTGGTGATGCTCTTGGCTCCCTGAAACGAATGGCCACCTCTTTAAGAATAATCATTGCGCATATAATCGAATGCATTTGATGTCTCATGCGAGCTCTAAACTTGCTCTCAAATATGAATTATATAATGGAGTCAGTATGATAAGGGAAAAATACATATAACCATGGTCATAGCTGTATTAAATCAGACAATACCAAAAATCTTCATGGTATTGACTTATACATGGTATACAAAATTTATCTCGTATGGTCTATACAAGATCCCTGAAGGGTTACTAGAATTTGAAACAAGAACCAACACCAGGGGCCACGGCTATAAGCTAAAAAAATTGCGCTGCAATTTCTCCACGCGACAAAATTTTTTCTCGCTTCGAATCACCGACATGTGGAACAGCCTCCCCGATGACATCGTTGGAGCTCCAAGTATGAACGCGTTCAAGAACAGACTAGATAAAGCTATGGAAATTTATATGTTCAGATTTGAAATGCCTGGCTCCTTATCGAACCCGGTGGAAGTCTAGTAGCTACTTCAAACTATCGCCAGTCATGAAAAGATCCGGTCAAATGACACGAGTTTAGATCTATGAACAAGGCACGAAAAGGAGAAGAATCGGCGACAGGCCACATCAGGCCTACATTTCAGCGCCGACATCATTATGTTATGTTATGTTAACAGTAACGCCAGATTAATACGTCAATTTAATACAGTCGAAAGAAGTACACAACCATTATTTATAACGAAATTAAACGCGTGCAGCTAACATACCTGTCGAAGTGAGGTAGCAATGCAGTCACAGCCTGTGTCACCACCACCAATAACAATGACATTCTTGTCCCTGGCGGTGACCCGCTCTGTATCCAAGACGTTTCCCATTTGTTTCTTCTGCCACGTCTCCAGGAATGTCATAGCAAACTCAATCCCATTGAGAGACCGTCCTGCGATGGGCAGGTCTCGTGGCCAAGTAGCGCCCATGCACAATACCACCGCGTCGTGCGAGTCCCGCAGCTCTTTGGCAGAAATGTCCTTGCCCACGTAAGCATTGGTCTTGAACTCCACTCCTTCGGCAGCAAGCAGCTGCACGCGCCGCTGGACGACTTCCTTGCTGAGTTTCATGGTGGGAATGCCGTACTGCAGCAGACCGCCAATTCGGTCGTTGCGCTCCAGCACCGTTACACTGTGGCCAGCCTAGAATCGAAGAGAAATATTAATTCATTCATATTAATCCACGTAATAAAATCAATGAAGCTACTAAATTTAATGGGTAAGCTTGCTGCAGATAAATTTCATACGAAGACAATCTTAAACGTAAAAATCCCCTCTAAAATGATTCACAGCATCCAATCCTGAAATATATCTAGAAATTTTAAACACGAGTGAAATTGTGATAATAAGTACTTACTTTGTTGAGCTGATGGGCGGCTGCAAGGCCTGCCGGACCCGATCCAACAACAGCAACTTTCTTGCCCGTGCGACTCAGAGGTACTTCGGGCTTGATCCAGCCTTGCTCAAACGCATGGTCGATGATGGACACTTCGATGTTCTTGATGGTCACTGGCAGTTCGTTGATGCCAAGAACACAAGAGCCCTCACAAGGTGCAGGACAAACACGGCCAGTAAATTCAGGGAAGTTGTTTGTTTGCAGCAGCTGCTGCAGCGCTTCCTTCCAGTTGTCATTGAAGATTAGATCGTTCCATTTAGGGATGATGTTACCGAGCGGACATCCATGAGAAGACTGGCAGAAAGGAACTCCACAGTCCATGCATCGAGCAGCCTGTGTTTTCAGACCTTTGCGTACATTCTCATGGTTGTAGATTTCGTCCCAGTCTTTTTGGCGTGCATCTGCATCTCTGTACGTCTTTGTCTGACGTTTGTACTTCATGAAACCTCGTGTCTTGTCCAAGATACGCTCAGCCTTGCTCTTGTCCATCTGCTGGGAGTCGGCAATTGTGTCTTCTATGTCTTGAACGACGGGCTCATTCTTGGCAGGTTCCTTAACAGGCAGCTTTTCTTCTTCTTTCAGAGCTTCACGTTCAGCAATCTGACGAAGAGCTCTCTGATACTCATAGGGGAACACCTTCACGAAGTTGGAAGCTTTCGCAGGCCAGTCTGATAGGATGTCTTCGGCCACAATAGATCCAGTCTTCTCGACGAAAAGCTTTAGTAAGTTCGCAACATATGCGAGATCTTCTTCCTTCTCCAGTGGTAGAAGTTCAACCATTGATGTGTTGCACTTTTTCTCCAAGTTTTTGTCGTATACGTAAGCAATGCCACCAGACATACCAGCAGCAAAGTTTCGTCCCGTTATTCCAAGAATAACCACAACGCCCCCGGTCATGTACTCACAACCGTGGTCGCCAACACCCTCAACAACAGCCACAGCACCCGAGTTCCTCACAGCAAACCTTTCAGCTGCGATCCCGCGGAAGAAAGCTTGACCACTCGTGGCGCCGTATAAGCACACATTTCCGACGATTACGTTCGCGTCCGATTTGAAGTTTTCAGGAAGATCTTTCTCAGGGAAAATGACAACCTCACCTCCGGACAAACCTTTTCCGACGTAATCATTGGAATCGCCCTCCAAAGTGACATGCACGCCCCTAGAGAGAAAGTTACAGAAGCTCTGACCGGCTGAGCCTTTCATGGAAATGTTGATGCTGCTCCCTTCAGGCAGCCCTGCATCGCCATACTTCAAAGCAATGCGGTACGAGAGAGTGGCTCCAACTGCGCGGCACTCATTGTGAATGTCCAATTTGATATCGACCGATTTTTCGGTTCCTTCAATTACGCCAGCGGCTCGTTCAATGAGGATATTGTCAAGATGTTTATCTAATTCGAAGTCCTGAGCCACGGAGCCACCCACGATGTTTGTGCCAGGGCGCAACGTGAGCGCATTCTTGAGGATGGCGGAGAAGTCGACTGTGTTTACTTTGGCCATCGAAGACTTGCGTACGGAGAGCAAATCTGTGCGTCCAATGAGATCCTGGAACTTGCGAATGCCCAAAGATGCCATATGCTTGCGGACCTGAACAGAAAATTTGTATATAAGTATCGTTAACAATTAACCAAATTATAGAATGAAATTTCAGCATTTCAATTAACAGTCGAGCCGATGGTTTAGAAATGCAAAAATTCTGTAATCTTGCCAAATAAACTTAAAAATTACCTCTTCAGCCAGCAAGAATAAGTAGTTGACCACGTGCTCCGGCTTTCCTTCGAACTTCTTCCTGAGTTCTGGGTCCTGCGTTGCTACTCCGACAGGGCACGTGTTGAGATGGCACTTGCGCATCATGGTGCATCCCATGACGATGAGGGGTGCGGTGCTGAAGCCGAATTCGTCAGCACCAAGAATGGCTGCAACGACCACGTCGAAGCCGCACCTGATTTGACCATCAGCCTGGAGCACGACTCGCGAGCGTAAATTATTGAGCACGAGCGTCTGGTGGGTCTCAGAGATGCCCAGCTCCCAGGGCAGACCAGCGTTCTTGATGCCAGTCCAGCTGCTGGCTCCCGTGCCTCCGTCGTGTCCTGATATGGTGATGTGTTCTGCCTTGCCCTGAGCGTATTCAACCACCGTTATCCAAGTTACCACAGTAGAAACGAACAAAGTAAGTGAATTTCTATGAAGGAATTGAATCCAAATTAGGTACTTTAATAATTAGGCAGTTTAAAAATTATAGTGTTGAAATTTTACCAGTTGTACATTATTTTTGCTCAAGTTTTTCAAGCCGTTGGCCTCTGAACAGTAATTGGGAGTCTATACCATACCAAAAAATAAAACGCTAAAAATTTGTGATAAAAACGCAGGTTGAAAATAGTCCGCCTGCAGTAACTTGAAAAAGACTTCTATCTGATTAAACACACCTAGCGTCAATACATGAGACTGCTAAATATATTGTACCTTCGCCACACCAGAAGCTACGACGCCGACGCCGACTTCGGAGACGAGCTTAACGGAAATGCGCGCGTTCGGATTAGAACATTTAAGGTCGTAAATGAGCTCAGCGAGGTCCTCAATGCTGTAGATGTCGTGGTGTGGCGGAGGGGAGATGAGGCCCACGCCAGGAACAGAATGACGGGTCTTGGCGATGCCATCAGACACCTCACGGGGGAAGATCGCAAAAATTTCATAACTTTTCAACAGGAAAATTTCTTAAGTAGACATTGACAACTGCCCCTCTGGCGTGGTTATAAGCTCAAGCTATGAATGAAGCTAAGAAATAAATTTAAATATCGCATTTTGGGCAACTGATCATACACAGGAGCGATATATCGACATCGATGACTTATTACTTTATATCCAGGCAGCTCTCCGCCCTCGCCAGGCTTGGCCCCCTGAGCCATCTTGATCTGGAGTTCGTCGGCGTTGGCGAGATACGCGGCGGTGACTCCGAAGCGTCCGCTGGCCACTTGCTTGATGGCGGAGCGGCGGTTGTTGTTCGGGTCCTGGTTAGTGTAGCGCTCGGGGTCTTCGCCTAGAATCATAACAAATTTTGGTGCATTTAAATTGCACCGAACCAAAACCCGCATCTTAGATTGTCTTTAAAATTTGTCTTAATTTTTTTATCTTAGATTGTGTTTACAATTTGTGTTACTTTTTTTATTGCTCGATAAGAGTTAGGATTAGGAAAATTGATGTTATATTTCAACACTATTAAGGAAAGAATCATAATACATTTCAAAGATATTATTCGTATGTATACTAGAAACAAAATTTGTAAAAATATAATAAATTAGAACGAAGTTATCGTACCTCCTTCCCCGGTGTTGGATTTTGCCCCCACGCGGTTCATGGCGATGGCGAGAGTGGAGTGAGCCTCCATGGAGATCGAACCAAAGCTCATGGCGCCCGTCACGAACCTCTTCACGATCCCAGACGCTGGCTCAACCTGGACGAACAATGAATTAAGTACTTATGCCCCAACGTTATCTTAACAACGTATTTGCAATGATAGTTGTTTTGGTAGTTGAATAAAAGACTATGAAATAATAAGATATTTCTCCAATAGAGAGAAGAATAAAGTACCAAAACTTGTCATGCAAGGAACGCCAGATGTCTCACCTCAGAGATGTCAATGGGCGCGGCGATCTTGTTGAGCTCGAGCTGCCCCCTGAGCGTGCACTCCCTGATGCTCTTCATCGTGTGCTCGAGGAACTTGTCGTACTCGTTGTTACTGTTGCTGCGTGAAGCTTCCTGCCAACACACAATCAAAGCATTAATTTTGTCCACACCATACCTTGGCATCCTCCCAAGCCATGAATTAACCGTGAAACTTGTCAAGACAGCAAACTAATAAGCATTTATAATATCAATTCAACGTAAAATTGATTTTGCAAGTAAGGAATTAATTTATCTCTAAACAAGGAAGTCTTCAAGGAAGCATGAATGTCACATGCCAAACCTGAAGGTGGGCCACAGAGTCAGGGTCGTTCATGTGCTTCTCGCCACCAGCCCGCCAGTGCAGGAAGCCTGGGTTGCGAAGCGTGAGAGTGTCGCACTCGCGCTCGCCGTACGCCAGCAGGTGTCGCTGGAACTGCTCCTCTGCCACCATAGCCATCGTCACGCCGCCCAGACGCGACGCCGTGCCCTGAACGTAGGAATTTATTACAATAATTTGGGACCATCTGTAGGTGATTTATGTCACTTTATGAAATATTCAAGTGGGTGTATCTGATGCAGTATTCAAAATTGCAGAATGATATTTAAATAAAAAATTAGAGATATCATTTTACGATAAAAGCGCTGTTAAAGTGGGTGTTTCAATCTCAAAGTTGCATTGAATTTAACTAAACAATCGGGACTGTATTAATTGAATAATAAAAATTTCACATGTTTCATTGAACCGCAAAGATAGTTTTTAAGTACTTGCAGGCGCATTAAAAAATTCTAAAGAGTAGCTGGTATCGAAACTGAGACAAAAAAAATTTATTGGACGCAACCAATAACGATTTGTTTATATTCACTGTGAGCATTAATTCCCTGGAAGAGAGTGTACAAGTAACTTACCTTGAAGCAGGTATCAATGATCTCAGCCGAGATGCCAACGGCTTCAAAGATTTGGGCGCCTTTGTATGACTGAAGCGTCGAGATGCCCATCTTTGCCATGACTTTCGACAGACCGCGGTCCATGGCAGCGCTGTAGTTCTGTAAAATATCACTACATCAAACTCGAAGCATGGATAGTTGGGGCTATAATCAAAATTCATTATCCCTGCAGTAGGCGCTTTCAATTTACTTCCTTTTAAAATCCTCTTTGAATTCAAGAAAGTTTTAAAAGTTATTAACATTGATGCAGCGCTCGTTCCATGTTACCAGTACTTACTACATGAACACTAATTGTGCAGTTGTAAATAAAATACAGTTGGAGACCCACACGAAAATGAGACAAAGAATGTTAAGCAAATATACCTTATATATTGTGTGATCGTCCAGGTCCTGAGGTAGGACTCCTTCCTCCCTGAGAGACGCCATGGTCTCGAACACGAGGTAAGGGCACACCGCGTCAGCGCCATAACCCACCAGCAGGCAAATGTGGTGTACCTCCCTATTAACAACAACAGGTAACATGAGGACAATTAATTAATTAATCCTCATATGAGGACATAAAAATAAGGTAAGGTAAAATGATAGCCAAAGAATAGGGACGAATTTTCTACCTGGGTCGAAAAATTTCCAGTCTTGCATGTATAAGATGAGATAATAATGAACACGAAAAAATAAAAATCCCGTTAACTGAGTTCGGAAGAGCATTCGAAATTGAATTTTAAAAATATGCCCATTTTGAATTAAAACATACAAATGGACAAAAATTACTCAGGCACAAAATTTTTTGTGAAAATTAAAAGTAATGTTGGACAAGTTCATCAGAAGGATTTTTTGAGAAACTTGAGCTAAGAGGGCCAACTCGTTGAACCAAAACCAGTAACACGAGCAACTCGAGTAACATTTAATAACAATTTGACATTTGAAGTTCAATTTCTCAATCATTCCTCATTATCTAAATTCTAAGTGAATTTATAAGACTATGGTATTAATTTTATCTCACCTGGCCTCGCCCGTCTCGAGGACGAGACCAACTTTCATGCGCTGGCGCTTCTCGATGAGGTGGTGGTGCGTGGCGCCCAGAGCCATCAACGCGCTCACCGCAACCCTGGAGGCAAATGGTAATATTATCAAACAGTAAAACATTCATTGGAATAGTAAGAAACATGTTCAAACGAAGTAATAACTGAACAGAGCTACCAAATCGATTCTGATAGATTGAGCTAAGTTGGCTTTACATTAGTAGGAGTTATTTAATTCCGTGTTAGAGGTGATACCCAAGTAGTGGGTTCCCAAAGGTCGTTGAGGTCGTCATTAATACCATATAAAATTATGTGTTATAGTTAAATATTTTTAAACTGTTTACTATATTTGGGCGCACCTGTCAGGGCCCATAGCGCGGTCAGAGAGGACAAGGATCTGGTGGCCCTCCTTGGCGGCGACGCAGGCCTCGTCGCAGACGCGCTGGATGGCGGCCTGCAGGCCGGCAGGTCCGTCGCTGGCAGGGAACGTAATGTCGATGATCTGCGAGCACCAGTTGCGGTGACGCGTCGCTTTCAGCACCTGTCAGCAAGGAAAAAAAATTCCATATGACTTTCCACATGCGTTTTTTTAGAGTGCATGGGCTTTGAAATCTTGATGCTTTTAAACAAACATCAACTGCGCAAGTTTCAGCAGATGTTAAAACATTTCAGTAGTAGTCTGAATTTAATCCAAATCCCTAAACTTCTTTATTGTTTAGGAAGGAAAACCAACACATTCATCAACTAGGTGGCAATTGGTTGATCTTCTTAGGAAGTATAAGTGAGGCTTCACACAGCAGAGTGAGAATCTCCTCGCTCCCAAAAGTCTCTGGCTGGAGCACTGAGTTTAAGATTCTTGACTGAAGGGAAAAATAGAAAAATATAGGTTTCTAAAGACGAAAGGGGATGGAAGAATTGTGGGATGTAGTGTGAAAAGGCCGTGAACCGACAAAGCTTATGTCCTATGAGCCATATTATGAAAAGTGACAGTTGGAATTTAGGATGATCATTTTTTCTGAAACAAAATTTTCAAAGCTATGAAAGTAAAAGGTCTATCTCATCCACGCTTATGACAGAAAAATATAAGGCAAACAATAGTTTACACCGAGATAAAATATTCTATGCACAACTTCGATTCTTCCTCCAAAATTATAGTAATGACTCTGAAGCTAAACACCAAGTCAAAGGCATGTAAGCGCCTGACCTGCAGGTCGTTGAGGGAGAGAATGGGGTTCTCCAGGAAGAGGCGGTGGCACTGCTCGGCGCACGGCTCCAGGATGTTCGCTTGAGGACCTTACGGGGGAAGTAAGTGATGATCAAACAATAAACGAAAATAAAATTATTCATTTCATGGAAGAAACAGCTCACATTGGGGTGAAACATTATAGACTAGACAATTAATCGAAAAGCATTATAGCAACAAAAGTATGAGCAGACATTTCAAGTTAGGTTTGATCCTAAATTTGATTCTATTAAAAACGGACTTTCTAAATGAAGTTTGCGAAAACCTAATAATGTAATAGTTACACTAGTGCATCAAATGAGGCGATTTACGAGGAGAGAATGAAAGAGAACAATGGCTGCTCACAGTTTAATGGAAATGCTAATTCTAAGTATTGCCAGTCAACACTTTACAAGATATATAGAAACACAAGCTAAGAACGCAAGCGTATCTCACCGATAGGACAGGCGAGTGACATGACGATGCGCTCCCTGAAGGGGTCGATGGGTGGGTTGGTGACCTGAGCGAAGAGCTGCTTGAAGTAATCGTACATGAGCGGCTGGTACTCGGATAGACACGCCAGCGGCGCGTCGTTGCCCATCGAACCCAAGGCTTCCTTCCTGTGAGAAACATGAATACGTTGTGAATTAGTTCATTGCCGTTCACACTTAAGATTAACTTAAGAATCAATTTAATAAGACTGTTGAACAAAATACCATGGCTAAATTTCCCAAATAATAACAAAAACAAAAACGTAAAGGAAAACAAAATAACGAGAGGAAGGCGAGACTCACTCAGTCTTGACCATGGGCAGCAGCAGCATGCTGATCGTCTCGAGAGTGTAGCCGAAGGCAGGCAGGCGGCGGTCGCCTCCATATGTCCTGGTGACGCCTTCACCCACGGGGCTGGAGGTGGTGGGCGACGTGACGGGTGTTTGGTGCTCCATCGTAGGCAGGCTGCCTTCGTGCACCGCGTAGAGGTCAGCCATGGTGAACTGTAGCGCGTATGGGTGAGAGGTACGACAAACAATTTCGTAAGATGCAAGTACAATCGCAATTTGGGGTTCGATTATTATATCGTACATCAAGATTTTGTATATACAAATGCAGCGGAATATTAAAAAACTTCTTTTAAACAAGGTCACCAGAGCGCTGTACGCGCATCTTACGCGATGCACGTACAGCGCTCTGGAAACAAGGTCATTTAGTACTTCTGCAAACTAATTAAGCAGCGTTCACAAAGGTGTAAGAATTGACTAAAGGGGTGAGGCCAAAGATAGAGGAGAAGCAGTAACATACAATAATGACGGTTAACGGCAACAGATAAGAAATCTAAAATGATTTTAAAGAATCCGAGAGGATTCCGGGTATAGAAAAGTTGCGTGCATGATTCCTTCAGGACAAAACGTCAACGGATTTCGATATAGTCTCCGTGAACGAGATTTTTGCTTACCATCTAGATTCATCCGAGTGAGCATGGGAGGAAAATGGCAGAAGAGTTAATGTCAGAACACTTGATTATGACTCGCTACAATATACATATTAATATACCCGTAAAATCCCGTGCTGTGCTCATGACACATTGCCGAAGACTTTAAGGTAGAACTATCTATGAAGTTGCTTGATTTCGCCTGAAGCATGCATTGTTCATTAAGAAGTATTTATCTTTCACGCGATTCATCACGAGACATGATCAAATCACGATTTAGAATCAAAATATATGCCACATTCAATAACGCTACTCATTTACCAAGCTGACAAATGCACTGCAGAAGATATCGTCAGAAGATATATACCTGTTCTTTGATCCACTCGGCGTGAGGCCGAGATCGTGCGATCTGCAGCTTGAGTTCCTCGTCCTTGCTGACGATCTTCTCGAAGGTGTCCACGAGCAGCATACGGCCAGGCTTCAGCCGACCCTGCGCAACACACAACAACACGTGTACTTCCCGCCTACCCGATACCCAAATTATAAACTCAAAAGTCCAAAACTGCGTCGTGTCCAGAAAAGGATAGAAATAATGAAGCCAGACACGGACTAAACAACTTTGATGTCACAGGTGATTACCAGGTATCCACTTTAACAGAGGACGTAGAACTGGGGGATTACTGCGTTGTTTCGATTAGATTCACTTCTCACTTTATAAACCGGTAATAAGAAATCAATCAGTAAGCATAAATGGATCTGCACTTTAAGTCATGTTTGAAAAAAAAGTAATAAAATGTTTCGAGCGTGTAGCGATAGTGCTGTTTATTCATTGAAATAAGAAAAAAATGCACCAACTGTTCGTAAGCATGGGACGTTGAAGCGAATCGATCTGACATTTGATGAATCTTTTCAATTGGCTGGTCATTTGAAGCCGGACCGCGGGACATACCTGCTTTGATAAGCCGTCGTCATCGGTAATGATTCAAATATTCATGTAAACCACGTGAAAACTTTGAGAACTTATAAAAAATAATTGTGTGAGCAATAGGAAAAAACACTCCGGCCTAGCACAGGAATCTGTAAAAAGAGGAGTCAATGCGAAAAAAAATTTCTTGGGAAGTGCTGATTACAAAAAAAAATTACTCTGATTCTCTGCTCGTTATTATCTCAAAAATTCCTCCAATACATATGGGCTTTGCGGGGTTAACAAAAATACAAACGATTAAAGTAGTAAATCCAATTAAAAGATAAACATTAAGAAGGATCTGTAGGACATGTAACGTTAGAACTGTTGTTAGTCGTAGGCTTTCCTGCCATGAAATAAAAAACACTTCGCCTCCTAATACCGAGATTAATCATTAATCATGAACATAAAATTTTTTGAGTTAGGCACTGAAAGAAAAAAGGACGATGACGTAGCAGCTGGTAGGAATAATCAGAGTTATGATGCCGGTATCACGATATGATTCCGCGCCTGCACACCACATGCAAGCGGTCTTCATGACTCCGCCATGCCTTTCAGCTCCATGATGCATGAAGCAAGCAACCACGTGAGCTAGGCTGCCCAGGAGGTTACCTTCGTCAGGATATTGGACGGTTCGGTGTCATAAACTCCCACTTCGGAGGCCATGACGAGCACCCGGTCATTGGTGACATAGTAGCGCGAAGGGCGAAGACCGTTCCTGTCGAGTCAAAGAAAATGGTTAGTGACTAGCACGACACGCGGGTATAGCCAACATTGCACACACTGCGGGTTGCCGTAGCGACAGCAAAAGTAGAAACCGTGAGCGGTGGAGCAGGAGCTCCGCCCAAAACCGGCCTCTAACAAACCTGTCTGAATTTGTAGTCAATTACGGAATTACACACAAATGCTCCCACACACGACAGTTTTTTTACGTCGATACCTGGTTGAGGATTCAATTCGAACTAGCTTTGCTAAACGAGTTTTTTTTTCACATCGTCAGCGAGTGCTCATAAATTTGATGGGCATTAGATATTTGACGACGGTAAAAAAAAAGTCATGTGGCAGAAGACTTAGCTGGAAACAATAAGACAATAAAGAACAGAAAAAAATAGTGAAGATAAGTGAAGTGGAGACCTTCTACGATGGTTGGTGCAAACTACTTGTTAAAGCGAAACTTAGAAGATAATAAGCTCGGAGAGATAATAATAAACCAGAAAACCAAAAACAAACGAAATGAAACCGTAAAACGACGCACAAGATGGTTGACAAAACTACAACAACTCAAGAGAGTTTGTCAAGCAAACGAAATGTTAGCAGAAGACCATAATGAAAGGTTCACGAGAAAGATGCTCATTTATGAGATTTTGGCCCTCGATGCCAAAAACCTTGGACGCGGGAATGCGTTCTGGTATTGAGAGTGAGGATCTATGCACATTTCACGTCAGCTACAAGAAACACGAGGTGTCGTCGAGAGCCCATAAGTGTAAACATACTTGCAATTCATTCGTGTGATAAACGAATGCCCTACGTAAGCTACGTTGTCTGGGGTACCCGTGGAAGTGAATTATAATTCAGATCACACGTATCAGGTCCAGACAATGGGACCCATCATCAATTTCATGCACAAAAGTAACTGGATTGACAACAATATAGAGTGATAGTCGAGTGCCTCGTTTGTAACTCGAAATACAGGAGCTCAGTCTAGAGGTGTAACTAAATATAAAGTGATGCAGTTGGCTCATTCGCGCCTGTATATAATTGATTGATTGCAACATACCGTACAGTCCAGAGAATTTTAGTGAACATTACAGGATCTCACCTCGCACAAAATTGAAGGTTATTGTGTGACGTATACACTCTTCGCGACGAAAGAGCATCGGCAGCTGCCATTAACCACTAGCCAAAAATAAATTAATTCGGAAAAGAATGATTATGAAAGAATGTCCACTCCGCAACTTCCTGATACATACCACCGGCCCAACAATTAGAAAGTGATAGTGGAAGATATGTTCATTGAGTTGTAACATGTCATAACACGACAGATATTGACTAAGTCTTCTATAATAAGATTAATTGTTGAAATTTAAACGTGAATCACTTTCGAATCTCTGGTTTCCGATGGTATATTCAGCCCATTTCACAGCGAACTTTAATAAAACCTTTGAATATTAACCTGTCGAGGATGGCGCCGATGTATCGGCCGTCAGTAAAGGTCATGAGAGCGGGGCCGTCCCAGGGCTCCATGGCGCAGGCCGCCCAGCGGTAGAAGTCGCGCTTCTCAGGGTGCATGTTAGGGTCGTTCTGCCACGCCTCGGGCACCATCGTCATGATCGCCTGCCACGCAAAATATTCTCAGTGAATTTCACTGAAATAAAGAAAAGCTTTCAGGTAAATTTCTTTTAAAATCCATGAAAAGCCAAGATAAATGCCACTGATAAGGCAAACTTATGCTCAGACCTCGTGCCAGGGTTAATTAAGTGATTTTTTCTGACACCATCAAACTTGCCTGCAACAGAATCTAATAATTCAAGTATAATTAGCCCACATTCTGCACATCCATACCGATATCCATAACAACTATAAACTAGATGCCACCCACATCCCCCTACATCCACACCATGCCGCCGTCAACCACACCAGATACCACCCAAATTCACATCTAGCGACAACCAAATGAATACTAGTTTCCAACCAAATTTTCGTCAGATGTTACCAAGGTTCGCACGAGATGACATCCAATTCACACCAGATGTCTCCGACCTCAGCACTTGATGCCAAGGTATTGAATACCAGTTACACCAGTTGCTTGTCATACCCACATTTATACCAGGCACTAGTCATATTCACTTGTCACTACATATCTCACCCATATTCACACCAGGTGATAACCACATGTAGACGAGATGTCGCTTGCCTAACATCATGATGCCATCACCCACATTCACACCAGTTGGCACCATCTTTCTCCACACCAGCATGCATTACCTCACTCAACACAAGATGCTAACACTCATACTCACACCATACCACCAGCCACATGCACAAACTTATTCACACTAGATTGCACCACCAACATCACCATCAGATGACACCCAAACATATACACCAAAGTCTTCTGAGACTCTCACTTCGGGCAGGGAGCGGCCGCCTGCCATGACCAGGAACTCGAGGCAGCAGTCGACAGCGCCGGAGTCTGAGAGGTTGGGCTCGACGACGGGGTACAGCGTGGGCAAGTCTTTGCCAAACACGGCGCTCTTCATGACGCCTTCACGCGCCGTCATCAGGTTTACGTTGCCACGCAGCGTGTTGATCTCGCCGTTGTGGGCCATCATCCTGCATCACGCGAGTAAATAAGTAAAGAAAGCTTGTATGTTATTCATACAGCGTGGCAGAGATGTGTGGCTGATGAGTTGAAGTAGTCAGACGAACGAATAGAAGCCTGGGGTTAATTATGATATTTGCAAGTGAATCTCAAGGGAAAGGCCAACTAAATAGCAAACTTCAAGACACAAATTATTCGCATTTCAAAGAATATTTTATTTTTTATTATTGAAATTTTTATCTATATTATTATATTATTTATTTTTATTTATTATATTTTTTTGGTTTACTACTTTTTTATTTGATGCTTTGTAGTCAGTGAATGGGCTGCAATAATTACTAAGAAAGATCCAACCGTGTCGAAAGCTAGCGTCGTCATGTACATACGATGCCGTTGCTGTACTCGAATTATTATATCATTTATTTTTATTTATTATTACTTTTTTATTTGATGCTTTGTAGTCAGTGAATGGGCTGCAATAATTACTAAGAAAGATCTAACCGTGTCAGGGCTTTGCAATTGTATTGTATTAACACGCTCTCATCTATTAAATTCAATCGAGTAATCATGGGAACATTTCAAAACAAATCACTATTGGTTAATAATACAACGGGTGGGATCGTGGCGAGTAAAATTTAGATGACCTGAGAGGATGAGCTCGCTCCCAGGAGGGGAAGGTGTTGGTGGAGAAGCGTGTGTGCACCAGGGCCAGGTACGTCTGGAAGTCAGCGCTCTGCACAAGTAACAAACACGTAACATACTTCATTTCCATAACGATCTACTAAATATATTTAGGTATTTGTTATGAAAATATTGAGTGAATGCTGAACATAGGCAGTCAAAATGTAGTCTCTGTAAATATAATCAAATAAACGTGATATGAATTAAACTACTTTTCGCATGCAAAATATCATTTTTATTTATCAATTTTACCCAACATGACCATGAGGAAAAACAACAAAGACGCTTCAAACGATAACGAACATATAATAGTCGCGGCACTCACGGCGAGGTCGAGGAAGTATGTCCAGATCTGATCAGACGTGAGCTGCCCCTTGTACACCATCGTCGTGGTTGACAGCGAACACACGTAGAAGCGGCGGCCGGGGGCTGGCAGGCGGTGAGATGCTCGCTTACGCAGCACCCACACCTGCAACCACCAAACAAATGAACAAACTTATCCACTTCTAGAACCCACTTCTGGAACCCACTTCTAGAAACCCACTTCTAGAACCCCTTCTGGAACCCACTTCCAGAACCTACTTCAGAAGCATACTAAGGAAGTGGAATTCTTAGGATTGTTTGCTCTAATTATCACTATAAAGCTAAAAGTCGCTGTGTCTTTACCGATCATTGAGCAGATGGGAAAGCATGGATAGCTTTGTAGGTGACGAAGAATTTAATTATCAATGACTAACGATGATATAGGAATCGCAGCCCAAATATAAATCATTGAATTGCTGTAAGTTGGCGAAAATATTACCATTTCTTTGATACAACGTCAAAGCTTCAACGCGCAAGTGATCTTTAAGAGACGTGGCGCATGGAGTAAGAGGCCCGGCAGAGGGAGAGATCAATAACGGCAGTGAGCCGAGCAGAGCAGACAACCCGTGCGCGGTACAATTGTTCAATTACCGCCCACACAATTTCCTCGGCATTTTGCCACAGGGCGATGCAAAGTAGCTTTTTATTAAATACGATAGTCCATGTAGCCGTCGTAACTCCAGAGAAAAAAATAGTATCACGGAGAACTAACTCATTTTGTCCAGTTCTGTGAGTTTTCCTGAATAGGTTAAGAGAATCTAGCGAGGGTACATCCATATGGAAGCAAGGAAAGAACCCCCAAGGTTCAAAACTGTTGTTTGCAAAAACTAGCAAAAATCAGGAAATAATATTGTGAGCCTGCGTTAGCTAAGGAAAACATAAAATAGGATAAACGACTTGCAGCAAACTCGTGAGCGGTTAGCACGTCACGAATAGCAAGATAAGCTATCGTGAACAAGGCATTAGTCGAGTATAGGGTGATAGAAGAGAATCGATACAGTAGCGATACTATCGTCAGTTCTCACAGAAGTCGATATCCCGATTACTAAGTCAACATCCCCATGTGACAAATACAGAAGGAAACCAAAGTCAAACGGTATTGAACATTGGCATGTATTTAGTTTCTATTATAAGTGAGCCGAGTAAAGATAGAAAGACAGTTTAATAATTCGTGAATTTACTGACGTATCTAATTTCAAAACAGGCAGTTAGTATTTGGTGAACATGTAGACTTCCTGTTTTCTGATGGACGGTGGGTAAGTAATCATTGCTCCAGCTCAGCGTAGACCTTCATCGTTAGAGATGTTACAGTTACGGCAAATGCAAGGTTTATGCGTCGGGTTGCATATGAATAAATACAAGAGCGCGAGGTGAAGGAGTCGGCGAATGTTTCATGCGGCTGCCCGTTAATGCCACATTACGTCGAGAGTGATGCTCCACAAAAGCTGCATAATACACCCTCGTTGGGCCACAAGTCCAACTGCCTTCGACTTTCCAAGAAGTACAAACTGCAATGGCTAGTTGCTTCAGGCCTTTCAGATCAAAGTAGAACTCAAGGTCTAAAGCTAACATTTGAATTCAAGGTATTAGATAAAGTACAATAATAATAACGGCTTCTCACATCCGTTCATTCAATGTATAACAACTTTGATAGAAACATATAACTAATGTTCACCTGTCTGTGGAAGGCGTGGTCGTCAAGATCATCAGGAGGGATGACGAAGACCTGCATCTGGAGAGGCTCTGTGCTCTTGGCCACCTTGCCCAGCACGCTGCTGTCCACGGGCACCCGCCTCCAGTGCAGCACCTGTACGCCAGGTGCATCGAAATATTTAGAGTTTCAATTTCAAAATACCATGAAATGACTTTTGACTAGCTAACTACAATGATCTAAAATTTCGTTTCCATTTACTGTAACTATTTGAAAAAAATATTAATTAAAGTTATTATGATGAGATAAGAATACAAGCTGGGATAATGCAAATCCTTAGAGCCGGCCTTCAAAATTATCAAACCAAGGATAATTCCTAAAAAGGGGTAACCCCCCTCCCCCTATCGACCCCCTCCCCCAAGATATAGCGCACAGGCCAATGGCTGCGCCCCCTCGATTAATCGGCGCCGATAAGATAAGAATGAGCTTCATACATCAGAGTTTATGAGCAACGTGCGCTCTAAAGTTCACATGGCAATGTACCCCAAGCTATTGCTTGGTATGAAGAGAACCATAGACTCTGTGCAATCGAGGTCAATATTCTATTTCTAGACAGTAAAAACTCTCTTGGATAACGCATTGCAGCGTCTTTGATCTCAGACGGAATAACATGGAAGTGATAACGGTAATGGCATTTTATTACACATAATTGTACGTTCTGTAGAGTCGTTCAAAGGGAGTGCAGCAGGTCAAGGTCACATGTCGAAGGCTGAGCAGCAGAGACAGAAGGAAGGAGCAGCACGTGAAGAGAATCTTGACAAAACCTCACCGCAATAAGGCTCTGTTCGTTTGAGGTAGAAATGGTGGGAGGGAGCCCGTTGCGACACATGCATGTTAGTGTCCAGCAATGTCGCTATATCTCGAGGCTTACGAAATGAGATTTGTTCAACCATTTGTCTGTTGATGCGTTAATCTTCGCCAATACTATTCTTACCATGAAGCCAAGAAACTCGAAATATCGTTAGTAAAGACTAAGGTGTGAGGCACCCAATGGACACCAGTGAATAATGGAGAAACGTTCATTATATCAAGAAAGTTCCAATTGCTACAAAATTCTTCACAATATCATGTCAGGAAGTATAAATGGCATGTATTGGACATGACCAAACACTCCTTGATTACTGAGAAAAAAGACAGCAGGCTGGGCCTGAGTCCTGATCCAGCAAGTCGTGCGCGGAGTCGAACAGAAAAAAACAATCGCCATGGTAGGACTCAAGTCTTCATGTTTAGCAAATGAGAAAATTTTGCCTTTTCGCGATACTTCATTAATCGTAAATCATGCAAATAAAACGAAATGGAACGCTCGTAATATCAAGTCTCTTGGTAACTTAACACTGGTTAAGACGATCGCTTCGTCCTCGATTCATAGCACGAACTTTTTACTGCTTATCATAATAACTTTTTATTCATTGAAGCAATTCATGGTCCGAACTGAACTCGTCCTCATGACAGTGAAGGCTATTCGTGATGGCGGTGGCGCAGCGTGGGCTACAATTATACAGGTTCAACTATTGAGCGAAACAGCGAGGGCACGCGAGGCGCTAGAAGCTTCATGTCCTCAACACTGCATGGAATGCGGCGACTAAACGTGATGGCATAAAATAATTCGTCGTACCGTTAAAAGAGAAATAAAAAATACTGAACGTAATAAATGTAAACGAAAACAATTAATTAGTATAAAGCTCTGAAGACTTGCTGTGCACTGTACAGGCTCTAGTATCTGACCAGCACCGCTCGCTGATACAAGACACCTGCATGTCCCGCTACGAGCGCTGATTTAAATTGAACGGGATAATGAAATCAGTCATTATCTCTGAAGTAGCTTAAATAAGCACTGATATTTTAATGCACGAAAATCGCCTTCACTATGGAGGAAAAATGCAATTTATTGCATAGAGATTCAAAGAATCTCCATGTTATTCAGATCAAGGTAAAACCTTGGGAATTTCACCGCAGTGCATCCAATACTGCGCTTCTGGAACCTAGAGTGAAGACCAAATGAGGCGATGGAAGCCGGCCGTCACCGTTCATGGCAGAGACGGCGCAAAGGGAATAGTTTCATAAGATTGATAACACGGGAGGGAGATATTTCCATTCCCCCCCCCTCCTCCGTCCTTGAATTGGACATCGTTTTGGATCAATACGGGAAACCGTAGGCTTGACGTCACTCGGCAACAGCCAATGGGAAGCTCGTGAGGTCAGGTCTCTGAAACACGCCCTCGTCCATCGATCGCGACTTTTAACCTCGCTACGAAAAGGCTAGAGTTCATTCACGGTATTAAATTGCTCTTAAAATTGCGAATTAACTGACACACAAGCGTGCAATTACATGAACGCGTATGGAATACACATAAGAAATTTCTTAGAATCGCAAGGCAAAGGCAGCGGAAATTGAGGTGACAATTCATATTGTTTAAAATCACGTTTTTTATCAATCCTACTATTAAATTAATATCGAATTTAATTTAAACATATGATGCAGTAGTTTCCATTTATAGCTTCCACACCCACAAAACGCGAAACGCAGGACACGTAAATTCCAGTCAACTGGGAATGCTAAACGAATGACACTTGTGGCCGTATTATTCATTGCATTATACTAAACAAGTATCATTGAAAAATATAACTCATTTCATCACCACAATAATAATTATTCCCTTTTTAATGCAAGATATGTGATAGTTTTACATAATAGTTGAGAGTACATAATAGTTGAGAGTAAAGTTGATCATATTCGACAAACATAAGATTGTGAAGAAACTCGAAGAATGATGTTATTTACAATCGGCGCTGCATGATACTGCCGACCTGGGGCTAATAAACACAAATAAACGATATTTGACACATAATCGTTGCACGATACTGCCGCCACCGCTAACAAACTCGAAAAAATTATACTGGACAGCGTCGCAGCATTATATTACCCAACCTTGTACTAAAAAATACACATAAATGATTTATGATAGGTACACTTTATTACGTTGCAAGGAGCAAAATTTACACGGTACAAAAATTAAATAGTATAACGATGCAAAAATTATATTTTTCAACGGTGTAAAAAATTACATACGGCCCCGTTACTCACTTTGAGGCCGTGCGCGGTGGCCAGGTTCTCGAACTGCCCCTGCGACTCGACGACGCTCGACTCCTCCAGGAAGAAGATGCCCGTCGCGTAGCGGCCAGGAGCTGGCAGTTCTAAGTCCGCTTCTTTCCTGTGTCATACAAAATAAATTACTGAGGGCGTCCAAGTTTCGTTTAATTAGAAAAATCAATGAATTTTGATAGCAAACTACTAAAAATCACGCTATTGTGTTCAAATAGTTCACAGCTTTCTAGGGATAGAATGCTTCCACGGTCTAAATCGGTCATATTAACCCATTACAAATGAATGAACTCGTTCTTACCCTTGAAATTAGTAACATGGATTGCAGTACACGTCTGAGGGATGGAATAGCCTGTTTTGCCCTCGTCAACAAAAGTCACAGTATCTATGCGTTAAAGTAACTTTTTAAAATCGAAATTAAGTTCAGTTTTATTCAATGAAATAAGTAAATAATGAAGAAGAAACTGTGCTACGCGTTTGATTAAAATCAGTGAGGGTCGAGTATTGGCAGCAGCAGGAGCTCGTATTATTTGCAGGAAGCAGCATTTGCACACAATTACAATGGAAGATTCTCGGCAGATTTCTTGACAAAATAATTTCAATAAATAGACAAATATGATAACGCTTTGCTCTGAAATTACCGTTTTATTCCCCCCATTTTTGCTTTCACGCGTTGTTAAATTTTTTAAATTCACGCGAAAAATTATTCACTGTTAAATGCATTTTCATCGATGTTAAGAATTAGATTTATGCGACAATAGATAATGTGTTCAAATTCGAGTACTGAAAATTAGTAGAACATTCAAACAAATAATGGGAGAATTTTTTTTAATTCTATGATTTTCCTAGAAATCTAATAATAATGTAAGATACTTAATAAGTATTAATTTTGATACTTTACTAATTATTGCCTCTCACTAAAACCTAACACAAAAAATATAACTCAGTACTCACTGCAGTGAGTGACAGAGAGCGCATTTTCTCGTCGACGAAAACTTGAGGTCACGGACGGACCGACAGACGGACAGACGGACGGACAGACGGACATGGCGAGCACAATAGTGCATTTTTTCCATAAATGAGAAAATGCGCTAAAAAGAATACGAAATATGATTTTTCTACTCGGAAACAAATACGGCGCATGAATTGCAATTAATTTAATGTTTAACATAAGAGAATATACATTAAGCATTTATTGTAATTTTAAATTAAAGTTCCTCTGAAGATTAAATGAGGAAACATTGAAGTAAGTTCACAATTAAATATAATAAAAATTTTCAAATTCAGCAGCAACGAGGCAAAATATCCCTTCATTTGAAAGTCAGTGGAGGAGAAAGCTCGTAGTGAGCGATCAGGCAACGTTATCTCGATAGAGGCTCGCCAGCCGCCTGCCTGCGCTCGAGCGCTGCAGATAACGTATACAGTCTGCGCACTGCGTGTACCTTGCAGGTACGTTAAACTGCAGCCATGACCTCAATAGATAAATGTCTAGAAAAAATTACCAAGGATGGCTCCAGTATTCCAGGATGATAATTCCGACAGTAATTCAAATTCTCTAATGACAGCTGTTGTATCTTGAAATATAAATTTTTAGTAAATGTTATAGCACGAACTAATTCAAGCTGTAAAACATGAATGGAAATAATAATGACGACCACAAACTTAAACCAAATTAATTGCTACGCTTGTAAATTTGCCGCATCGTCAGTAGGTGCCGTGTTCCACCAAAGTTAAATCCAATTAAACGTGCTAGACTAAATATTTGTCTTTGAATTCACGAGACATGCTTGAATAAACGTGACGTTCGAGAAAACTCAAGTCAGGCGCGAATATCGTGGAGATTTTCTACACACACGTGTCTTTCTGGGAATGTTTATCAGCTCGCTTCAGTGGCTGCCAACACCAGAGATAACGAGACGGGGAAATGTTGATGAAATCTTACGCTTTGGTTCTGAGAAATTTTCAAAAGTTTAATCAATAAATCGCGGACAAAATTCACACTATTAAACATCGAAAGGAATGAGATGTCTTCGGTTAGGATGGCACTACTGCGCGTGCAGACGCAAGAAACTTGTGTCCATATTCGCTCGAGTGTTGAGTTAGTCAGACTTGCTAGAGGTGACGCATTGCGCCGAACTAACTTTCCTCCAAGTCAACAAAGATGATCAAACTTAGCAAACATGCTGAGTGAATTAGAGCAAGCGTCTGCACAGTTATGTAACGTTTGATGGAATGAAAAAGTGAAACAACCACGAATGTTTCACAGTAAATGGCGATTTGCAGAATGAAAAATAATTCAATGAATGCACAAAAATAATAAAATACATAAAAAACACTTATTTAAGTCCATCAACTTTTATCAATGTAATTGTTATCAAATATTTTCTGATCAAAGCGCATTGATAAAAACTAATGAACATCAAATGTCAGGAGTGGCGCGTAATGGCGGCGTGTCATCCATTAACAAATACGCGCAAGTAATCTGTGTAGCAGTAGTAGCTGCTGCGGTGAATGCACTTCGCACTTGGCTGGTATCCTTGCACGTGTTTTACGTCTTATTAACTTGACCCTGCAGGCTGCTGCATTCATGGGCACGACTGCCGACCTCGAGATTCCGTTCAAATGTCGCAAGGTTAGCGGCGCTGGCGCCACTGCGTCGCCAGTCTTGCTTTCTCTTGAGTATCAAAATGCGCAGCTATTTGTTTTTATATAGCTGGTTGATACGTTGACTGCAAAAATTTACACTTTGACCGCGCAATCCTTTTTTTTATAGTTCGCGTACGAAGGACTGTTAGACGACCTGTATCGGTACTGTCATTAAAAGAGTTTTGTTTTATTATTATATAAACGCCCAGTTTACATATACGCACATAAGGTCATAATAGCTGACGCACAATGTCATATTAATCCTCAATTATAAGAATTAGAAGTGTTATTTTCAATGTAAGTTGAATTTAACTATCACAGGGCCATTATGGGAAATGAATAACACTTGCGGGTGGCACCGAAAGTCGCCTAAAATAAAGCCACCTCGACAGGGTCTCGCAGGCTAACGAGCCTGTACGAGAAGTCCACTTTAGAGCTGAAGAAATGACACGTGAGTAGCCAGCGGCTCGTCGTGGGCGCCGCGTGGCAACAGCGAGTGCGTGTATTTTCAGGCGTCCCAATATAGCGGAGATCAAAGAGTGCGGACAGACCTGTGCATATAGGGGATTAGCGCGGGGCAATTGGCTTATTCCGCGTGAATAATTCACAAAAACACGGGATGTACTAATGCCATAGAATTAAAAGAACATTTGGTAAAGGAAAGTACCTCACCAACGCAATTCATTGGCACTATTCTTTAATAAAATGGACGTCTTACGTGTTATGAAGAACAGTCAAGAACTAGAGTAATGCCACAGTCAAAAAGTTGGGCAGTAACTGCAGGAAGGCACTACTGCCATCCTGCAAAATTAAAATAAACTAATGTTTAAGAAATCGTAAGATGTCTCGATCATTTTTGAAAAGTTATGCGAGTTTTAAATGCTGAAGTCGTATGAGAAGTATGCCGTAAGTTTCGGATATGACAGAACAGTAATAACATAGCTGGAATAGCTGTGTGCCTCAGCGCCCACAGACGCCTAGCATAAAATTATACAGAGATGTATTGTGCGTGAAACGGCTTATCTATGTGTCTTTCCTCAGTAATAGATAAACAAGAAGTTGATTAGATTTGGTTTATTGACTTTCATTATAAACACAAATGCAGCAGACCGAGATAATACCGTTGTCAGCCTGCGCAAAAAAATCGTAACAACTACTACGGGAAAAATTGAAATGTTATCTCGATTCTGTTAAAGAAAGAAATAAAGTAAAAGTATGTTCCAGTGTAGCAATTTAGCCTTCAGTGTAGAAGAAATGGAAATTTATTGGGAGATGAGAACCTGTATTGCGCCATTAAAAACATACAAAGCAACGAATCCTCTTTTGTATTAATCTGAAAATTTTGTAACTAAACTAACTCAACTTTGTTGTAGTAAAGAATTTTTTATGTATATATACGTTCGTCGTCTACAGCAATCAACAGCAACTGTCGGGAGTCTTATCTCTATGAACAATAGAGGGTTGCTATCGATCAGCCCAAGGTGTATAGTCTGCACAGTCTACACGCAGCCTCAATAACCTGAGCGACGCATCACAAACAGAGCTTGTGGTAGGCAGGCTCCCCATAATAATGAGGAGGGGAGCTAGAAAAGTGTCTATAATATGTGCTATCGTCCTACACATCGGGAACAGCCCCAATATAGACCAGCTCTTAGCAGGACTCTCGCCTAACAAGATACCAAACACGTTATGGGAGCAGGCCAGAAAAAGGTAGGGGTAAACTTTGAAGAAATTTTAGGCCTTACACCATGGACGTTACTATAGGTTTTAGGGACAGAGGGCGAGTACAGGATGTGAGTGTATATTTAATTTCGCATCAGCTTACAACAACTTTAGGACAGTATAACAACAAATGCATGAAGTACAGTATGTTTACAGTATTAACAACACTGTATTAATTTTGTTCACTTTATGTACAGAAATAACAATTTCAATAATTTAATATACAGTTATTTGGGAGGCCTAACGTCATATATAATGAAGGCACTGTCCTATCCTAAGGCTTCATGGAGGAAACGACATAGCTTTAAAAACACGCACAATACGTACGGTTTGATTTCCTCAATCCATGTAGACCATCGCAAAAAAACGGTGAAATGGAAATATTTCTCACGAACCCTCTTGAAACAGTTTTCTTGGACCAGAAGCATCAGCCTCTTAACGGCAACATAATTTTGGAAATAACGCTGGATGATCACCAATTTTCATAATTTATCATAATTATGAAAAATAGGAGAAAACACATGATATTTCCCTTGTGCCTAATGTGAAAACTAAGACAACACACGAAGAAAGTGAGGATAGTGAGACGGTCTTATTGTGCTGGTGCAGCAGACATAGCAGCATATTTGATAAACGTCAGAAGAGCTGCAAGACGTAGCAGCATACCTGATAAACGTCAGAAAAACAGCAAGACTCAGCGGTATACTTGATAAACGTCAAAAACAGCTGCTCTACAAGCCTGCACTAGAATACACAGGCGACAGTTGCACAATGCTTCACTTCACCGATTTCATGCCAAGAAAATTCATGTTAATGCAATACAAAAATCTCAGTATTTTGTAGATGCCGGGCTGAGTAACGGTTTGCGTTACATGAATGACCTGCAGCCATCTCGACACCTGCGTGCTCACATCACTGGCAAGCTTTAACATATTTAATTTAATTCACGTAGCGTAAATATATTAAATTGTATAGCGTAAATTATCCAAATTTAATTCACGTAGCCGGGATATATAACGTAAATTATCCAATGATGGCGCTCTCACACGCCGTGGATCATTGCAGCTAATAACGCATATGTGATAGCGGCATGAAATTTTCAATAACCACTGGCCACCATAATTTCCCAATTACGTAAGACAAGATCAACGGGAAAAAAACCACCCTCAACACTGCCATTATATAAACTATAAAAACGTGCTCCAAGATAATTACCGCGATTTAAACTGCTAGAAATAATTCCCTTACACCACATGAACATAAGTAGAATTAGCAGAAGTCCTGACGCAAGATGAAGCGCTAATCTCAACTGAGTGGCGCTCCATTAGCAGAGAAGGTATGCTATAAACCTCATGTAGATGCAATGGAATAACATAAACCCAGTACGTTACGACTAACTGCTAGGTATTGCGCGCTAAGTAAGGAACATTTCTTTGTATAATTGATAATTTCCTACTATTGACCTCATAAATTTATTTAAATTTTTTTGATATGAGACATTTCACTTCTCAAGTTTTTCCTCCACAACAGGACCCTTGCAGGTGATATCAAGTAGCAAACTCACAGGATGGAGCGGTAGAAGGAGTGCGGCATGGCGACCATCACGCCTGCGCCATCGCCGGTGTCGTTGTCGCAGCCGCACGCGCCGCGATGCTTCATCCGCGACGCCAGCCTTTCGGCGTCGCGGATGATCTGCAACAATGGAATGCGTCATTACAATAAAGTTGTTATAAGAAGAAAATTACATTAATTAAAAGAAGAAAAAATGTCATTACCATAAGAATATGAAGTCCTAATGACGACATTAAATTCAATAGAGAATGGTCAAAACGTGCAACAAGGATAATTCCAGGCTTCAAGGGCAAGTCCCATGAAGGAAGATTAAAGATTATGAAGCTTCCAAGCCTCAGTTTTCGACGCCTGCGTGGGGACCTCATTGAAGTATACAAGTATACTCATGGTTTATACAAGGTCCCAGAAGGCTTGTGGGGACCTCATTGAAGTATACAAGTATACTCATGGTTTATACAAGGTCCACGAAGGATTACTAGAATTTGAAACAAGAACCAACACCAGGGGCCACAGCTATAAACTAAAAAAACTACGCTGCAACTTCTCCACGCGACAAAATTTCTTCTCGCTTCGAATCACCGACATGTGGAACAGCCTCCCCGATTACGTCGTTGGCGCTCCGAGTATGAACACGTTCAAGAACAGACTAGATAAAGCTATGGAAAAATATATGTTCAGACTTGAAATGCGTAGCACCATATCGAACCCGGTGGAAGTCTAGTTGCTATTTCAAACTATCGTCAGTCCTGAAAAGATCCGGTCAAATGACACGACTTTAGATCTTCTGTGAACAAGGCACGAAAAGGAAAAGAATCGGCGACAGGCCACATCAGACCTACGCTGCAGCGCAGAGTTCACTATGTTATGTTATGTTAAAACAAAATTTTTTTCTAACACCGTCGTAACATAGTCGCAACTCATTTACGGAGAATTTCTATACATTTCTTTCCGCGGTGATACATTTCTTTCCGCGGTGATACATTTCTTTCCGCATTTAGCCAATTGGCTGATTGGCTAAATTTCTTGATTTTTTATAGTGTTTCTTAAAGCCAGAAAGTTGCTATTTGAAATTACTTTAGTTTTGTGTAAAGTCTGTGATCTGCTTTTTTTCTACTAAGTTAAAAAACTGAATGAACATCCTCCGAGGCCGGTGATTCCATAATTTTTGCCAGGGGTTGTATATCTTTAATAAGAAGCATGGCATATCAGCTTTAATAAAACTATAACTGCATTTTTGAGAGGTTTTTGAATCTCGACTCTGTTATGATATTGCTGCACCATCTACACCACAAGAACAGCACGGTATTCTTCAAATGACGACGCTGTAATGTGAACAAAGGCGTGCGGTGCGTCTGATCATCAAATAAATTAACAGCTTATAGCGCATTGAATAAGTGCACATGCAATGTGAAGAATACCTTAAGCACAGAGGGACCGAAAACTATGAATACCTGAAAGATAAGAAAGACAGCATTTGCAATGGTTTAATGAATGGTCTAACGTACACATGCTTGCCTCAAACGAAGTCCATGTGTTCACTCTACTTATCTTCACTCGATTAAGTGTCTGTAATTTAAACGTTAACAAGTTTTTCAAATTATCTCGAATAAAGATTGCGGGATAATTTAGCAATGTATCATCTGATAAAATTTTGCTGGTGAGAGGGTATTCGTATAATTTTCAATCATTATATACTCGTTCAATGCCTTGCCATTGGGTTGATAATTTGTTGGGTATTACTTGAAAAGTTATCTCGTACGCAGAGTGCAACGATCGCTATAGAGGTGTTGCTGGCTCATAGCCAAGCGTTCGACGACGTCGCATGCAGCGATCACCTAGTTGGCGGAGAACGCAACACGGTCGACACGGCGTACGCCACGTGGCCGACACGGGACGGTACACGGACGACACGGGGGACCCTACACGGACGACATTGGGACGCTACGCGGCCGACACAGGGGACCCTACACGGCCGAAACAGGGGACGGTACACGGACGACACAGGGAATCCTACACGGCCGACACAGGGGACCCTACACGGCCGACACAGGGGACCCTACACGGCCGACACGGGGGACGCCACGTGGCCGACACGGGGGACGGTACATGGCCGACACAGGGGACCCTACACGACCGACACAGGGGACGCTACGCGGCCGACACAGGGGACGGTACACGGACGACACAGGGGATCCTACACGGCCTCGGACGACACAGGGGATCCTACACGGTCGACACGGCGTACGCCACGTGGCCGACACGCGGGACGGTACACGGACGACACAGGGGATCCTACACGGCCGACACAGGGAACGCTACGAGGCCGATACGGGGGTCGGTACATGGACGACACAGGGGACCCTAAACGGCCGACAACACATGGCCGATACGGGAAGTTGCGCATGAATAGCCCAACATACTGCGATATAAGACAGACAGTAGAAAAGGCATCTCTAGTTCTACCGCGCAAGCCTGACCATCGCGCAAACTTTTCATGTTATAACGCTGATGCTCGTCCCGCCACATATGCAAGGCACCGCCAAGTTTGTCTATTATACCCCATACACGTCCCAACTCGGGGTCAGGGCAGAGCAGACCTATTGTGATAGCAATCTGAATGTGCGAAAGCCAGGCAGAACTTAGCAATACAAATTTCTTATCAGTTGTTTGACAATAGAAATAGTAAACATAGGCATCTTGCGCTGAAGTCCCATTTTGATAGATATGAATCAGATAAGTCAAACCCGTGCATGAGTTAGTGCGGCTACAGAACAGGACGGATGAACTTTTCACTAACAAGTACCGGTTTGAGTGTAGCACTGCAAATCGAACTAATCAAATAAGCTTTTGGGACTAGACAAATCATGTGGGAAAAATATATGAGTTCTATGCGGCTAGGTCATCAATTAATACGCTAGTTTCTTTCGAGGATAGCACCAGTCCGTTTTTAGATTCGTAACTGCAGTATGTTATATACTTGTGCATGTAGAAAATATTAATGGAGCATCCTTCAAATACTATTATTGGGAAAAGTTAAAAAGATTTCTGCCCACCAGGTCAGAAAAATAACCATAACCCTGTGTACGGACCATGTACGTAACAACAGCTCTCGTGTTACGAGTAGAAATCAATTTGACCTACAACCATAAGTCGCAAGGCATTTTTAACTCGAGTTCACGACCTCAACTTGATGTACTTTAGACATGCATGAGTCGCGCCTTGAGACTTTGCTGACTTAAGCCAAAATGACCAACAAGTAACCAGTTTTTTCTGGCCCAACCCGGCTAGATAAAGTGGCCGAAGGGGGCGAGGAGCCATGCAGGGAGCCAGAAGAACAAAGGCATAACCTAGAATACCGCAATGCAGGCGGGCGTCGGGGCAAGGACGCCGGCAATTTTCTCATTGCCGGCGTTGATTGCATTGCAACAATCATTGCAACAAGATTAGTCGTGTGTCGCAAACTTTGTTCAAAAATAATCTGCAACATATTATTTAAAAATATATTGATTGAAACATATAAATAATATAAACATTATCATAAACATATATATGAAACATTTGTCAGCCGTGTATATATATATCGTCTATCAAATGAAAAGATTTCAGACCCTCTTGTAAAAAAAAATTGAAACAAGCCTGAATATAGTGGTAATAGAATTAATAAGAGCTACAAGGCACTTTGGTTGGCCGCACGTGAGGCTACTCTTCACGTAGCTCGGCAATGTCGGTGAATGAGCAAAACGTGCCTTGCCAGAAGTTGAAAGTTGGCAGCAGCACGAGAGCCGACGCCGACACGCTTGTGCTAAAGTAAGCCTATAGATGAGTTACACAACCAGGAAACAATATAAATAATATATATTATAATATAATATAAGCAAATACGAACAGTACTTTTAGACCGAGCAAATTTTCCCAAACTCTCAATAGTTACAATATTGATCGAGATAGCTATGAGAAAATAAACAACCTCAAAAAAAAAAAAAAAAAAAGTCACAGAGTTGCTGTATCAACAAAGTACAGAGTCAGCATCGCTATGCAGGTTTTAATCTCTACAGCAATGGCGGCGATAGAGAATGACCAGAGGTTGCAATGCTAGAGAAAATGTCAGCAGAAATAAAATTCAATACTACACAACCCTGAATTGTTTAAAAAAATATGCTTTATGTTAGATTCTTTTAGCGAATTGAAGTGTTGTGAGAACTCAATTTGTTTATTATTATACCAATTATTTATAAACAATTTTGGATTGATGTATACAATGTATAAAATCTGCTATCATGAAAAATTCCTAGAGTAAAATATACATTTTGCTTTCTGTCCAAAATGCTGGTTCTCCACAAATTAATATAGATGAAAAGTTAAAATAAACGATCTGAAGTTCAAAAGAATCAGGGAGAGCAATTGTGGATTCCGCCAAATTATCATAAATTATAATGTATCTGATTGCCACAGGAATTCATTTCAAGGATTAAAAAGACGCAAGGGCCGCCCATCAATTGAGAATCTGATGAATTTTATTTATGATTCAACTGAAATTATAAAAAAATACAGGAAATTGCCGGCATTCGAAAGCTATGTCTGAACACTGTGCACTTTCCGATTGCAAAGACATGGTAAATGTTATTGTATTACAGTTTGATTCTGAACAGGATGCAGTAAGCACCAACAACACAGCCAGGTATTTAACCTGAAGATAAAACACTGCGGTCGCCACGCACCTTAGGTGAGGATTCTCCATCGATGTTGACGACGAAGCCGACACCGCACGCTGCGGTCTCGTACGAGGGGTCGTACAGGCCCTGCTTCTCAGGGTACTCCCACGGAAGGCTCATGCTCGTCGCGCTCCTTACAGGAAAAACAAACACGATAACGTTAAAAACAAAGAGAGCAAAAACGTGTAAACTTTTCAGTAGAATAAAGTTTGGTTTTATGAGTTTCTACCAGCAATTCAGGCAAATCCGAAAATATAACAGAATTACTTCGCCTTGTAGAGTTTCAAGTTCAAATATCAGATGAAGATTTCTCCATTGAAAGCCATAATATTATTTTTACTTCAATGAAATTCTTAATGCATGGGCTCGTTTTGGGAGACTTTGGAATTGGTAGAGTTGCGTGGTGCATCTTCCAACAAGACGCAGCATCAAACGAGCGGCGTAAGTCCAAGCATCGCAGGAGGCAATCAAAGGTACGAGACTAGAACTCTGTGAGTGCAACCATTGATAAAGCAATAACAGACACACCTTCCTCCAGATAAAGCAGTTTCTCATCAAACACAAGTGCAAATCAAGTAGCAGGAATTGGATGATACGCGCCGGTGCTCTGATGCGCAGTACCCAACACCAAACATCTCGAGAGATAACAAAAAGGAAGAAGCTTGGACTTGAGAAACCCGATGCTATCATGAGGGAAGAGCGTGATCGACTCTGACTGGCTGCCATTGAACGCACTTCGCAGGCTCAGCAAAATGACAAAAAGATGCTGAGCGACCTGCTGTTTTGAGTCCAGAGAAGCTCAGAGTTCATAGGATGTTTGGTAAGCCGAGACCTCGCAGATGCTACTACGCAGCAGCAACAAGAATGGCAAGCAGGCACAAATTTATACTGAATGGCGAACAAGGGATTTCATCACCGAGCTGCTCAGAGAATCTAAGCACGGCATGTACACTGATCGAACCGACTCGTACTTGCCGCAATCTTCGGACCAGGATAGACGAGAATACATTTTTATTTGATGGTGTCAACTTGCATCAGAAGGAATCCATGAAAATTTTTTTAATGCATTCAAATTGTAGATAATTTAGAAACGATTGGCGATTTAGAATGATTAATAAATTAGCGCAATTACTCATCACAACTTTCTTATCTCTGTAGCGGTACCGCCTACGCTGCTATTTTACTAACGATTAGTTCTTGTTTGCATGAAGTTCTTGCCGTTTAGACCCATTATACAGATCTGGACACCAAAATTCTATTTGAAGGCCAAAGCACGAGTTGTTATGGGGCTGGGCTGCTGGGCTGAGGAAGATTGACTCCCATAAACCTGCTGTGGCACAGTGCGACCTTGACTGCAGGGAGTTAAGTTCAGAAGCTAAGACGAATAATATTACAACCAAACGCATCGTCATTACCATAGTAAGCAAACACTGACCTTTGAATACTAAATATTTTCACAGAAAAAATGAAATTAAATAAATATGTGATTTTGACAAACCTTTAAAACAAACCGATTTCGAGAAACCTTTATGGTTGATAATGTTTGGGTCTGGGATGGAGTTTATGGACATTTTAGAAGAGTCATAAACTTTACAGCAGCCTGGGAATTACGATGTTGGAATTGCTCCAAGAAAAATCGCTCGTTTCTATAGTGAATAAGAGTATTTCTCTTATAGGCCATCGATCAGGTCAACAACATACACGGACAATTTTCCAGCACCTAGTCAAGAAACTAAGATAGACCGTGTATCAAAAGTTGTCAATACTTCCACTATTAATTTACAAACTGAATATTGATTTAAAAAGGAATAGCGCATGCAGGTTTATTCGATTGTTAGCATGCATTTACCACGCCGGCGTACGGTATAGATGCTCGCGAATTTACCCGCACGGGCATCACTTAATGCCTTCTGATCATTTATAGAGGTCCAGCAAGCGCATGGTTGAACTAATTTATTATTAGTTCAACCATGAGCAAGCGTACCGTAGTTGTGACCTGAAACTGAGAGGCCAGTGGGTGCCTACTGAATAGAAAGTGGCACGACATTATGTTAATCCAGAGTTTATTAGAGGGTCTGGTATATCAATGGCTTTGAGTCAATATTAATTTGATAATGTTTGTGTTATTCTTTAAAGCCTGGGGATGGAAATATATAGGGCTGTCAGGCAGGTATCCATGATACCTGTCATATGCTGGGATACTACCGAGACCCGAAAATTTATTTCTAGTGGGATAATAGAAGGCACTGCAAGACGGAGGACGAAAGGACATGGATCAAAAATTTAAATTTGATTTTAATGAGTACACATGAATTTAATTTAGAAGGCAAGTAAAAAATTGTTGCATTTTAGAACGAGATTTAATTGGGAATCCTATTTGCATTTTTTTATACGGTCTTTCTTTCATTATTTAATTGGGAATCCTATCTTAAAGCAAGTTCGAACAGGTCTTTCTTTCATTAGGTACCGACATTAGTTTTATTCTTATTAACAGAATCCGGAATAATGGTATTCTAAAATAGCAGGGATTATCAATCTTGACTAACCTTTTAGGATTTGATATAATTTGACTAATCTCTGATTCGCATAGACACGCTTATTTCGTTCAACGGTCAGCATACATGGTTAGAGATAACCTTTTTACTATTTTCCTAATAATACTGAATATTTACTATCGGTTAACAGTTGAAACGTTTTCAATATATTCTATTTTTTGCCAAACAACTTGATTGATCCTAACCGATTGTCTACTGCGAGACTTTCGTTGGGAGGCTTTTTAAATATTGCCTATACAAATAGCATTGAGGACGGTCAAGATTCTACCAAAAGTTATAGTGCGACGAGTATTTCACTTTTATTTTCATCAACTTAAATCGCAATAAAATGTTGAGAATCGTTTGTGAGACAGCAGTATTGTTAGACAGCAATGATTTCTTGTTGATCTTCAAGACCTAATCGAAAAACTATGGTGGCTGGTATGCGATTTAATCGTTCCTGAGAATGAAATTGTCACAACAAGTTTTTCTATGACATCTAAACTTATTAAGGTGCTACTACACAGGAACAGTAGCGGCAGCCACGACAGCTCATAAACGCTAACTGCGATTGGCCAATAGAACGTTAAATCGTGGCGGTTAGTAATTTGCAAGTTGTACTGACCGTCACTACTGTTCCGGAGAAAGGCATCTATAATATCGGACTCAGTTTGGAAAATTCAGGAGGCCTTCATTGCTGTCCCGTGTCGTGTCTATCAAACTGCTAACTGTCGGCCAATTGTGGTCGTTGGTTCTGGCTGCCAGAACTGGCCACACGTACGAGCTTCTATTTGGTCGTTCTATTATTGTCATTGTTATTGTCATTGTTATTGTCATTGTTATTGTCATTGTTATTGTCATTGTTATTGTCATTGTTATTGTCATTGTTATTGTCATTGTTATTAACGAAGGATTAGATTAGCATCAGTAGCAGTTCAACAGCAGAGAAAAACAAAACACAAATGAAAAAAATGTAAAATATCATTGTAAACGATTTTTAAGAATTTTTTTTCAGTACTGATAAGGTTAGTCACTTATTGCATGAACAAATAGCATAAACACCACAGCACAGCAGCCATGAACATCGTGTGGTGATGAATACCTATGGACCCTGAAATATTCGAGGCACAATATTAGGAATAAATATATTATTCTAAGGCATTCTGGTCAGTCACAATTCTTCTATGGAAACTGTCGAATAATATGAAAAAGTTGTTAGAAATTTATAGGTACGTCTTTTTATCAGGCACATCACATAGGTACGTCTTTTTATCAGGCACATCACAGCCGCGGCCGTCACTCTGGCTGGCAGCCCGGAGCTTAACCTCATTATAGAGGCTTAATCAGTTAATGCGTTAACTTTGATCGGTTGAATCATAACCAAAACTTATAAGATAACTAAGGAAGAAATCTCACTAAAAGTGGTCTACATAATTTATACCTACGTAAAATGTTTTTGCACTGCCGGAAAAAATTATCGTTATATCAATCTTTGAATTAAAAGAAATTAGTTAATCTCACCTGCTGTCAATTAGAAGAAGACACTCGGATTCTAAGGTAAACTTTAATATATATGGAGGGTATTTAATAATGTCAATACAAATATTCACTTGAGTATTCTAGGGGAAACAACGCTGGTAAAGCAAATTCAGTCACCAAACAGTCAGTCGCAGCCAAGTGCTCCTCACCACAACAAAGCTTGACCGTGACTGAACTGATGCCGCCGGCCGGACTGCCAGCTTCTTTCCGTCTTTGACTGCGCAGATGAGCTTTCAGATCTCGCTGATCTACAGCACCTTACAATGTAAAAAATAGGAAGAGAATACAAGTGATTTATTGAAAATCAATCATTTTTTTTAACAATTTTTTATCATCAAATTTACCATTCGCAACATTAATTAAAACTATGAACTAATGCATTGATTGAAACTTTGCTTGATCCCTGAATTTTTGAAATATTAATTAATTTAATAAATAGCACATACCGTTCTCAGAGTGCGTTACGTTCTCATCATTTGGTTTTTTGAGGTCGAGACTAGTACGAAATGTTATACAAAATAAATGTTTCCGCTGAATTGTTATTTCTGCTAGAAATTTATTATTATTATTATTATTATGTTATTTCTGCTAGAAATCGTCATTTCTGCTATGTCGCAACTCGCGAAAACGAAGAAAAACTTCAAAAGAAACACAAACTTTGGTTTAAAACTCTAAGGTTAGGATTACATATGGTAACATAATATTGTCGTCACTGAAAGTTTTGTACGGTCATTATTTGTATAGAAAACTAAAAAAAAATTCTGCGACCTTAGCCGTTTAGATTTCTGGCTTGTGCAAACCGAGGGTGTAAGTACTCATTTCTTCTACAGTTCTACTTCTGCCATAGAAAAGTGATGACGCCGATTATATGATTAGGTTCATATATAATGACAGGGAAATAAACAGTGTTGATTGCTGTTAGGTCCTAGTAAACACGTGTGCTGGTGTGCAACGTTTTGTTGAGCTGCAAACACTAATTTGGGAGATATTTTAGCATTTTTAGGCTCACTGAACCTTGGAGACCGACCACGAGCCCGGCCGGAAGAGGTCCAAGAGGGAAGGTAGCAATATCGGGTCGCCTGCCGAAGACCACCACTATCCAGGATGTAATGGACCATCATGATTCCTGCCTTCCGGAACGTAGCCTTCAACACTTCAAGCCGTCCGTATCTAGGCTGTGGGTTGAACCAGCCCTTGGTCGAACGGCCACTTGTCGAAGGACGATAAATTTTAGAACAGAACTATGCTATCTGAAACCTAACCTCAGATACGGTGAACGTAAAATTACGTAATTTAACGATGCCCTGAGCCCCGGAAGTCAGATTCTATCCGCGGCCTGTTGGTGCACGGCAGGTTCTAAGCAAGGCCGGAGGAAGACAGAGCCGAGTGGTTCACGGCTGATTGGTGGATGTCCGGAGAGCATAGTGGCAAAGCAGAGAGCTTTTTAGACTCTCCCTCAAGATCATTTCTGAGTCCTATAAGTAGACAAGTAAAGTATCCTGGATACCAGCATTAATCATACTTAAGAAATTGATTTAAATCTTGAGTAAATGAGGAAATTAAAAATGAACTGATTCTAAAAAAGCTCTGGTTTGCCACTATGCCGGAGAGATCCAACATCATCATCCAAGGCGTTTGATTCAGGGCTTATTGGTGCACAAAATTGGTGGTGCACTCCTGTAGCAATTAGCATGGTTGTTCAATCATGGAAAGATGGAATGTAAGACCCATTTATATTTTGGCAATATGAATGCCTTACTAATTTGCTAACCATTGAATTTGTAAGCTTTACGAGTTATTTAATTTGATATATTTTCTAACAAATTGGTAAATGAATTTCTGAAAAACCCAAACCTTGGCCTCGTTCAATTTCAATTCATTAATCCCTATACTACTATTAAATTCAGGCTTAGAGCTAAATGCCAGTAGCAGAATAAATTGGCTTTATTTGTGCCTCTCAGTTTGCCTATGCAGCTATGCTGGGTTGCCTATACAGGTAATACAGCCATAGTGGCAAAGCAGAGAGTTTTTTAGACTCTCCCTCAAGTTCATTTTTGAGTCCTATAAGTAGACCAGTAAAGTATCATGCATAGTGGCAAAGCAGAGAGTTTTTTAGACTCTCCCTCAAGTTCATTTTTGAGTCCTATAAGTAGACCAGTAAAGTATCCTGGATACCATCATACCAGCATTATCATACTTAAGAAATTGGTTTAAATCTTGAGTGAATGAGGAAATTAAAAATGAACTGATTCTAAAAAAGCTCTGGTTTGCCACTATGAATACAGCTAGTTAAGTCTACAGACACAGAGAGAATAGAGAGTGTTGGTCTCTAGTTAACAGTGACTGAACACTGTAAATATAGGTTTTAGTTTTACAAAGTACAGTATTATTGAGTATACACCTGTCACTGCTGTCAGTGCCTCAGTGGCCGCTGTCACCTACATCCTACAGGCTACATTCTACAAGTATGGTACCGGTACCTAGTGGAGAGATTGACTGTCAAGACTGATTGTGCTCTGTGAATTGTGAATGATGCAATGATTTTCCTCTGGATTAACAACTCAACATAGACTAGAAATTTTCTCTGTGATCACTGATCACCATAATAACACTAAGAAATAGGTAATAAGATTACCTACGGGCTACCACTTCAGTGACTTCACAGCTTCACACCTAGGTATCAATCCACTTGAGTGACTTGATATTGAAAAACTTCTCTGTACAACACGAGTAGGTAGCCTATATTGGTCAATTGTCTGATTTCATTTTCAAGAACCTGGCTCAGGGCCACTATGCAGAGGGTGGATGCAGCGTCGGCAATATATGCATTTTTAAGCCTAAAGCGTCGCCGGCCATTTTAAAGATGCGTCGCCGGGTAATTTTTAATGAAAAGCCATTTACGCTGAGTAATGACAAACTATTTACAAGCCACGAACTTATTACAAGGTTGCATGCACGTGTTACCCCAAATAACTAATTTTACCCTAAAAACAGTCCGGTTGTACAGCAAGTGTCAACTGAACAAGTAATAAAGCAGTCTGACCGCTCTAATGCGACCAAAACTACGCAATCAAAAAAATGTTGTTTACATTTTTTGCGGGAACTCATCGCAACTGATTTCCGGACAAGCTTCGCTGCATCGTAATCCATCCAACGTACCGGAAACCTTACTTTTTTTCTAAATAGTTGGCTGAAGACTGAGAAATATATTAAATGCAAGAATTTCAATCTAAATGTGTCGGCAAGATCTTCTGAAGGCGAAAATTTTGCCGATAATGCGTCGCCGTAGGTCTTTAAATCTTCGTTCACTCTCTGCACAGTGGGCTCAGGGCTCAGGCTGGCTAGCTTTCTCATCCCTCTTCCCTCCTCTTCTCTCAGGGCGCAGAGTGAGAGGGTGGATGCAGCGTCGCCAATATATGGGTTCTTGAGCCCTAAGTGTCGCCAGGTAATTTTAAGATGCATCGACCGGTAATTTTTAATGAAAAGCCATATACACTGAGTAATGAAAAACTATTTACAAGCCATGAACTTAGCCTATTTACAAGGTTGCATGCACGTGTTACCCCAAAAAGGCCCAAATTACTAATTTTACCCTAAAAACAGTCTGATTGTACACTGTACAGCAAGTGTCAACTGAACATGTGATAATGCAGTCTGCCCGCTCTAATGTGACCGCAACTACGTAATCGTAAGCTTGATGTTTACATTTTTTGGCGGGAACTCATCGCAACTGATTTCCAGACAAGCTTCACTGCATCCTTGTCCATCCATCGGGAACCTTACTTTTTTTAAATAGTTGGCAAAGACTGACAAATATATTAAATGCAAGAATTTCAATCTAAATGTATGACAAGATCTTCTGAAGGCGTGAATTTTGCTACCAAAGTGTCGCCAAAGATCTTGCAATATTCATCCACTCTCTGCACAGTGGCATCTTCTCTTTACCATAGTTTATAAGAGGTAGTAGGGGCGGCAATAGCCTGACTAGGTAAGAGAGGGCCTGCAGCTGCAAGATGCACTGTGCATTGGCGTGCTATCAACCCCCGGCTCCCAGAAGTCAACAGGCCCATGCCCCATGCCAGGAACACCTGGTGAATGCATCTTGTGTTGTCATGCAATAGACAGATTAGACACATGCACCAGTCCAAGCACTATAATCCCCTTTGCTCCCTAGACAGAAAGCACAACTGCCCACTCCCCCAAATCAGCCAATCCTATTTGGTCAGACTTCCTGTTCTTCAAGCACAAGATATTCTCCACCTTCTGTAAGCTTTTCACTTCCACCACTGAGAGTGACCACTCCACACTCAAAGCCCCTCTACCCACCACCTTCACCTTATGCGTCAAATCTGGGCTGGGCATCCCCATGACAGGGATGGGAAATCCACCAACAAATCATCTGTTCAGGGTCCAAATGATGTTGCAGTCCTTCACCTCAAGCATCTTGGCCCACGTGGCCTCCAGTTCCTTATATCTCAATTTGTGGCCTCAATATCTAAATTTTCACGGCCTCTATTCCCTTTATATGGAAAAATTAAATAATTATTCCAATACTCAAGCCTGGCAATCCTAGTAACCAGGGTTCTTCCTACCGCCCCATCTCCCTCCTTTGCCCTGCAGTCAAGATCCTGGAGCTTCTTCTACCCCCATACATCTCAGAATCTCTTACCTCCATCCCCTCACAATATGGCTTCAAACTGGGACACTCCACACTCCACAGTCACCGCCCTCCTGCTTGTGCACCAGACTGCAACAGGCTTTAACTCACAGTAGCCTCCAGCCTGCACAGTGGCAGCTGCAGTCAACCTGTCAAAAGTTTTTGATAGTGTCAACCACCCTTTCCTAAGCATGATTGCAGCCTTGGACCTACAACAGAACATGGTCCGCTGGCTGTGCTGCTATCTCAGAGTCAGTATGGCCTCCTGCCTCTACCTCAGAATGCAATCTCCTTTCAGAACAATCCACTCAGGAGTTCTAAGTAAGTAAAAAAAGACAGTGTTGGCCGACAACAACAGTTCAACAATATAAACTAACTCTGACAGTACCATTAGCATTTTGAATGTCTATTACCCCTGCAATAAATATCATTAGAGGAACAACAGCATTATGCCAATCATGTGTTCTCATTACACTTTATTGTAATGAGAACAACCTTGGCATCACATTGGTGTCTCCTATCATCAAATAAATAAGTTAAACAGGACTAGCCATGCAAATTTAGGAGAACATTTAAAACAAACAGGAAAGTCTCTAACCCATAATCTGTGAGAGGTTGAGTTATTCATGAATGGACACAGTTTAAGCAAGCAAAATGAAAATTTTCACCATGAACAAACAGAATTAAGAGCCATCAAATAATAGCAAGCATGTTTTAGATAGCAAAATGACTGAGAAATACTTGTTCAATGCTAAAGAAATTAAGGCTATTGCTGAAGTGAGAATTTAAATTATATGTGATGTGGTCAACTCTTTAAATGAAGTTCTGGTTTGTTCTTACCTAGCAAAAGTTATGAAGGTTGACTCGGAAATGAGTGGAATTAGGCCAGATAATGTAAATAAAATGTAGAGTGAGCTGAAACCAATGAAATCCTACTGAATCAATTTGTGGTATTAGCTAGCAATGTGCATTGCTGGCTGACTGCTAGATTCTGGCTTACTTAATTCCCAGACTTGACTATACAAATCTTGTATTATACAAATTAAATATTGAATGAATGCATTGCACTAGACTAAAGTTTGAAGATTTAAGAGGGAAGAATAGATGCCTGTATCTTTTGCATTACATTTGGGCCAACCAAAAAATCTATTATACTAGTAGTATGGGGTATCTATGTCACAGTATGTCATTTTAATTCATTGCTGAGCTACTTTATTATACAAATCCAAGCTCTTCCCATCCCTCTATTGACTGGCTCATTTTTTCTTCTCCTTGTCTTCAGTGAAAGTCCATCGTGTCTGTAGAATCCTTGATAGCTAATAAAGCTTGTACTCCTCAATTGTGTTTTGTTGGGATTAATTTAATTGGAAATATTGTTGTTGCTGTTGACTTTCTGCAACAATCAATAATGCGCTGCTATTATGAGGTTTTGCAAGTTCCTCAAAATGCTTCTGAAGAGGATCTCAAAAAGTCTTATCGTAAACTTGCCCTTAAATGTCATCCAGGTGGGTATTATTGTTTTTGTATTCAACATTTTTTACCTGTTATTATGATGGTATGTATGTAGTATCTCATCATTTGCCTGTTGTTACAATGGTATGTGTGTAGTATCTCATCATTTGCCTGTTATTATGATGGTATGTGTGTAGTATCTCATCATTTGCCTGTTGTTACAATGGTATGTGTGTAGTATCTCATCATTTGCCTGTTGTTACAATGGTATGTGATGTGTGTATCATTTGCCCGCTGTTATGATGTTATATGTGTAGTATTTCACCATTTCCTGTTATTATAATGGTATGTGTGTAGTATCTCATCATTTCAAGTACCTGTTTTATATATTATGTTATTTTTAATGCAGCAATTTTCTCACAAAATATATTTTTAACAACTTTTACATCATAATTTATATAATTTATTTCTTTCCTATTATTTAAATGTGCTGTATGTTGCTTTCATTCATATAAGATTCACATAATTGTCAATATACTACTTATTTCTGACCTCACAAAAAGTACTGCCATTTTATCATTTTTCATTGTCAATAAATAGATTAAATAATTAACCTTGATGTATCATATAATTGTTAGATGTTAGATTTAAGATACTGTTATTTGAAACATTATCTATAGAAATCATAGAAGTTTGTTATCGCTATAATAAGTTATTTTCTCCCATTTGGGATTAGTGGGTCATTTCTCTAGCTCATTTTCATTTCAGATGAATCATGTAAAATTTGGTAAAATGGCACAAGTAAAATGTGTCAGAATTTTTTTCTGCCACTTCCTCAAATCCTCATGTTATTTTACTGTAGATTTCAGTGCAAATGCTTGTCTTTGATTTCAGATAAGAACAAGGGACGAGAAGATGAGGCCAATGAAGAGTTCAAGGAGGTGTGCCAGGCTTACACAACTCTGTCTGATCCTCATGAGCGGGCTTTCTATGATCGAAACAGAGAGAGCATCCTCAGAGGAGCAGGTTATTCTTCAAATGATTATCATTATAAATCATTACTAGTGATGCCTTTTTAATGTTCCTAATATATTTTATTTCATGAATATAGTTTTTATCATACATCCACATAACCCATGGCCTTATAAAATTTTGTTAAAAAAAAGTTAGGCAGTGCAAAGCTAATACTGATTTATTATATTGTTTTTCTTTATATTATTATTTCTTAAATCTATTTCTGTTTCAGATGAAGAAAGTTCAGCCAGTGATGAGCTAAATGTCTTCAAATACTTCAGTTGCAAATGTTACCCTGGGGCTTTCACTGATGCTGATGATGGATTCTACACGGTGTACAGGTATTTAAGTACAATGACCTTCAAGTGGTATAGACATTGCCATGTACACGGTGTATAGGTATTTAAGTGCAATGATTTTCAAGTGGTATACAGGGTCATCAATATTTAGCGTTACAACTTTGAGTTGTTAGAACTATGAAATGAAACACAATTGTGAATGTTTGAAAATGTATTTATGTTGGCAGAGGTTCAGAGATACAATTCCCACAATTTCATTCAATATGTCCACCATCTGCATCAATAACGAGTTGTAGACGCTTAGAGAAAGCCTTACACGAGTCACAAATGACACTCTGCAGGATTTTGGCACACTCCTTCAGCAGTTTGACCTTTAGGGCGTCCAAACTTTGATGGTGAACGGTCGAGACCTTGCTCTCAAGGTATGACCAGATCCCAAAATCCAGGTGACGATGGGGGCCATTAATCTTTGGTAATGAAGTGGGTAACATTCTCGGACAGCCACTCCTGAATCGATTTGGCCCCATGGGATGTGAAGAGTCCTGCTGGAACGACCAGGGACGTTTTTTGAAGTGCTTTCGTGCCCAGGGCAACAATGCACCAACAAGGATGGCACCTCAATAGTTCTTCTGATTCAATTTCACCCCTTTGTCAACAAAAAAGAGGGGACTCCTTGAGGACTCTGTTACGGCTGCCCAGACCATCACTGAGGTCGGGCATTGCTTCCTAGTCACCACACGGGATCCTTCGTCCCCATTCTTCGACCAAATTTGATCATTTTGGGAGTTGAAGTGGTGTTCAACATTGAATATCTTCTCGTCACTGAAAACGAGGTTTGGCAGCGTGCCATCATGAATGCGGGAAAGAAGAATCTTGGATCTTTGGAGGCGTTTGTCAACAACTTGAGCAGACAGTTGGTGTTTTTTGACATGCTTGAATGGGGAAAGCTTTAGGTCCTTCTGGAGAACAGTCGACATGGTTCCATACAATTACATACAATACAATTGATTTTGAAAAAAATGTAACGCTAGATATTGATGACCCAGTAGACACCGCCATGTGCACAGTGTACAGGTATTTAATTACAATGATCTTCAAGTGTTATAGACACCGCCATGTACACGGTGTACAGGTATTTAATTACAATGATCTTCAAGTGGTATAGACACCGCCATGTACACGGTGTACAGGTATTTAATTACAATGATCTTCAAGTGGTATAGACACCGCCATGTACACAGTGTACAGGTGTGCAGGTACAATGATCTACAAGAGGTATACACAAGTAAGATAAGTAAAATATTATTTCTGTTGAGAGCTACGGTACATAATTTATTTCATTGCCCAAATTAGATCAAATTATTTATTTTGCCATCACAGTCTCATTATTTAATTAATTTTTCAAGCATAAATCTTATTAAACAATTAGGTTAACAAGCCCTATTCTCACTGCATAATTTATGTTATAGCTTTAATCACAGTACATATATTATTATGTTAGTATAAGTTACAGCACACAATTTGTTTGGCTGGCCCAAACCACATAACATAATTAATTTTACCAGCCCGAATCATATATTTTTTGCCAAAATCTCATTACATTATATAATTTATGAGCTCAAATCGCATTTCTTATTTTTGTTTATGAACAATGAAAAACAATAGTACATAATTTATTTAACCAGCCCACAATACATAAAATAATTTCCTTGATCCGCGCCAATCCTAATTAAAATCCTAATTACAGGTACCTAATTTATTTTACAAGCTCAAATCCATATTTCATTTCAGCATCAGAAATCACATTTCTTGACTTATTTTACCAACTTCCAAGCAAAAATCATGTTGCATTGTTCATTAGGCCTGCACAAGTCTGGGTATGGTTGATCTAAAAATTGGGTATGATTGCTCACTAAGTGATAAGTATCATCTATTAATGAACGAAGCCTAGATGTTGTAAAGCAATTTTTTGCAGAAATGCTGATCACTTTATTGATAGTTTCATGTTGAAAACATGTCTGGGAATTATTCATCCTCTTTTCTTATCCTCCTCAGAAAATTCTTCCAGGATTTAGCTGAGAGAGATCGAGAAAATTCAAAGGACCACGACGTGGATGTGCCTTCTTTTGGAGACAGCTTATCTGATCTTGAGGTGAAGACCTGTGCCTGTGCATTGATTTGGCCATGTCCAATTCTGATGGCAATAAGTAATAAGTTTTGATTAATAAGTTTTGATTAATAAGTTTTGAGAATTATTCAGTGTAGAAAAAAGACTGGAATTTTTATTCTTGTGTTCTCCAGGATGTTGCTGAGTTTTATGGCTACTGGACAAGCTACTGCACCTCCATGTCTTTTGCTTGGGCTGATCAGATAGACATCCGGCAGGCCTCCTGCAGATATGTGGAGAAGGTGAATGCCACTTCCTTCAAATGTCTAAATTTTAAACATTGGGTTTCCTTTAGTTCTATGCTGTTATAAAAACCCTTCACATACCTAGAATTTTTTTAATGATTTGATGTCTTATAAAGTGTTAATGTACGTATGTATTGAAGCATTTTCCATCTATAAGGAAAACTTGACTGGTAATTTGATTTGACTAACATACAAGATAGGTCATATTTGTGTTTATGTTTAAAACCAATACTAGTTTTATTCATATTCACGCTTATCATATTATGGTGCCAATGTTTTCAGAGAATTGAGAGAGAAAACCGCAAATTCCGGGATAAAGAGAAGAAGCAGTTTAATGAGCAGATCCGCAACTTGGTGCTGTTTGTCCGCAAGAGAGACCCTCGGTGGAAGCGACGTCTGGTCTGTAGTGTACAAGTTTTTTTTTTATAAAGGCCTCCCACACTCACCATTCCAAAAACAACACTCACCATCAGAGGCGTTAAGGTCGGGGCCCTGATCATTGACATGAAACCATTCCCTGTTTTTAATTAATAAAATCAATTCATTTTTTGTTGGAATGGTGAGTGTGTACAAGTTGTCAGTTGTATTTGTTGGTCTGTCTACCCTTTTACTGTTGGCATTTATGATGAAGGTGCAATTAGAGTTCAGTTTTAAAACAAAATGTCAGCAAATTGATGTTAAAATTTTACTGAAATCATTTGTCCATGAGTAATGCCTGCTTGTGTTCTCGTCCATATGAATACCTATACATTGTTCTTCATTCATTTCACTTGAGGAATTTTTTATTCACGAATGTTAAGTTACAGGATGTTTTGTCGATTTACATTGTTTTTAAGACCATTGAAACAATTGTTGTGTTGCGATCAACAATATTTAGATGAAATGTCTTCGTTTTACAAGTTAATTTGGAGGAACAGTAATTGGTTTTATCACACAAGAAAATTTCCACTTTTTTGGCAGGCTGAAATAGAAGAAAGGAGTCGGGCGGTGGCAGCAAAGCGGGAGGAGCACAGCAAGCGCCAGCTACTGGAGCGGCAGCAGCAGCTCGAGCAGGATCTGCAGGACGCGGCCCTGCAGAAGGAGAAACAGGAGTATCTGCGACAGCTCAAAGTTAGTTCTAACCACTTTTTTATGTGAACCTTACAAAGCTCTTATCACCTCATATGAATTACTTTGAAAATTTGATCTAATTCCATTAATAAATGATTGAATCCTAAATGAATGATCCTAAATGATTATAAAGTTTCTGAATGTTCATTTCAATTTCCATGTTTTTCGTGATCCTTGCACTGCACTGATACCATCATCACTAAAATTTCAATAATTATTTTTTTAGCTTAACATGGGAAAATTTTGAACAATGAAAGACATGAAACAATAATTTTCAACAAGTTTAAATTTAGGTTCAAATAATTTTACCGACGCAAGTTTTATATAAAAGAGATATATATGAAATAGTTCTATAAGAGTTTGCTTGGATCACATGCATATTTGAATGTAGAGTACTTTGCAGGCCATGGAAAAATCAATGCGGGACGGCGATGACAGCAGCAGCACTGATGAGGATGACGATGACCTCATGGACGAGGAGGTGGAGGAGGAGGATGAAGACTTCACGGAGCTCTCGTGCCCCGTGTGCATGAAGTTCTTTACGCACGAGAAGGCCAGGGACCAGCACATGAAGACCAAGAAACATAAGCTGAAGTGGGCTGCGTTCTTACAAGCTGAAAATTTGCTCCCAACAGACGACAATTCTGCACCTGAAATTGGTGTGTATTTATCATTCCAATTTTACTCTGAATTTATCCTTGGCTAGGAACCATAAATCACTTGAGTATTTAATTAGACGATTTAAGGAGCTTTTGATAGCATGATAAGTTCGTCTTTAAAGCATATTATCTTCCTCAACTTCAATTGATCAAACTTCATACTTTATAAAACAAGAACATTGTATCATAAGACCATGATCCGCCCTTTCGAAACTTGCTTAAGTAAACGTAGCGGCCAATTTCCTGTAATTAGTGGGTTTAGCTTGGAGAACTGTCAGTTATTGGCTGACTTGGTTATAAACTCTACACTATTTTGATAGTGTTCCCTTATTCAAGGTAGATGGCGTATCAAAGGTTGTATTTAACGGCTGCAATTACCAACATACTTTATTTTTTGAGATGATTCATTTCTTGTGAAAAATTTTATGGTGGTTTTATTTTGTAAAAGTATCTGAAATTTCGATGATAATCAGCATCATTCTCATTGCTTGGTTACTTGGTAATAAACTGAGAAATGAGCTAGTGATGTGTGTTGCTGCTGTTCTTCGCTCCTTGCCCTCGTGCCGATGAGATATCTTCAAAAAATTCTCACTTAAAATTATTCCATGTATCAATAATCTAACTTATGAATAAGATAATCTTATTCATCAGTTTCTGATTGTGCAATTCCTTTTGTAAATCAAATAGATCAGACCAAAATATTCTGTAATAAAATGTAACTAATTAGTATTATTCTCTCCTAAGGTTCAAATAATGAAGAAGAAGTGCCTGTACAGGAGATGAAAGTTCAGTCTGACTCCGAGTCGGACGACTACAGACCGAAGACCAGCATCTCTAAAAAGGAACGCAAACAAAAGAAATTAGAAAAGAAAATGCAAAAGAGAAAAAAGATGCAATGTCAATACGAGGACAGCTTGCAACCTAGAACGTCGGAAAGTTTGGGAGACGAAATCAGTGAATTAAGTTTAGACGATGGTGACAAGCAGCCTGGGAGAACAGAAGAACTAAGCCAGCAAGCTGAGTTCTCCCAAGATCCAAAACTGGGAGACACTGAAGCAGTTTCTAAGCAAAAACCCATGAAAGCCAAAGCAAATTCTGCGCCCCCAGTTAAGAAACTAGCCTCTCTTAAAAACCACACAGACGGTGACAGTGAATCGGTGAGTGTTTACAACGTTATGAAGTATTCTGATCAACTGTTTGAACTTAGGTGTTTTTTCTCATCACTCTTCACCTCTCGTAATCTTGAATTATTTGCTATTGCGAGTAATTATTTGTACTTGTGTTGAATGATATTTGAGACCAATGACCCGGAATGTTCATCACGAACCAGGTAGCCCTAATTTTCGTATGAGTGGAAGCTTATTTCAGATTCACAAACTTGATTTACTTCAAATTCTTTCATCTGTTTAGAAGTGTGCCTCCCTGATTAAGCATGAATTAAACGAAGACTTCCTTAGAAATTTTAGATATGAGAAATTGAGAACTGCTTGTAAAATATAAATATGATTTAAGAGAATTAAGATTTTTGTTCTAGAGAAAAAGTCTAGTCAGATTTATGCTTATTTTTTTATATTGCAGGTGGTGTCAACCTGTATGATTTGTTCCAGCACTTTCACATCGAAGAATAAACTCTTCCAGCATATCAAAGCGACCGGACATGCAGCACTAAAAGACGTTTCTTCGGTCAAAAAAGGGAAAGCAAAGAAAAAATGAAACAATAAATATATCTGCAATCGACTATTCTTAAAGAAACTTTGTATAAGGTGTCAATTATACGATTAATTTATTGTCAACTAATTCTTCCTATGTGCCATTTTCAAGTTTTTTCTGTGGGAGTGAGGTGGATGAAGCTATTTTTTTTACCGTTGCTAATTCTAGTTCTACGCATTCAAGGATTATTTAAACGGGAAGGCGTGTCTAAGTTGATTTATTCTAGTGGAGAAGTTCCAATACGTATTTTCCGACAGAAATCAACTTTTTTTATTCGCGATAAGCTTATTTTATTCGGTGTTGAGGTCCGCAATTTAGAACGTTCACACCTGTTGAAGTTATTCAAATTCCACCTATGCCAATACGCTTGATTATTTCGCCAGTTAATAAGATTTTTGAATCAGAATATTCGAATCATGAGCATCGAAGATTTATATTTTCTTTTTTTTTGGAATATCAGAACAATAGTCCGCCGTGTGGTCTAATTCGCAATCGAGTTCGTAAACAAACTCCATCAGTCGTAAGCTTGCTCCAGGTTATCGCTTTACCTATTATCGACTTCGTTTGTGATTAGATTGTAATTTGGTGGACTAAATAGATACCATGGCGTGTTTTGGGGATGAAGACATTTTTGATATTTTGGAAACTAATGATCAAGCACTGCCTGAAGCTGACGTTACTGAAGAGGCCGATATTATCAAGTAAGTTTAAGTTACAGAACACTAACAGAAAGCCTCTGTTCCTGTTCCCTTCCCGTCAAACACTCAAACTCAATGCCACGAACTTTGCCATAGCACTTATGTCGCCATCCTTTGAAAGAAACTATAAATTTTTTAAATAAAACTGATCCACAATATTTCTAGTAGTAGGCTATCACAATAGAGAATGCTTATTAGTTATTCTGTGGCAAAATGGTAATTGAGCAAATTTGAGCTGCCTTCAAATTGTACTTCTGAAGTTCTGATTCCATGGTCAAATTGTAGAAAGTGGTTCGTATTTGGTCATTTAGGTCTAGGTACTAGGATGGCCAGAGCACTCCTGGGCCACTTGAGCCATTCAAGCATGAAAAACTTCTACCATAAAACCATAAGAGTGATAAGACCATTAAGGCTGCAACTAGATTACTAGAGGGTAGAGGCTAGAGCTTTCCTGCCATTTCAGGAACCGCAAGATTTTAGCCAGATGAATTAGGGTAAACGCGGTATATTCTGTCATCGTGGGTAATTCTGTCACCTCTCTAGTTTTTCTTTTATATTAAGCTTTGTTTTAGTTCCATGCGTTCGTTGATGGTTGAAATGGTGATGTCATACATTTGCGCGTCGACGGTCGAACTAATGCCAAAACACTAGGTCTTGGCCATCTAGCGGGAAAATATTGAGATCCAAAGAGAGAATGCACGCTACCCAGTGAGATCATCATAAAATGTGTCAAATTTGACAGTTGACCTTGCTCTACCAAATAGTGAATAACTGTTTGTATTATGTATAGGAAGAATATTATGGTTTGAGACTTTTAAATACGTCTGTGAATATATTAGGAATCCTTTAAGTATACTTGTATTTGCTGATTTCAAGTGGTAAATAAATTAATAGATGATTAAGTTGAGAAATGGATTTAGACACATGAAAACTAATTCCGTCACAACTTGAATTGGACACGCACAAATCGTTCCAAGCTATGTAACTACAAAAATTAAAATTTGCCTAATTAAAAGCTTAATAGTTGTTAATTAAAAGCGTAATTAAGTAGTGTTCAATATTCATTAGTGTTCTAATTCAAAGCCGTGTTGTATTCCAATACAGCTCACACAGCAAACGGAATTCGAACACGTGGATGACGGCATTACGTATCAGTAGAATTTGAAGCGCGGACGGAATACGCCTCACCACATGCCGAATATTGCCACACACAGTGACGGAATATAGGGATTTGGTAGGTTTGCATTCTAAAGGCTTTTACATAAATATGGCAACATTTTGTGATGTTTCATCGTTGCCGACGCATACTACGGTGTTTTGAGAGTCACCTAAAGCAAACAGAACTTGAGTAACGCATACGTTTTTTTTTTATAGTTTTTCATTTCTCGATGCGTCCTTAATGTGACGGAATATACCGCGTTTACCCTACCTCCTAACTAATTGTTAACAAAAGTGCACGATTGGGCCACGAGATTACAAATGTGTTGAAAATTTGTTACATTGGAGCTGCAACTTGCAAGATTTCAGAAACGAGTAGGAAAATTCCAATCCTGCTGAGCCATCAAGCACTAGGTAGCCTACTCACCTGAGAAAAGATGGGGTCCAAATCAGGGTGGGAAAAGTCCTATTTTTTTCTGAAATATTGCAGCTCTAATATTGTATAATTTCAGTAGGTAGGGTAAACACACCATATTCCATAGCAAGAAATAAATGGCTATAAATAGATCACCATATGCGCAACTCAAGTTCTGATTGGTTTACATCACTCCCAAAACACCACACTATTTGCCAGCAATGATGAAATGGCACAAACTGTTGCTATATTTATTTAAAAGCCTTTAGAATTCAAATGTACAAAATCGCTGAATTCCGACACTGTGTGTGACTAAATGCGGCATATTGTGAGACTAATTATGACAGTGCTTCAGAATCGTAATTTGTAATTCCGACACACTGTGTCGGAATTTTGACACCCTGTGTTGGAATACGACACCCTTTGTGGCGTAATTCCGACACCCTGTTTTGGAATTAGTTTTTGTGTGTCTAAGAGCATCTCTTGAATCAATCATTTATTAATTTATTTACCACTTAAAATCAGCAAATACAAAGTATACTTGAAGGATTCCAAATACATGCACAGACTTATTTAAAAGTTTCAAACCATAATATTCTTTCTACACAAACAGTTTATCACTATTTAGTAAAGCAAGGTCAACTATCAACTTTCACACATGTTTCGATGTTCTCACTAGCTGTCTTGGACTTTTGCTCTGCGGATCTTGAGATTTTCCGCCTAGACCTAGTATTTTGCGGAAATCTTACGCACAATAGTATGACGTCACTATTTCAACCATCTATGCATGCGTGGAACTAAGACCAATCTTAATATAAAGGAAGAAGTTAAGGGGTGTCAGAATTACCCAGTGTCGGAATATGGTGTGTTTATCCAATGAAATCTTGCGTCTCAGATGTCATAAATTTTTGTTTGATTGCAAAAATCGCAGTTTGCACTTTGCAAACATGTCATTTCATAAAATTTTCCACTATCTCAATCCGCATTACTTTAACATTCCCGCCAAAAAATATCCTGCAGAACGTAATCATCATAATGTAAACAAGTCAACCTAAACGACTTGTTGAAGATGGCTCATAGTTGCAGTCACGTCAGACTGCATTAACACGTGTTCAGCTTACAGTAAAGACGAACATTATTGTTGCTGTTTGACTTTTAGGGTAAAATTAGAGATTTGGTGTAACGCATGCACAGACTTTGTAAATCAGTGGTTCCCAAAGTGGGCAATATTGCCCCCTGGGGGCAGTGGAGAGATCTTTGGGGGCCTCTGGAAAGATCTGTGTTTAACCTTTCTCTTTCAAAATTGCAGCATACTAAATATCAAGGAAGAGGCATTTGTTTTTATGTGTCTGGCAGCAGGGGGGGGGGGTGCTAGAGATTCACTGGGGAGCCAAGGGGGCCCCAGCCTGAAGAAGTTTGGGAACCACTGTTTAAATAAATTCGGGTCTTGTAAATGGCTTTTCATAGCCGATATATGGAATTCACAGCTCAAAAAAATGGAATCATAGCTGGCAAATCCATAAAACCATGGCTTGAAAAATTCAGTTGTGGCTTGCCAATTAAATATATTCCATGCCTGGTCCAAATGGAAAACCCTCCAATTCCAAGAATGGTATTTGTTAAGGAGGCCCTCCTTATTTCTTGAGGAAATGACAGTTATGGCTGCTGGTGGTCCGCTTGTATTGGAGCATTTGGCCAACCAGCTCCTATTGCAGCAGGCGCGTTCCTATTTATGGCTATACTTTGCTCCTCAATTTCAGAGGTATTTGGTCATTTAAAAGATATTTACAATGCCACCAAGAATTTATTTCTGACTAGTATTAAACGGTTTACCTACACTACAGCGTGATACTGAAAGAACAGAGACAAGATCAGTGCAGCAGCTGCTAATTGGCAGCTAATGTGGGACTAATGTGGTAAGGGTAAAGAAAAGCCCAAAGTAGAGGCAAAAGCCATCCATCCAAATGTGCCTAGACTTCTTTCTAAAGCTACAATTACCAATAATTAGTAGTGTTTAAAGCAGCAATGACTACCTATGTCAGGGCTCAAAGGAAGTTAGGAAGATCAAGCATAATTATATGAAAATTGTAGGTTAAAATTATAATTTTTTCTGATTGGTTTTTGCAAACCACAGGCAAAACTATGCCATTTATCTTAGTTTTAATGAAAGAAATTTGCCAATTGGCCAATGCCTACAGACAATTTCAATCAATCCTTGTGGATGAGTTATTTAAAAATTTCATCTATAATTTCAACAATCCAGTTTAAATTCTATTCAATATCTATGTATGTTAATTGTATGTTTTGCTGGTTTCCAGAATACTAATGAAGGAATAGTTTAAAAAGCCTGCTTTTCCATCATGTATTCATTCAGAAAAACTGTGCATTTTTGAAGTCCACATGTTTATATGTCATCCATTGTGAAGAACACCAAGCATTAATGACCAATCAGTATCAAAATATATGTTTTCAGAAGATCATGTTGAAATATTTCTCTTTGGAAACCTTATTACCTTATTTTTGGCTAAAAAAATCATGAAGGTATAGGTAGTTTTAGCTACAAATCTTCAATAATAATATTGTCATTTCAGAGCCAAAAAATGTGATCTTGCTATCACAATTGCCAAGCTTTACACAGTGGTAAAGTGATGTACATCCTAGCTGCAGCCTTCCTGGCCAAATTGGGAAATTGGGCAGAAGTCACCCATGAATGAGACAGACATGCTCTTATGTGCAGACAATTGCACAAATTTCTATGGCCCTTGCTTCAGGCATAGATTATATATACTTCCAAGCCACTACCAGGGCTTTGCTGTCATTTTTGATGCCATAAGACTTGCACTAGATGAATAATTTCCTATTTGATTGCTAACAAAAGTGCACAAGTGAACCTGATAATCCCAAATTATTAACAATTTTTTCTAACAAGATTATAGTAGAGAGAATTTTTTTTAATGTATCCTTGCATAATTTATTTTGTAAAAATTAAGAAAAACTGCATATTTGTGTCCATAATTTTCCAAAATTTCCCATGAAATGATCATTTTCAACCATTATTTTAAGTCCGACATATTTGATTCATTAGAAATAAATCAATGTAGTCTTCTGGTCTGTTTGAGAGGGAATGTATTCTGCCAAATTCAATTGAAATAAGGTTTGTCTCTATATTATCATTTTTTGTAGTTTGTGCTATAATTTTGTCATTTAGAATTTTCCACTCAACAGTTAGTAGTGACAATTATTTGAATTCATTTTTATGCCTCCCTAAAAAGTTGTAATTATTTTAATACATATCATTATTATCCTTTCATTAACTTTGTTTAACACTATTCTAAAATAAGTTTCCTATATTTCTGTAAAATGTGTCAATTGCAAACTAATTATGTAATATCTCCTAGAGCTGCTGCTGAGTTGAAAGAGCTCTTGAAGAGAACTTCAAGTGATGTCAATCAGAAAGATTCTGTTGTACCGAGAAAGAAAGTGAAGAAGACCCTGAGGAATGCAGAATTAAGGTAAGACACCTTAATAAGGTGACACCAATTAGACACCTAGCAATATATTTCAATCCAAAGTTACTAATTTATTGAATGAATTTCATAACCAGATTCCAAATAGTTGTTAGTCTATGTTTGTTAGTCTATGTAAAGTTCAAAATTATTTAATGTTTTGTTCTCACTGGATGTTACTAGTTAGACATTTGAATTAAATTACAATTTGACTAGTATGTATGTATACTTAAATTATTTGAATAACGTTGCTGAACCATCTTGTTTGGACAAACCTACACAAATTTATTGAAAATTATTATTAAATGGAAATGATTCAAGAGATATAAATAGGGTTTTCAATTTTCTACACAATTTTTTTAATAATTATAGCACCTTGTTTATATTTCAGGTTAACAGAGGAGCTGCCACAGATCAAAGTTCACACCATTGAGACAGTTGATGCCTGCACACACGAAGTTGCCATTCCTCCCCATGAGAACTACACGCCTCTCGAGGCCCCCAAACATGAACCAGCCAAAACCTACCCATTTGTGTTGGATCCCTTCCAGAAAGAGGCCATCTTGTGCATTGACAACAACCAGTCAGTGCTTGTATCAGCTCACACTTCTGCAGGCAAAACTGTTGTGGCGGAATACTCGATTGCTATGTGCCTGGCAAACAAACAAAGAGTTATTTACACAACTCCCATCAAGGCTCTGAGCAATCAGAAATTCAGGGACTTCAGTGAAGAGTTTACTGACGTGGGGCTCATGACAGGGGACGTGACCATCAACCCTAATGCCTCATGTCTCATCATGACCACTGAAATTTTGCGTTCCATGCTCTACAGAGGCTCGGAAGTCACCAGAGAAGTTGGCTGGGTTATATTTGATGAAATTCATTACATGAGAGACAAGGAACGAGGATATGTTTGGGAGGAAACCATCATTCTTCTAAGTCCCACCGTTCACTTTGTTTTCTTGTCTGCAACCATTCCAAATGCCAGCCAGGTGAGGTGCAGGGTTATGTTATCAATGACAAATAGGTTGCCAAAAATGCTGACACTATTTCTGTTAAATTCAAACGATTTTATTGGAATACTAGATGAATGTACTCTACATGAGTCATGTTTACAATTAAAATGCCTAAAAAATTATACACTTATAAAACATAGAGATACTCTCATATGATGTATAATATATTTCTGTTTGCTTACAGTTTGCGCAGTGGATAGTATACTTGCACCATCAGCCATGTCACGTGGTGTATACAGACTACCGACCAACACCACTGCAACACTACATTTACCCTGCTGGGGGTGAGGGAATGTATCTCGTTGTTGACGAGAAAGGTGTCTTCAGAGAAGACAATTTCAACACCGCCATGTCTATCTTGCAGTCCGCCCCAGAACAGGTAACACTTCTTTCCATATTTTGTTTACAAATTTAGTATTAAGAAATTGAGGCATAATTCCTGCTGCATACTCTTTTTATCAAAGAAGTGATGAAAAAAAGTTAAAATTGAATTAAATATTTGGAATTATGCAAAATGTTTATATGTTCATTAATTTTTTTAATCAATTACCACTTCTTTTTTTCAATGCCAAAAGGTAGCTTTAGTCTCTTATTCCTTATTGCTTCTTTGTGCTTGTAATTGTTCATTTTTTGTTATACACAAAAAACTTGCCATTATTATCTTCTTCAGTGATTTTGATTAAATTTTTCAGCCTGACACTTTCTAGTGTAACTAAAATTTTATCATTTTAGCGTTTTTAACTTTTTAGGCTGGCAAGACAAAAACAAAAACATACATTACTACTGCCTAAGTTAGTTGGATATACCTTTCACCTTTGTCATTGCTTTGTCATATACCTTTGTCATTGCTCGTTCGAATTACTGCCTCTGATTGTACTTTTGAAGCTCATGTTGTCCATATTGTAGAGTTGTAATATATTATGAGAACTTTTGAAGATTAATATTTCGAAAATTAACTTTAATAACTTTCAAATGTATTGAGCAGCAAAACCAAGCGTTCGGCAGCGTGAGTGGAGGAGGCAGCAGCAGTTCCATGCAGAAGAAGAAGCCCACGAGTGGCAACAGTGAATGTCTGAAGCTCGTCAAGACGGTCATGGAGAGGAACATGGCTCCTGTAATAATTTTCAGCTTCTCTAAGAAAGAGTGTGAAGCATTTGCTCTGCAGGTAATCCTATTTTGTTGAAATCTCATCGTCATTAAATTCCATTGCATCCATGATTTAATATTTAAATAGTACTTTCTATTCGTATATACCCAACCAAAGTGTGCATAGAGATACTAAATACCTATAGTTCCACTTTTTAATATTCCTCAGGGAGTTATTTGTTGTACAGATTTTATGCTCTTATTAACCACGTTATCTGTAGAATCATGAATCACGATTCAAAATCCATTTTATAATGTAACAAACTAACCATTATTTGTTTAAGATATCCAAGCTGGACTTCAACTTGCCTCAAGAGAAGCAGCTTGTAGACGAGGTGTTCACCAACGCCACAGCGGTGTTGTCTGACGAGGACAAGCAGCTGCCGCAGGTCGTGTCCGTCCTGCCCTTGCTCAGGCGTGGCATTGGAATCCATCACGGCGGTGAGATAAAAATTTCAAGATTTTTTCCATTGTAAAATGTGAGAATTTGGTACACGTAGCTCTTGTCAGTAAAAGTGTGTAATTTTCTCTAGGTGCACTTCTTTTTAAAGACTTGTTCAGTGCACTAAACTCTAGAATGGTTGAGACTGATCTCTGAAAATTTCAGGATTTGACGTGTGTGATACATCTTTGGTAGCACCGATGACTATATGAAACAATGCAGTCCATGTTTTAGGTCACACATCGGTGATTGTTTAAATTAGGTGGAGTTCTTAGTCGGGCAATACTCTTGACCAATTAACTTGATGGTTTACTTTACAGTTTGTTATTAACTCGAAATTGGAAAATTATCCTTATGAAGTATTACAGTATTACTTTCAAATCACTATTTGCTTACAAAACAAATCATGTTCTGGTATATAGTTTAGTACCTTTTTAGCAGATCCATATATTTTTAATTACTTCAACAGGCCTCCTTTCCTACCTTACATGAATTGATGGTGGAATAAAAATTTTTAAAATCTTCTTTCTCATTTATTGCTATAAATGTTTCGTATAACTCTAGTTACGCCATTTCAACAGGCCTCCTGCCCATCATCAAGGAGACGGTGGAGATCCTCTTCGGTGAAGGTCTGATCAAGGCGCTGTTCGCGACCGAGACGTTCGCCATGGGCCTCAACATGCCGGCCAGGACGGTGCTATTCACCAGCACCAGGAAGTTTGATGGCCAAGACTTCAGATGGGTGAGTCGCTTAATATTTATTTATTAATGAGCTATCTTCTGTAGTTTGGGTGAGTCTCGCCTGCTAAATATTATAAGCTATCTTCTGTAGTTTGGGTGAGTCTCGCCTGCTAAATATTATAAGCTATCTNAGCGAAAAGCACACAACACACGAATTTTGGAAATTTGATGGTGAACGTACAGCCCGACCCACGTTTTTGGGGCGAGCCATAATTTATTTTCTATTTTCTAGTCCACAAGAAAAACGTGGTTTTTTAAAAAACGTGTTTTTTTTAAGTATTTTATTTACATCTCATTTCATTAAATGGTAGAACTTTCGAAATTATGGAAGATAAAGACATTAATTCTTAACTTGTCCCTACCAGCTGACGTCAGGCGAGTACATCCAGATGTCAGGACGAGCTGGACGACGTGGCAAGGATGACAAGGGCATCGTCATCATGATGGTTGATGAGAAACTCGACTCTGCTATCGCGAAGAATCTCGTACAGGTGCGGCAATGCTGTGATTCCGTAATATGCCTAAATAACTTTAATTGCACGTTAACTTTCCGACAGTTACGCATTTCATTCATACGCTTATCATTGTGCGGAGCACTCACATACTTTAGCAGCTTGAATTTGAGCAACAATTGTAGATCAATTATATGTTTCATTTTTTTATGAAAAAATTTAGAAATCTTGCTGATATTCGGTTTCTTATCGTCTTGATACTATTTCAGGGTAAAGCTGATCCCATGAACTCGGCCTTCCACCTCACCTACAACATGGTTTTGAACTTGCTGAGAGTGGAGCAAATCAACCCTGAGTACATCTTGGAACGATCTTTCTTCCAGTTCCAAAACTTCCTGAATATTCCATCGATATGTGAAAGTGAGTGTAGCTTTTTCAAGTGCATCTCCATTGCACCACTTCGAAACGCCTACAACCTTGGCTTTGTGCAACATGTCTATGGAGCTTTAGAAACGGCGGGAGAATTTTGGCTAATTATGGACATTTGTAATTTCCATACACTCTAGATTCCATAATGTGGAACAAGGACCCATCATCATTATGCTCCGTAATGCTGCTTTGATATGTACACAATTTGAAGGTTGTGAATAGGTAACTTTCACCTTAACAGTATCGAATTATCAGTGTACTATCATCTTATTTATTTCCAAATTTTGATCAAGTTACCTTGCTCCTCGTTGCGCAAGTTGCTATATGATTAATACGTTCAAATACAAATGTTATTGTTACGAATACGAATGTTACGAATATATGTTAAAGGAATTATGTTTGTTATGTTTTGGCTCTCATTTCATTGCATTTGATTTGGTCAGAGGTCGAGAAAGCGGAGAAAGCCAACGAGGACATTGAGGTGCCAGACCACGAGCTTGTCGAAGGTTACTATAAAATGAAGCAAAATATTGATAACCTGCTGTTGGAGCGCCACACCTTCATCACCAGACCTGCTCATATCCTGCCCTTCCTGCAACCAGGCAGGCTTGTCAAAGTCAGTATTTAGTTCATTAACTTCCTATACAGTTAGTAGCTCTTGAAGCCAGGTTCTGAATTTGATTAAACGAGACATTCAAATCATAAGAAAACGTATTTCTTAGGATTTGTTTACCTATTTTATATAATCTTGTAGGGACGAAATGAATGTATTGTGCCAGTATAAATAAGGTTATATTGGAAATAGCATTTAGATTATTAATGAGATAAGCGTCATAACTTTTTAAAAATTTTGATATGCAAAGTTAGTTATTGATTATGTTTTAGCTTTATTATTGTGAATTGGTGTGTTAAAGGTTACATTACATTAATCTCACTATTCCATCCTAAATTGGACGTGTTTCGGGTGCAAAGCTAAATGGGCCTTACCCAGCACGCCTGATTATTTTTATTCGTCCAATAGGAGGCAAATGAGGATAATATTCATCAGAAATTAACTCCACAAATTTCATGACATTTGCTTACGTAATTCGATCATGCAACATAGTAATCAACGAAGGATGAGTAAATTTAACCGTCACTTGTAATTAAAGATAGAATTTTTATAATTTTTTGGCTAAAAATACATTTTGTGATAAGGAATCGCCATACAATCATTAATATCTGCCTTGATCAGAAATTCAACAAGTATTCCGCTTCTGTTTGAGTCGTGAGTCGAGTGTATTTTTATTGCTGCAGACCAATGACGTGTCTTTGACTTGCCTATTCCTGCCTAAATCCTAATCTCAACTTCAATTAATTCAATTTATAAATTCAAGGCGTCTAATTCTTCGTGCTAGGTTCACAGTACAGTACATTTTCTCCTGTCGATGATAATTTTGTTATAGTACTTAAGTACCGGTACTAATATATTTGTTTTCGCGGTCAGATCAAGAACGGGGCTGACGATTTTGGCTGGGCTGTTGTTCTGAAGTACGACAAGAAGGACAACAAGAAAGACCCAACTGCTGCCCCAACTATCACCGTTGACGTTATTATGACCGTATCTAAAGTAACGGCCGATAAAAAGGTAAATGTTCTTGCTGTTACCTCGAGTGCTTTTTTTTATCGATTCCAACTTCTTCACTTATTTTTAGTTTGTTTCGTTGTTTATTCTAATTTTAAAGGTGGATCAAAAATCTCCTGGTTGCTATTATGCAATAAATATAATTAAAATATATCTAGTTTAATTCCTCAGAGATTGCTACTAGTTATCAAGCTCTGCAGAGTTGCATCACAGTTAATCGCGACCTCATAATTATATGCCTATAAACTTTCATAGCGCAAGCTCAGATTTTCATAAAAAATGTTGATGTGCAGATAACGTCTCTGCTGGCCCCGGCATTGGCAGGAGAGCGCAGCGTTGCTGTTGTGGTGCCCGTGTTGCTGCGCCTCGTGCAGGAGCTCAGCGCCGTCAGGCTTAAGCTGCCTGCCGACCTCAGCTCCCCTGACCACCGCACTGTCGTCATGAAGATGGCTCAGGTTCGTGAAGGCGGCCTGGCACTGCTTGGCATGTTGAACATATTATGTAATTTTGTTCATGTTACCACGCGGTGTTGAACATTGGTGAAAAATTCTGGTCTAATGTCATAAATTCCATTTTAGTGATAAGCCCTCAAAGTGTAATATATACGCCTGGAAATGCACATGCAAATGCAAACAATAAATAATATATATCAATGAAGTTCTAAGGTATGTTGCCATTTGGCTCGAATCGCCTTATACTTGATTGTACGTGAGGCTTCTTGCTAGAGTGTAAATTATTCAAATTTATAATGTACTCGTCCATGTTCTGAAATTGACTAGAATATTGTGTTTTTTTTTTCAAGCATTTGTATGTTTTCTTGAGCAGGAAGCAATCAAACGAGTGCCGGAGGATCAATTCTTACTCGACCCAGTCACCAACATGAAGATCAAAGACGAAACGTTCATGACCATCGTCAGTAAACTCAAGAAATTGCAGAAGCGGCTGGCCGAACACGCCCTCAATGTTGACCCTCGCAAAGATAAACTTTTGGCGCTGTTTGAGCAGAAAATGCAGGTACGTACTGCATTATAGAGCCTTGGACGACCAAATATACCCTCCGCGGTACATAATATTTACTTTATTTAATATACTCAACTGCATCCCAAATGTCACGAATTTAGTTGAGCTATCTGTGCTGTAAGGGAGAGGACATACCAGGGGGCTTAGAGACTATGAGATTCAAAAGTTTGAAGTTGCTCATGGTTTTCTAGTTCATCGCGTAGAAACCGAGAATGTTATATAACAATATATTTGAAATTTGCGAACAAATTTATCTATTACGAAATATTAAGCTTCTTCCAATAACAATGTATGATACTTCTACTAACCATTATTATTAGTAATAATAATAATGATACTATGACTAACTATATGATCAGGCGCAAGCAAATCTGAAAGTGGCGGAGGCTGAACTACGCGCGGCCAAGAGCGTCCTGCAGCTGGAGGAGCTCAAGTGCCGTAAGCGCGTCCTGCGCCGCCTCGGCTACGCCACCGCCCAGGACGTCATCGAGAAGAAGGGACGAGTCGCTTGTGAACTTTCTGCTGCCGACGAGCTGCTCATCACTGAAATGCTCTTCAACGGCCTTTTCAATGACCTCACTGGTACGTAACTTATTTTCAAAGCCCTGTCCAGTTACTTGATGATTTGTCCAGTTACTTCTAAGTTCTAGATTTAGAGACGCCCCTGCTAAAAGTACCACATACTTGTAATTTCTCATAAATATTTTATGGAATTATTTCAAGCATTGAACATGAACGAATTTCAATCAATGGTCATCTCAGTAAGCTTCGTTATTCTAGATGCGTGTAATATTCTTGACGAGAATTAGCCATTTCCCCATTTGCTGGAGGTGCTCGAGAGATTATTACAGCTAATTCATGTCACCATTGCAGCTGCTCAGACTTGTTCCCTGCTGAGCACCTTCGTGTGCGACGAGAAGAGCAGCGAAATGCCTAAACTCGGCGACGAGCTCTCGGGACCTCTGCGCCAGATGCAGGAAATGGCACGTCGCATTGCCAAAGTTGTGCAAGAATGCAAGCTCGACATTGTTGAAGAAGAATACGTTGAAAAATTCAAACCTTTCCTCATGGACGTTGTTTATGACTGGTGCAACGGGTCGTCTTTCTTAGAAATTTGCAAGAAAACCGATATTTTTGAAGGTATGTGCGCATGCTTCACTATTTGTAAACGTTTTGGCCATCAATTTAAACGATGTTATCCATGTCTTGTTGCAACAGAAACAAGTGGCTCACAGAAAGGAATATTATTAACTTAAAATTAGTCAACACAAAATTTAGCATGAAACCACATCGCAATAAGAATCATCTTCACGTGCCTTTCATTGTGTCGGGTAGTGTAGCGCGTTTTTGTATAAATTATGTCATGCACATTTCTTTTCTGGCCTTTAATAAGACTCCTTGTGCAGGAAGTATCATAAGAGCAATGCGTCGCTTGGAGGAACTGCTGCGTCAGATGATCCAGGCAGCTAAGGCCATTGGTATCGACCTCGAGAACAAATTTGCCGAGGGAGTTAAGCTTCTCAAGAGAGACATCGTCTTTGCCGCCAGTCTGTATCTTTAATGCTCGAGTTGCGGGTTTCATAAACTCACATTTTTCAATTAATCGGCAACTTGTTTGAGAATTAACACTACAAAATTATTAATCGAACTTTTGGTCTGTAATATAACAGGGTAATAAAAGTTTACCTTTATCAAAATTTTATTAATTAACCTAACAGCTGAAATTTATTGAATTGGAAATATGAACTGTTCTTCGAAGCCATGGGTTCAGCGCCGTTTGCGATCCCTTTTGGTCCTGAAAAGAAAAATAATTTAATTGAACTAATATGACTTCTACTAGCTGGGAGCTATTCATTCAGCCACTAGTTGAAGTTTCATGTGGTAAGGCAAAAATATCACGTTCCTTCATGGCATCTATTATTTCACGAGCAATAGGAACAGTATGGCAGGAAAACTTTAGGCCATGAAGCTATGCTACCACACATTATGTTTTGCAAGTAACTGCCGATCTTGCAATATCAAAATGATATTGATACGTGTTGATAAGCTACTATAAATTTGATGAGCTCACTTTCTGGGGCCCTTGCCAAAGCACCAGTCCACGGAGATGGTCTGGCCAAGAATGTCTCCTCCGTTGAGAGCGTCAAGAGCAGCTTGCGCCTCCTTGAACATTTCGTACTCCACCAGAGCATAACCCTGGGCACAACGATACAGCAAAGATTTAGATCAGTGCACAGAATATTATTGACATTAACGAGTGCAGGTTTATATTATACTAGTGAGTGGGCGATGCAAATTCCTTTGATCTCCATTTCAATGCACCAGAGGATTAACATCCATTTATCTTAAGCATTTAGTAAATGTTCAGCAGGGAGGTAGAGTTTTCAGCGAAGCAGTCAACCCAGTTTTAGATTTCAAGACTGTTGGTCAATATTCAATATGCCATCACGATGATATTAATAAAATTTCAACCTTTTATAGCTTACTTTCAAGAACCCTGTTCGTCTGTCAAGGTTAAGGTGCAGATTTTTTATCTCTCCAAAGTCAGCAAATTTGTTCTGAATGTCCTCTTCCTGCGCTTCTTCATGCACTCCCGTGACGAACAGAATCCAACCTTCGACGGCTGCAGGATATTAATTCTGATCAGTGAACAAAATCAATATTTCCCTACATTGATAAAAGCCTGAAAATTTCAAGGTAAAATTTAACACAAGAATGAATGGTCAAGACGAATAAATGAATAAGTTGTACGAAGTAACTGCGTGCGATTGCTTGATTTTGTGTGTGGGCAAGTTGTGGCCCACAATGATGAACAGATGAACAAGATGATATTGAAAATTACACAATTGGATACAAATAATCAGTTTACAGCATTCTTGTTCGTATCAACATTACTCATGGTGTTAACATGAGTCAAGTTAATGCTACATCGATCTATTGCAGTATGAATTATAACGACCTTGCATGAAAAGTTATGTCCATATGAAGATGAAGTATCGTTCAACTTTTCCTTTGACTACAGAGCAAAAAGTTGAATGGGTCAGGCCAAATTGTTAACAATGATATAATCAAAATTCTTCTACTAGGCTTGCTAATCAACAGGCCAAAACTCATCATCAAAAAAGATTGAATTACATCTTTGAGGTCCAGGTTCATCTCCAGATGCATCCTCAACAGCTTCATAACGGCCCTTCTCCTTGCGTTCCGGTCGATCGTCAGCTCCAAAGCCACGACCCTTGCGGGTGCGCGCTCTCTCCTTCAGTTTTACAAGCCCATCTGAAGTGCAACAGAGAATTGGTAATGAACGCAGGCACAAGAAAAGGAAGGCACCTGCAAAATAGCTGTTTAATCGCTTTTTAGGGTGCATTTGCCAACAAATCCAAACAAAAAAATGATCATCCTAGCTAAATGGCAAAAACATCCATCAGAAATGAATATGGCTCCGCATATCTTGAAATCTTACTCATTATTAGGTAATAATGTTATTGGATAAAAATACATATAATAAAGCAAACGATAAACGGTTACTTTGTCAAGTTATAGAAACTCTCCGTTGAATTTTATTTAAGAAGGAAATAGACTAAATTTCAAGAAACAATAGAAGTCAAGAATGGGATGCAATTTGTCTGTGAAATTAGTACGAAAGTGGAAGTGATTGTGCTAAAATAAACATAGCATGAATAGATTTCATCTTGAAAAACTCAAAGCTTAACTTATACTACTAATTTACATAAAAAATTGTATCAATTGTATTCACGGGTAGACATCAAACATCAGTGAACAAAATTGTTTATACATTAGAAGGTCATCCATTTAGTAATTGAAGTACTAAAACCTTTACTTAGTCTTCCTAATAGACATTCCTTATTGAGACTATGTAGACTTAAACAAGAGACATGTGATCATCTATAATGAAGAGCAGCAAATCAAATCTATACTTTTTAGCATATGAAGAAAAGAAAGGAAATTTACACAATGCAAATATGTAATACTCACGATCACCATCTTCATCAACTTCAAATTCTTCAGCGTTTTCAATATCTAAGACATCAGTCATTCTGAAAGTAAAGATTGTTCTGAAATAAAGAGATAAATTAGTACCCGAGAGCTTGCTGGGGAGACATTGAGTAAAGACAGTTATCTGGCATCAGGTTATGACCAAAGTAATCTAACAAACATTGATCATAACAGACAAAGAAAGAATCCATCCAATCTAAAGCTAAAATTGTTCCTCAGATTCGAGCCACGAATCATCTGACTTCCAAGCCACAACTATACTGGCACCAGCAATGCCTCAAATCCCGTTCCATGTAAATTGGTAAATTGAAATATATTACCTACTCTCATTATTCTAGGTCTACCGTAGTGAAATTCATATGAAAAAATTTAATGAGCCATTAAAAACCTGTATTGCTAATGCAGACCTAATGATAAATATGGAATATTGAATATGTAAATACTCAATTATCCAATCCAGTGGAAGTGAATCACATATAACTGAAGTTTCTGGGATGGGTATGCACTGAAGTTTTTTAGTTCAAAGGTACGGTATTAAATTTAAGTGATTTTTAACAACTCAGTTGTTCTTACAAGAGGAATAATTTTCTTCAAAGAATCTAATTTCTTTGCTGGCACAATTTTTACTAAGACTTTTTTTTACCAATCTTCAATCTTCTTGTTCTTCTTGCCTGATTTTAGTTTTCAATCAAATTTGTTACTCAGTGGCACAAAATTCTATGCACTTCAAGGTTCCCTGTTGTAAAATCTTATTTTGGCACCTTTTTTGCACAATTTACAACTTTCTGTATACAAATTTCTCAAACTTATTCTGATTTGTTCATAACAATTCAGTTGTCTACTTGTCATAATTTTAAACATCTCTTGCCAGGGTTGGCAGTGATTAAATCAAAATGATTAAATCAAGTGATTAAATCACTTGATTTTTTTATAAAAAAAATCATGATTTTTTTGATTTTTTCGATTTTTTTGATTTTTTCATATATTTAAATATATTGAGTGGCAGTCTTTAATTTATATTGAGGTATTGTTATTCATGGTTTAGTATAAATGTACTATAAATGACAAATTGGTATATAAACTTGTTGCCTTTAGTGTGTATTAGGTTCCAATAAATTGAATGTTTTTGGTGCATCAAGTGTGCAATACATTGTACGTAGCTAGCAGCTTATTATTGAAGGCAATAAGTGCCCTTTTTAGCCATCCATTATGATCCATATGCTGTTATTGTTAGTGGGCTAATTGCAACATAAAAAAGAACACTTCAAAAAGACAAAAAAGTTGAAAAAATCAAAAAAATCAAATAAATAAAAAAAATCATGAAAAAATAAAAAAAATCATTGATTTTTGATTTTTTTAAAAAAATAAAAAAAATCGCCAACCCTGTCTCTTGCATAATAGTAGGCTCGGGATTGCTGCTTGCAATGTTAACAATACCTAGAGTTTTCTATACCTTAATGTAGCTAATTTTAACTGGCGTGCATAGTAACCTCAGGTCAGGGCCTAGCACTTGCCAGTTTTGGATATCTATCATGTTGCAAAATGCTAAGAACATCGCTCTCAGAAGGTTAAAAATATTTTTTGTTAAAAAGATGTAATGCAAGTTAAAGTTTATATATTTTTTCCCATTTACCACTGAAGACTCCATTCTTGCCATACGCCCATACCCTTTCCTACTGTTGGACTCCATATATTCTAAATATCTCTAGGCACACACAATCTGCTCATGCTCCTCATTCATAATGCTCTAACAAAACATTTTGTTCAAGTTTACCTATTTAAAGTACTGCATCCCAATTCCCAAACCACATATTACTACTTCCTAAGAATTATACTTGCCTGCACTAAACTTTTGCATTCCAAATTGACTCAATGCTATAATTTTCCATTTATTATCCCTGGCTTTGTCACTTGTTTTCTAATCCCAATAAACTACATGAACCTACAGTACATAAAAAATCAATTTAAACTTTTTATTATCATTATTAGATCAATTTGGTTTTCTTCTATGAGGAAATTGATAATAAACTGATTTAACAAAATTTCTGGTTTGCCACTAAGCAGGGCAGGGGTGGCAAATGAGATTGCCAATCAAAAATTGCTTTTTATGGTGAGAAAAAGGGAATTGCACATTTCATAGTTCAAAAATCCAAGGACTTAAAGCTCAAAAAATCCAGTTAGGACTCCAATATTAGAGGTTTTACACAATGAAGTTAGCTCAGTTGGTTAAGAGAAACATCCAGATCCAGTTCTACCAAAAGCCTAACGGGCGGCTACTGCCCATTATTCCAGTCTGGCCAAAAGGCAGGGGACTGCACCTGACACTTTGTATGTCTACAAGTCCACAGACTTGTGAGACTACAGACAATGTCTACTGTTAAGCTCATGTGCTGCAACCTGCAAGCCTACAACTAACAGCTATAACAGTCATGGTCAAATTCTAAAAAATGGTTGGACAGGTTGGTCATTTCTATCCACCAGGACGGCCAGAGCGCCCCAGCGCTACTCACTAGAGGATCCACCAGGACTCAGTCCCACAGTCCCACACTCCCACAGTCCCACTGGCCACTTCTATTGGAGTGAGCACGCTCCTATTTTTGGCTGCTGCACTCCTCAATTACATAGGTGCATGGTCATTTCAAAGGCATTTAGAATGCCACCATGCTGAGTTTAGACTACTTACAACTTACAAGTTATAATTCGTTATAGCCTAGGACTCAAAATTGAACTTGAGGACAGTGGTCAGTGGACTGAGCCTCTGAGGTAGATTCTAAAAAAACTCTCTACTTAGAGAGTTTTTTCAAAAGACCAAAGTTCTCTACTTACTACTTAGAGAGTTCCCTAGCCACTATGCCTAGCAGCCTATGGCCATTGTGTCCCATGGGTGATGGGTCCCAATCCCATTTTTTTAAAATTGATTTTAAGACTTCGGGTATGATGAGATCACACCTCCCAGTCTGAGCACAACTTGATTTTTCTCTGAGCCTTTCTTTCTCTGGCCAACAGTCAATCACAGATTAATCTCTAGCTCACTCTCACCAGCCGGTGGTTGTTGTGTGAAAGAAGAGATAAAAGGATTAGTTACTGGGCGTCTTCATAGGGTGTTTACCATGTTGCAGCTTACTAGCAGGTATTGTCCCAGCCGACGAATTGCTGCTGTGCGTATTTTCTGAGGGATATCTCCTCCACCAAGAGCTGACACAAGGTTCCAAGGAAGTGAAAGATTTTCCAAGTTGGAGCGAAACTCGCGCCTCTGATTTGTGTAGAGCGAACAATGCAAGATGAAATGATTAATAGTGTCCTCGACATTGCATGTAGGACCCCAATCCCATTATTCAAATTAGTAGCCACTAGCCATAATGGCATAATCCATTGTTCACTTGTCCGTTCTACAATCTATATTACTCATTAAAAATATGGTATTATTGCAGATTAACTACATCCAAAAAAAAGGGTGTTTTTTTTTTGAATTATATGTTTTTTGGGATGTAGATTACGAATCTGAAATCCATTTTTGGCGGTCGGCATCGGAAAACCGATTTTTTTCCGACCCAAAAATCGCGCTAAAAATGCCTAAAATCTTAAAACATATAATTCAAAAAAAAAACACCCTTTTTTTTTGGATGTAGTTAATCTGCAATAATACCAAAAATATTTTATAATGTCACTGCACTGGCAACCACAAATGGACAAGGCAATTTACCAAAATCCTTCTCGTACCTATGTTAAAGTTAAACGAGCAGCGAGTGTTACTCGTTAACTGTTTTTCATTCACATATCTATGATGTTTAAACGGATTACGAGTCAATTTTCTGTAGTAACGAAAACACGGATTCGTCTCAAAAACACTGAACATGACTAACGTATAATAATAATAGCGGTTTCAGCGTTTAGTAGGCCGTAGGCCTGTCGCCGATTCTTAACACCGCAGAACATTCACAGCATTTTGCGGTCTCGAACTCGCAACTCCCTGCTACAGTTCTGCTGTGCTTATTGCTTACCCGCCCGGCCTCCTTGCAGATTCTGACCAGAAACTGGCGCACCGAGCTGTGATTGAACCCACGCCTCCCTGCGCCAATCCTGGTAAACTTTAACCACTGGGCCACCCTGTCACACGACCACGACCACACGACTTTTACAGAAACAATTTATTTCAGCCTATCAAGTTTTATAAATTGATTGTTTCTGGTGAAGGCTGTACTGGCTGGTGACATGAAACTCAATTGGCATTGATTTGACCTTAAATAGTACGAAACTACGAATAATTACGTAGGAACGTAGTAGTCCAGTACAGCGTTGCCAACTGGTATATATACATACCAGATTTCACAAATCAGGTATTTTCAAACGGTGTCTGGTGTGAATATTTTAAATCTGGTATATTTATAGTGGGTATATCGGCACCGCTATAAGCTAATGGTGAGTAAGGGAAGTGCGAACAGGGAAACCAACAAGTAATTATTAGGCGGATGTGGTGAACGGTGTATATGTGAGTAAGGTAAATATTTCACCTGTTGAATAAACGAACTCTTATAAGGCTAGCATACTTGTATAACATGGTTTAAATTACACGATTAATTGAACAATGCTATAACAACTGCTATTTAAGGTCTTACCCCACACGTTGGCGGGCAAGGTTGAAGTGAAATGACTGTCAATATATAAGAAGTTCGCATGGTTGTCTGACTGCTAATGCTCAGCTGCAGTGATGACGTCACCTCCTCCCGCACTGTAATGATAGTCATGTAAGTGCTGCTAACGTGTAATATATTCAGAGACCAGACTGCGCTAGCGACTTACAATTCTGTTTCGAATTTGGGAATGAAACACAGAAGGAATTTTCCTCATTAACTGGCCCCAGGAGACCAGGTTACGCGCTGTATTACAGATTTGTAAATGATTATGACTACAGGAGTTACTCAATATTGTAATATCTTAGGTCAGTGCTAATAATATGCATATGTAGCTAAATCATATTTAACGGAATATCAACTGCAGTTGCTAATTGTTTATGATGCTTAAGGCAATAACATGATAATAATGTTGAGTTATAGTTGGTGGGTAACTTTGCTAGAATTCACTAGGCTAGCAACGTTCGTAGAAAATGAGTTGCGGGGTAACTTGTGGAAACGTAAATACATGGTCGCTACAAACTATTTGAGGAAAAATGAACAACAAATATCGGTGATTCCTACATATTTGCCTAACTCTGGTATTTTTTCTGGTAATTTCTGACTTGCTGCTAATTAAATGCATTAAGTTCAACCTCTGAAGTTTGAACTTACCGCAGTAATAGGACCGAATCGACACTTCAGCGAACTCGCCTGCGAACCGAACTGGCCTTAGCACTCGAGGAGGGTCGGTTCGACAACCTAACTCGCAGAGCTGGGCAGCGCTACTTGGAAATGTAGCGGCGCTACCGCTACCGCTACATGCTCTAAATGTAGCTTATATATATATTTATATAAAAAGTCCCATTTATAGCCTATTATTCACGTTAAATTGAACATTAATAGGTCTAAAGCCGCGTGCTGGTACCTTGAATGCAAACAATTGGCAATGGGAAAGCTTGGGCTACAATATCAAGACTTTTTGGGCATATTCTTCTGTTTTCAATGAATTTTACTTTATTTGGCTCCCCTGAACAATTTAAAAATCTAAAAACGCCATCTTAAAAAATTTATACCTCCAACAGTTTTTAAGCTACGGTAATGAGAGACATATCATTCGATTTGTAAAAACAATACCTAGCGACTCTAGAAGCCTTTTTTTAATTTGTGCATTGTGCATGGTTTGACTTATATATGGGAGGGGGAGGAAGGTGGGGGGGATAAAATGTAAAAATGGGAAGAACGCGAAAAAAACGATGAGGAAAATAAATAAAAAATCGGGGCTCTACTGTCGCTAGATATTGTTGTTACAAATCGAATGATATGTGCCTCGACATTGTAGCATGTGATTTGCAAAAGTTATAAACTTTTTTAGAGTAGGTACCCCTTATTTGCCGTTTTCTATTAATTCCACGTTTTCTTTCATTTTTTTAAAATTTACATGAACAAAAAGGTCATAGATTTCTGTTTTACATAAGTGTACCAAGTTTCAAAAGGATCCGTCTGTAAACAAGAAAGTTTTGTTGGAGGGTAGCCGGTCCCCTTAAGTAAAATCTACAGGCTTTATCTATATATGTAGCGGTAGCGCTGTAGCGGCAAAACCTCGTATCGCTACCTAAATATGTAGCGGGCGCTACCGCTACCACTACATTGCCTTAAATGTAGAGCCGCTACCGCTACCGCTACTGAAAATGTAGCAGCCGCTAGTAGCGGCCGCTACATGTAGCGCGCTACTGCCCACCTCTGCTAACTCGTCAGAGGCAACCGGGCGGAAACGGCAAGTTAGGTTTCGATTCGAGTCCGCAGGCCAGTCCGCAGCCGAGTCCGCTGAAGTGTCGATTCGGTGATCACAACCGAGATGTTGGATAAATGCAATATAAGTATGTACGAAAATTTCTGTGGCTTGCTCATCTTGAGTGTAGGGGAAGAAGTGTCGCACTGCGATAAAAAATGGAAGAAGTGTCAATGTAATCAAACATAGGAAAAGAGGGGTGTCAGAATGTTCGAACAGAGGGAAAAAATAAAACATGTTCAATCAGACTATTTATTTGTCAAGCCAGATAAATGCACAGTAAAAAGAAGAAAAACCGACTTTTATTTTTCTAACCAACATTTCTGACGAATAATTTCATTAAATTCGAAGGTATTAGTCTGTGAAAAAATAGAATTTTGGTATTTTGAGCTAGGCAATCTGGTATTCTCGCCGAGAAAAAAAGTTGGCAACACTGGTCCAGTTACTCTAGTAGTAACTAACTGGCAGTAAGTCAACTCATTCTCCTAATCACCATCATGGCATCACCATGTCACCAAGCAGACAGTCTGACAGCAGCTCCAAGCTTGATCTTGGAGAAGTATTCCCTGTCGACAAAACTGTGACCTGAACAGTTGTTAAATTGATGTTGAACAATTTCTCATCAAACCTAAGAATTTTTGCTTCTAAACCAATCCACAGTTTATTCTCATACTCCCAATTCCTATTTTTTAATTAAGAATACTACATGATTTCTTAAATTGAAAGTTCATCAAGAGTTTAAAAGCAAATAAAACAGGCAACCACCAAAAAATTCATCATTTTTTATGTGAGAAAATGTCTTGCAGTGATGCAGTCCAAGTCCAGCTCCATTCCCAGGCGGCCAGGCCCATGACCCCATCGGAATTCAGACCATCGTCAGTTCAAAAACCTAGGCTATCCGCTATAGGCTAAAGCACAAGTACAAACAAATGAAACAATTAGCAAACTAAATTTCACATTTGAGATGTTAAAACATCAATTGTCAAATAAAACCAAGGAAAAATTAGGCATACAACCATACTTCAGGCCTAGTATGGAATATATCTACTTGGCGAGCCGCGACTGAATTTTTCGAGCCGTGGTTTTATGGATTTGCCAGCCGTGATTCCATTTCTACGAGCCGTGATTCTATTTCACCGAGCCGTGAATTTCAGATCTCGGCCATGAAAAGCCATTTACAAGGTGCGAATGCGAATTTATTTACAAAGTTTATGCACGTGTTACCCCAAATCTCTAATTTTACCCTTAAACAGTCAAACGGCAACAATAAAATTTGTCTCTACTGTAAGTTCAGCATGTGTTAATTTACAGTCTGACCCATAGTGGCAAAGCAGAGAGTTGTTTAGATTCTCTCTCAAGTTCATTTCTGAGTCCTATAAGTAGACCAGTAATGTATCCTGGATACCAGCATTATCATACTTAAGAAATTGATTTAAATCTTGAGTAAATGAAGAAATTAAAAATGAACTGATTCTAAAAAAGCTCTGGTTTGCCACTATGGTCTGACCGCTTTGACATGACCGCAACTATGCGCGATCTTCAACAAACGTTTTATTTATTTGTTTACATTACGATGTTTATGTTTTTTCTGCAAGATATTTTTGGCGGAAAAGGTAAAGCAATGCGGATTGCGGAAGTTGAAAATTTTATGAAATGACATGTTTGCGAAGCAAACCGCGATTTTTTAACACTTTAACCGCATCTCCGAGAATCGCCATTATGCCCCGTCTGCATCTCGTTCAAACTACGATTGCTTCAGTCACCATTGAGCCAGGAAGACGAGAGGTTGTGTGTCGCTCTATGAACGTAAGTACAAACATTTGGTGTTATAAAATCCGTGGGACAAATGTGGTACATGATGTGGACAGTAAAAGCTGTGTTCATTTTGTGCATCGTGCGCCACATGGGGTCACGATCCCTGTGCACCATGGTCAGGAAGATGTGCCAGGTGCGCGGGAATTGATATATTGATTCTCTCGATACGCGCCGTGCGCCGTTCTATGCTCTCAAATAAAAGGCGCCGTGCGCAGAGGTGCGCCGTGCTACTAATATAGTTTGAGAATGGATGCGCGCGAGCGCAATGGCACCCGAACGTATACATGCATTGGGGGACTGCACGTACAGGTACAGCCAGCCCATCAGGTATTAATGAACGCTAGACAAATATATTTAGAAAAAGACAGGTCAAATTGGTAAATGACGCGAAGGCAAAGCGAGAGCTGCAGCGGATGGACATTACTGAAGGGCTTCAACACTAAACAGTGAAAGCATCAGGCCAAATATCCTATTTTTTACTGTTCTCTTACACGAGTAAAACTAGCAAATAGAATGTTATGTCATTTTTGATTATCCTAGATGCATACAATACCCTTCTGCTGTGGTGGTCGTGTTCCCAAATAATGACAACCGTTTGCTCATTTAACGGTAATTTGTGAAAGTTGCTCCAGAATCCAGATTAGTCATAGCCATTCTCAGGTTGACAGCAGGTTTCACCCTCAATTAAATATGATCAAAGATATTAAATGGACCTACAAACGTGCATTTATTGAACTTTTTTACTTTCAGATCTGATGCGAGCGGTGAGCGTCTCTAACAATGCAAAGGATGTATGTATTTACCAACAACGATCTAAGAGCTGGCTCTACAGAAAAAATGCAACCTGGCTATAATCATATCAAGATCATCGCATTTAAATTAATAAACATAAAATCTCCCTATTAAAAATTTATATATCCTTGGTCATGAAAGATAATATCAACTACTGAACTACGCAAGGCGAAATATGATAACAAAATATAAGACGTCTCCGTCTTGCTTCCGACTCCGTCGCTTAACGGTCGAGTGAACACATGGTTATCGTTCGCATCCGCATGCTGCATTTACTGTACAAGGATCTTTACTGAACTCGGTGGTAAGGGTCGTAGCCTTACATTCTGTACTCAATCCCTCTGAGGTCAAGACCGTGCAATGAACATGCAAGTTGAAACAAATTTCTTCCAGTCGCTAAGTGAATCACAGACCTAAATTCAAATAGAAAAAATAAACATTAACATTTCCGTAACTTAAAGCTAAGAAATACCTATTAATAGTAAAATATATTTGGTCTGTTGTTAGCAAATTGAAAGGATTCACAAAATACAAGAAACACGTTTTATTCGTCACTCTCCTCGTTGTCCTCTCCAGTAGGGCAGCCAATGAAGGGACATCTGGACTGTAAATGTGCTCGGCGGTTGACAACTTTGCTGACATCATAATTTTTAGCCCTCGCATCCTTAAAGAAGGGGCCTCGGTGAGGATTCACACCACGTGAAGAATCCCCCGTGTAGTAAATCCGTGCCGCCATATCCAAAAGTCGCTCACAAGCTTGGCTACCAACTGGAGGCAACATCCATCGCAGCTTTGAACGCCTCTGTAGCGTGCTGTTATTCTGCCCCCCGTGATGCTGCTGAGAACGCATGGTGGAATAAAATGTCTCCACCACAGCTTCTGTAAAATAGATATAGTTTATGTAACATGGAAATTCTAGCAAAAAACTAATTTAATTAATTCTTAATATTATAAGCGAGTAATAAGCGTGATTACGCTGTTACTGGAGAATGAAATGCAAATGCAGTCATGGAAACTAATTTAGTGATACTTTACACAGTAGATAATTTTACCCAAATTTAGATAAGCAATGAACAATCTACCTGAGCCGCCACGATGCAGGGCGAAGTCGAGGAGCCGGCAAGCCGAGTAGCCCATGCGTTTGTAGAGACGTGGATCCTTGTAGAGCGACTGATAAATTGCCTTCTCGTTTAGCCGCGTATCAATAGTATCCCCACTCGGCGTTGACACCCGAAGAAGAAGTTCAAACTTGCAATATGAGGCTGAGCTTTCTGTTTCTGACACAGAAGTGATGGGACCAGTTACCGGTGGTGATAGCCATGCGTCTCTGCCTAAGCCAGATTTAAATGCCTCATGGAGAGTAGTCACGTAGGAAGATAAATACTTTCGTGAAAGAGGGGCTTGCAATTCTAGGTGCTCGTAACTCTCCGCCTGCTGAACAAGGCGCCGGCTGGAAGCTGAATTGGTGTGAATTTCGATCTCGATGTCAACATCAGGCTTCGTCAGCAGCAGTATGACAGCAGCAGCATCCATGGATGCAGCATCAGTCGCCTCCGACCCACATCCTTTCGAGACGCGGGACACGAATGACTTGTGAAGAGCTGCGGCTAGCTTAACAAGCTCGTCCTGCGGTTAAAATAAAAACTAGTGACCCATGATGCGTAAAAAATGCGTCAAGCCACAAATATTAGATATTGGGATAACAAGCAAGAAAACACTACACGACAAAAATTGACCTGGATATCTTCAACTTCTCTAGTGCACCATTTGACTGGGCCTCCAGCTTTGTGAGATTCAACCAACCACCCATCGAGCAGCGGCACGTTCAAATAACTGCCACCTGGGCGGATAGAATGGTGGCACGCTGCCAGGGAAGGGTAGTCTTCAACCCGAAAATCTGAAGACCTGTATTAAAAAAAGAACAAAATTGGCAGTTTTGTAGGAATGTTATATGCATCACTAAAGAATGGTTAGGAATAATTGTACAATAATTTATCACATTAATTCCACTTGAACATATTAAAAGTAATTATCCAAAAATTTCAATAGCTTACCTATTCTTCAGAAAGGTGGCGACCTTAGGCCAAAGTAGAGTTATTTTCCAGTGTGGCTGCTGCATGTCCTGGACCAATTCCATTAAAGCACATATGGGAGATAGGAGGTCGCGCAGGCACAGCAAATCGAACACGAAATCGTACCCGAAAAGTTGGTATTGCAGTTCTTCATTGTCTGAACAGCTCGGATTTTCAGTTCGAAATGCAGAGTGTAGTTCCTAGATAAGATAAACAATAGTTAAGAAATGTTAAAGGTAGCTTGCAGTTTCAACATGTGTGAGCATTTTAAATTTTCAAATCGTAAACTTGGCATAATATACTTCTCAATTACCTCGTAGCTGGAAGCAATGGAATGCCACTGCTTCATGGCGGAGCTTGCAAATCGTTGGGTTGCAAAGGATGATATTGCACGAGCACCTTTCTCGGATGTTGCTTGCAACGCCGCATACCCACGGCCTCGCCCAAACAAAGAAGCAAACCGATTTGCACGCTTAATGAAGCGTTGCAGCAAGAGGCCTTCTGGTCCATCTCTGACATCGGTCACTGCCAAATTAAGAAAATGGGCTGGGTCCCAGGTGATAGGTAGATGCTGCTTGTCATTTGGAGACATCTCAAGCTGATCTCTTAGTGCACGTACAAATGGCTCATTTTGGTATTGCCCATCAGCAACGACACCGACAAGGTTGCCCATAGGCGGATCAAGCATCCGTACCGTCTTTAGAAGATTTATTGCTAAAGACTTGCCTCCAGCATCCATGTCATCACCATAGATCGGTGGTGCGCCAGCTGGAATGGCCAAAGCCTGCCCAGTATCGCACCGGGTTAATAACATGACGGCCTGGTTGGTGGTGCGTGAAGGTGTGCTCTTGTCGCACGTCAAACAGAAGAGCGGTGGGAGCCCAGTTGACGGTAATTGTTGCTGCAGGAAACGTGAAGTTTCTTTATCTAAGCAAGCCTCGAGCAGCTTCCAAAGCTCAGTGCAGAATTGGCTGGGTTGTAGGAAAGAACTTTTTGTATAGATTAAGTCGAAGAAGCAAGAGAAAATTTGTCACTTATATACATTTCATCATTGTTGACATATGTCGCGTGCAAATTTGTTTTTTTACAACGCACTGACGTCAGAATAAAGAAAGTATAAGACTAAAAATCTATTTATTTTAGGATGAAATTGAAACTCAACTTATTTAGAACACAGAGGCAATGGACACTTACAAGCCATGACCAATGGACCCAATATCGACACCAGAGGACGGCAGAAGTGTTACAAACGTCTCGAAATGCATGCAGCCAGCAGCAACCTCTATGTCAGTCACTGCACATCGCAGGAGCGTTCGCACGACTTTCTGATTTAGAGTCTTTTGTTTCTTCTCCGCCTCATATTGGTGCACCGCATTAACGTGCGCCCTTCCGGTGATCCCTGACAAGTGGCATTGATGATGATGATGAAGTTGAAGCTATTGTAGATAAATCAGTTCTACAAGATGGCCTTTTCTGGCAACTCATCAGAACTGAAAATGCTGAAAAGGAAGAATATGTAATCATGCATGGTAACTTATGAACACTAAGCATAATTTTCAAAGTTTTTTAAAGAAAATCTAATATACTACAATTGGTATGAGCTAACAGAATTCATTGAAACAGTCCTACAGCCTACAGGATACAGCCAGTGATAGAAGTGAATTAACCAGAGATAGCAGTGAATCAAAACGCCATCATGGGATGATGGGGACAGGGTTAGATTTTGGCCCTGTGTCTTCAATAGTTGAAATACATCTAAAATGCTATTAAAAATATGAATTCAAAATGAAATAGAACAAATAACTTGGAATTTATTACAAATTTAAGGTGCAATTTGCAAAGGGTAAAGGGTGCAAGATTCTGTCTGGACAAATATGACAATTAGACAACTAATGAGTAATGCCAGTCTAGCATCTGCCAGATTTTGGATGAATTCAGACACAGGTCACAGCCTCACAGGTGCAGAGGTGCTGACTCATGACGACTGAGGTGCACAGCAGACATCTCAACTATCAAATAAAGCTATCACTCAGCCTATCAGCTATGTAGACGGTAGAAGTAAATTCATCAGTAAATTCATGCTTACCATTAACATCACCCGTTGCCTTATTTTGGCTTGAATCCATCTCAGTAGGTAGTCAGTTGGTAATTGGTATGCCGTATGTCATAATGTCAGCAGTATATAAGTTAATAAGTATTGTCGCTTAGACACTATTGAGGCGGTATGGTATGTCGTATTTTGTAATACCAATTATGTCAAAATTTGTAATACCACTTGAAAGTTTGAAACTATGAGGAAAAAAATGAACAAAACTCTCAATGACATTTGTAGCAATAGATTTATAAAAAATACACTAGTAAAGAAGAAAATAATTTTCAAATTTGCTTCAGAAAGTGGCCCAAGATGCAAGATTAGACCTTTCCAGTTTCCAAAATTTAAAATTCCAGTAGCTTATGCCTTATAGCCTAGCCATATTGCATTAAAATTTAAGGCAATGAGCCATTTTGGATTTAGATTAGAAAAAAAGCATAGCTACGCCTACGCATCGCATGCATTCCCATGTAAATGCAGCAGTGAGCAGTGAAATAATTTTCCATTGAGATTTGAGACACACATTATAACATTGTCTGTGATGCACCATAGAAACCTGTCAAGTGTCAACTCAAAGTCAGAGAAAATGCTAGAAAAACTCTACTTAGGCTATCTAGCTATTCACCCACACTGTTCCATTAAAAACCAATCATAAAACAAAATTCTTTAGAGCACTATCATACTATGGGACAACACTTGCAAATTGCGCCGTAAGTCCGTAGCAAGCAAACGAAACAAATTTCTTAATAAAAAAGATAGAGTGGACATAAAATGATAAATATAATTGTACCAAGAAAAGTCAAGATTAAAGAACCACACCGCAAATCATTCACCGTCCATAACGCGCTCACGCCCCACTAATAAGTGCTAATTGCATAAAAAAAACACAGGCACCAGAAGAAATCTATCTTAATGATAATTTTTCATTTTTATTGCAACGATGAAGGTTAATTATAGAGGCGAACAACGAACATTAATAAAAATGAGAATGGCTTCAGAGGGACACTGTACACATCACACTCGAAGTCGAAGATCGAAAATGCACGTGTCATATGATGTTGCCATTCCATTCAGATGAAAACTGTGTCTAAATCAGAACTGTGTCGGATGGCTCCGCGCCGCGCGCCGAGTGCTGCGCGGCGTGAAATCAATGACCGTGATTTACGCGAACGTCTGCGCTAAGAAAATATAATTAGATTATATTGCGCCGAACTGCGCTGACCTAGGGCTTCAAAAACTATATATACGCGGGAATTTTCACCGTTTATATACATCTTCCTGAGTGTGGCCCGTGCACCAATAGAGGTGCACGATGTGGAGAGTAATTGTAGCTATTATCTGTAGCAACGTGCGCCATATGTGACCACAACCACTGCATGTTATTTGTAAAATTTCTCGTGAGATCCTTCAAGTATTCATTATATATTGTTGATTATTGGATACACTTAGTGTTTGCTATATAATGAATTATGTAATATCCTCATTTCAGGCCCATGGATCCATCTCNCATATCTGTGCGTATCATGCTTCAATCTGAAGCATTCCATTTCGTCATAGAGCGCCTAAGGACTCAAGTTCAACGAAGAATGATTAATAATGTTTACTCGCTACACGCAAAATATATGCTTAGTATACATTATCGTCATCATTATCCTTTACTTATAACACCTAAAATGTGATTGAGGAGGTTAATATTGAAGTTTAATGAATTATTATAAATTTAAGGGAGTGCACCATATGTGGGTCACGATGCAGGTTGAGACAGACACGCGTGACCCACATATGGGTCACGATGCGGTTAAAGTGTTAATCAAACAAAAATTTATGACATTCGAGCCGTAAGATTTCATACCTACTGAAATTATATGATATTAGAGCCGCGATATTTCAGACAAAAATAGGACTTTTCCAGACTAGCTTCAGGCTATGAGCCACTAGCCAGAGCAGACAAAACTAGCCTAGTCACAGTAATTAATAAAATACTTAAAAACTTTTTAAAAAATCACGTTTTTCTTGTGGACTAGAAAATAGAAAATAAATTATGGCTCGCCCCAAAAAACGTGGGTCGGGCTGTACGTTCACCTTTAAATTTCCAAAATTCGTGTGTTGTGTGCTTTTTGCTTTAATCATAAATCTGCCCGACACGTTTTTTGGAGCGAGCCATAATTTATTTTCTATTTTCTAGTCCACAAGAAAAATGTGATTTTTTAAAAAGTTTTTAAGTATTTTATTTTCTAATTTTTAGTCCACAAGATAAACGATTAAGATTTGATTAAGTATGACTTCACATACTTATCAACGATACGCAGCGTCTGCTCATCTATAACGTGAGCGCCCGCACGTCATACTATATATATACTACTTATATATACTTTACTCAATTAAACTAATTTAGGTCTCTAATTACTAGTTTTTATGATTGTATCTGAAATTGTTAGGCGAAAATAGCCTGCATGCCGAATTTCAGATCTCTAGAACAATCAGAAGTGGGCTAATTTTCGTTGTCAATGTTAACAACAAACAAAGAAACAAACAAACAAACAAACGCGAAGCTAAGCTAAGAAAAACGTGTTAAAATCAGACTCAGGGTCAGGAATGTGCAACTAAGTGCAAGCAAGTTTCCTGTTCTATAACTCCTTCTTTTATGCCCAGCCAGCCTACTATAAAAATTGCATGTATGCCAAGTTGCCAACAGCAACATAGGCCTATGCAGAACCCAGGGTGCAGAAGGTGGAAGCAGCATTGCCAATATATGGGTTTTTAAGCCCAAAGCGTCGCCGACAATTTTCAAGATGCGTCGCCAGGTAATTTTTAATTAAAAGCCATTTAAACTGAGTAATGTAAAACTATTTACAAGCCACAAACTTATTTACAAGGTTGCATGCACATGTTACCCCAAATAACTAATTTTACCATAAAAACAGTCTGATTGTACAGCAAGTGTCAACTGAACATGCGATGATGCAGTCTGACCGCTCTAATGTGACCACAATTACATTGTTTACATTTTTTTGGCGGGAACTCATCGCAACCAATTTCCGGACAAGCTTTACTGCATCCTGATCTATCCAATGTACCGGAAACCTTACTTTTTTCTAAATAGTGTGCCAAAGACTGACAAATATATTAAATGCAAGAAATACAATCTAAATGTGTCGGCAAGATCTTCTGAAGGCGTAAATTTTGCTAATGAAGCGTCGCCAAAGATCTTGCAATATTCATCCACTCTCTGCACAGTGGTGCAGAACATCTGCGCTACATATGTTGGTAGGCCTATGCGCACATCTGCGGCAGATGTGCACTGTGCACAACTATATTGATAAACTAGGGAGTCTGGAAGACTGGAGTAGAGATGATTGCATGGAAATGGGGATTGTATCTTTTTGCCTGGAAAAAATGATTTTAAATCATTCACCAGCAATATGCAAAGAATTACATTTGGGAGGCATTTAAAAACAAAATTTCTAATTCCTTAGCCATCATAGTCTCTACTGATTCATTCTCCAAAGCAGGACAAATTTAAGGAAATGAACAAAAAGCAGTGTTCCTATTGTTAAATTTTGAAATTGCTAATGCTAGTAATTGTTTTACTTGTGCTTTAGGTTTTTCAACTGGCAATGGAGCTGGACTCCAAAACGTTTTCTTGCATAAGAAATGGTGATTTTTTTGCTGTTTTCTTTGCTTTTAAATTATTATTACTAATATTATTTTTTAGATTTGCTGCCAGCCTGTACCTTGCCCTGCAACAAGAGCAGTGGGAGCTTGTATCCTGTCCTGACACTGACAGTACTTGGTGTCAGCCTGTCACCAAGGGCAAGTCTGGCAAGTCCTGCCTAGGAAAATGTTAAAGGGTTGCATATTGATCATGTATTTTTATAATAATTAGATAGTACTTGATACATTGCATAAATTTATGCAGAGCTTCACAGCTTCATAAATGGTAGGATTTTGTGGATTTGACAGTCACATTGAAAAAGGTGATACCATAAAATGAGGTAAATAAGTATACCTAAAGTTGGACCAATTTTAGCACTTACCATTTTGTGACAGAGACAGTCACATAGACATAATAAACAAATAAATGCTTAATGCTATAAAGAAATTAATTTTATTTGTAGGTGTTTTTATCTTGCCTTCTTATGAAGTTATGGTACTTCAAGGAAATGAAGAGCTATGAATAAAATGTCTAAGGCTAGAACATTTTGAATATAGAGTTTTCTTTTCTTAAATGTCAAAACTGTCCAAATCAGAAGTCACATCATCGATGGTCCAAGTCAAACTGTTTTACAATACATTCCATGTCTGGTTGCACGCTTGCAGCTTGCAGCATTGGAATTTTCCTATTTATTTACTTATTGCTGAAATCTTGCAGCCTCAAAGTGAAAAATTTACAATGCATTGGAATCTCCCAGGACCCAGCCCAATGTTACACTTTGTTTATTTACAATTAGATAAAAGGTAATTTAGCTATGAGTAACAGGAATTTTGCAGTATTGATTGATTTTTCTTGCAGTATTGATTGATTTTTCTTGCAGAAATTTATTTTGCCTGAATGCAATTTTGTCTCTTTGTATATTCTTGTTTGTTCCATTATTCATCATGCTAGGTATATTAATTTTTGATCAGTTAAATGATATAATTTATATAAAAAGTGATATTGGATTTCTTCGACATGTTCAAGGCATGGCTGTGGCTCAAGGCCTCAATTCCCCTTCTGAAATCAATGATGTAAGTTCCCCAATTCCCCTTGTAAATCAATGATGATGGCTGTGATGATGGTTTTGGCTAGATTTTGGTCAGTTCTTGTATTTTCAGAAAAATGTATATTGTCAAGCATATACCAAGCATATTCAATAAAATATGCTCTTCACAAAAAATGTTATCTATATAATTTTTTTTTGCCTGTAGGCAAGTCAACACTCATGCCAACAACAAAAATTGCAGCTAGTAATTCATGGTCTGTAGCAGAATTTATGAGATGCATAGAATTTTTCTACAATTATTTTCACTTTCCAGCTGAAAAAGGCAGTGGAGGCCAATATTTTGGTGCAGCTTTTTTCACCTCTGCTTACCTCTCACCAAGTGATGGATCTGCAGTTTGGGAACCCCTACACAGCCATCACTTGCCATGATGGCACAACACTAGCTATTCATAAGGTGAGAACTGATGGAAATTTCTGTTAATATTGGATTTAGGAGACCTAACAATAACTAAATTAAATTTCAATGCTCATTGTGGATAATTTAGCATTGTTCACAGTGATCAATAGACATCTCTAATGCATAAGTACTAAGTTATGGTAAAAATGTTTCAAAGGGTGTAATATTCCCTAAAGGCTCTTAAATGTAACTTTATAAGAAAATAATGATTACAATTACTATTTATAAGTCCATGAATACCTGCAATTGAGGATGATCTTCTACATTGCCTAGAGATTATCCATGAGACCAGCTTATAATTGTAGGTGCCGAAGTATTGTGCATAAAGTCACATTCCATATTGAGCTACAATTTCTACTCATTGTTAAATATAAGAAACTAATAGAGTTGTTATACTGTGCAGTATGAGTCCTGTGTGTTCCTGGTGATAGGCCAGGCAGAGGAAGAGTGGCTGCAAAGACTTCTCAGCACTGTTGTGAGACTCACAAAGCTGCTAGTGGGACCCTGTGTTACTGTGTGAGTTAATTGTATGTTTCACTTGGCAATAATTGTTGTGTTAGAACAATATAATTGATAAATTTATTGTGTTAGAAAAGACAGTGTGGTGCATAAACTATTTTTTATTTTCCTCTTCTGACAATATTATCAAATTCTTGGCAGTTTACGTGAGAGCAAGGAGCGTCGGAAGGTGTTTGGTAGACTCATAAAGGCTTGGCTGCATGCATCAGCTTCCCAGCAGTGCTACCTTGTGGAGGCTGTTGAACGACTAGTCTTGAGTCCTGAGGTTACCACTGCTGCTGTGCAGGTACATACCATCCAGTTGTATATAATATTTGTTTACAGTATTTCAAAAAATTGCATTCATTTTCATTACTTTGAAGGATGATTAATCTTTTTTATTCAATAATAAGTATGAGCTAAATCAGTTGAATATTTCTGCCTTCTCCAAGATTTTCGTTTGAATTATTTCTTGGTGAAGCAGCTATAAAATAATACCTAAATGAATGGCTAGCTGGCTAAAGCTTTTCTGACAAGAATATATCAACTTCAGGTTCTATCACAAGTCCTTGACAAGATGAAGAGTAAGCAGAGCAGAAGCAGTGGCGGGGCTCTGTTGCCGTGTCACGCTCTCCTGCTTGTCAGGAACAAGCTGCTTGCTCTCTACTCATCTCGCAGTGCTCAGGAGCTGTCGGCATGTGATGTTCTTCTGCTCAATTTGCTGCTGCAGGAAAATCAAGACCAAAGTGAAGCATCTTCCCTGCAGCTGCTGCTGGAGGATGACTGCACTCTGTCCCCAGGATCTGCCCGTACTGAAGGAAATTCGCAACTACAAGAAGTGGAGGATGAGGGCAGCACCCTGCAAACTGTGACTCTTGAGCAGCTGGAGGGAGAAGAACAGCAGATTCTTGAAGGTTATTTGCTCTTAGAATTTATATGGTGATTAATTTTTCTTGGTTTCCTGTACTGAGGAGGTAGAAAATTTACAAATAATTAGCAAGTCATGGATGTCTGACCACTAAATCGGACACATATGAACAATAATCTAGTTAATTTGTGTCAGGGGTGTCATGCCATAGCGTGCTGATGCTGCTGAAGACAGAACTGTCGGTGTTCACCCCTCACCTCGTGCACTACAGCGTCCTACACCCCAACCTGGCACTCATTGTTGTGTCTGAGGTGAGACCATGTCGGGGCTATATTAATTAATGGCTCCTATAAGGTATGTGAACGAACTGATATCAAACGTCACGTCATACGGTATATACGGAGATATTGTTAACTTCATAATATGGCGTTTAAAGATTTATTAAATAAGACAAATTGAGGTCTTGAATCCCTTTTTCGGACGTTTGATGTAGATATTGAGGTATTTGATACTCGCAGATATTAGTATGAAAATTAGATATTGAACAAACAATTTCTCCAGATATCCTTTAACACAAAATTTTTTTTGTGAATCTCCCCTACTTAATTTGAAATACAGAAAATCTGATATGCCGGATAATTTCGTAATTATCGTCAAACCTGAAGAATCGTTACGCCATTCCTAATCATACCTGCATTTCATTCTTAATTATACCTGCATTTCATTCCTAATTATACCTCCAATACATTCCTACGTGTATTTCCTTCATGACAGATCGGGCGGAGTCGCGTAAGCGGGAGCGTGATGAGTTTGCTGCAGTGTGTGGCAGGGCTGAGCAGCGGCCGCGGCACCCACGCCGTCGACGTGTGCGAGGCAACCCTGCTGCAGACGCTGCAACTCGCGCGCAAGCTCACGCCTAACTCCAACACCGACGCTATAGCGCATGCTCTTGATAAGGTATTATATTATTACATTGCTAACTATTAACTCAGAGGTTGGTATCAAACGAATTACCGTGCACAGGTACAAAGTAGCGAGTTTAACAATTACAATTTTAAGGTATATTAAATTATTATGCTGATGAATATTAAAGTGAATGTTCTAGGTTTGCGCTCCTTCTGCTGGTTTCACATCAACATTATTATAACGCAATTTAATGTCAATCACAAGCTATATATCACGCGTCAAAAAGAAGAGTTTTTGCTCAAATAAGTAAACAAGAAAATACTTGCTTGTGTTGACAAAATAATGAGTTGGGTGAAGCGTAGCGCGAAATAAGCTTTGACAAGAATAAGACAATAAGGTTTTCTGAGCGTGTATCAATATTCAAATTTTGTCATTGAAAAATTCTCAAAATATTCTGATAAGAAACCTATTATAATTAAATACGGAAAGTTTCCACTAGCAGAATATATATCGTTGAATGTTGACTAATATTAATTTGAAACGGTTTGTAGCTTGCACTGTACTTGTTTTGCTTCGTGTTACGCCACTAAATTATGACAGAATTTTGTTCAGATTTTTAGAACTTTCCATTTCAGCCTTCAGTCATTAAAGCTTTCATAACTTGATATTTTGAACGCATTTTGGATTGTTAAAGCTCATTGTTGTTCATGAAGGTTGAGCTGCAGTGGCACCACTGCAAGACTGGCGGCTTGCTTGAGTGGCGCGAGGGCGACCAGGACGTCGAGATGTCGTCTCGTCTGGAGTCCGCCCTGACGGCGCTGCTGGACGCCGTACGTGTCGCCTGGAAGCTCATCTCGCTGCCATATTCGCCCAGCACTGGCGGCAGCCTCGTGGCCGCTGCATGTGCACAGCAAGCTGCACTTTATGCCAAGGAAAAACTAGCATCATACGCTCAGTTCCTCGATGTCAAAGCTATGACTAATTCAAAGTTTGAGTGCCGGGCGTTGACGGTCAACAAGTATATGGATGACTTTCCTGGTCTCGTGCACTTCATCTACGTGAACAGATCTACGCACGAGCTCACGGCACCGTCGCTAGATCCTCTAGAGAGCGAGACCTGCGACGCTGACGGCCCCAGCAACCAGTTCCTGGAGTCGTGCCAGGCGACGCGACAGCTCACGAAGGAGCGCGTATGGACCATGTTTGAGTTTGCCCGATCTCATTTGAGTAGTGGCAACTTTTCTGTCATGTGGAAGGACACAACTTTTAGCTACGCTTATTTCCTATGGTTTGAGGATCGTAACGGAGTTGCTCAGATTCCCGAGCAGCTAGACGAGGACGTGTTGGCGGCTCTGCCCTTGCCTGGGATACTGAGTGAGGACTTCTACCGCCGGTTGACGGCACACTGCGTGCCCGCCCTCAGCCCTGACCAGGTGCAGGTGTGCGAGGTGCTGTGCGTGCACCTCGGCCTCGTCACGGCGCCCTGCATCCTCGAGCAGACACGTCGGCTGCTGGCGTCCGTGTGGGAGGTCGCGGGGCAAGGAACCTCCTGCCATCCTGCCGACTTGCTCTGAATTGCTCTTCTTTTCAATGAATTGGCACTTGATTTGTCATTCTTAAATGTTCATCATGAATGACATTCCTACATGAAATAGTAATTCTAATCCAATGAATCTCTCCGTGATATCTGTTTTTTACAATTGAAAATAATTCAACTTCTGCATGATTTAAAAGTTCATGAATCGAACATTTTTCGATGGCTCCTTTTCGCACGAGGCGTACAAAATTATCTAGTGCGCTCCATATTGTCCTTATAATATTCCAATTCTGATCTCAATGATTTATTGACTACTTAATATAATCTTTGATGCGAATTGTACGTATGATGTAGTATGACGTATACTGTTAGATATATATACTCCTTTGCACTCTAGTCATTTTTGTCAGTCATGTTGACGTCGAAAATACTTTTTTATTTCCTAGCTGTTATTATTTTTTATACGATTTTATTTAATTTTCAATGAAATAACCTTTTTCCAACTAGGAAAATGTGAGTTGAAGTTATTTTAAATGTATTTATATATATTGGTTGAAGAGTTGGTCGTGTAGTTTTTAAGAATGCCGTGTACTAAATGTGTTCACTGCTTAGTTGAAGGCCAAAGTCTAATAATCTCATCAGATTGATTACTATTTTCATGCCATTAGATCAGCCGATAAGATTTGTACCAAAAACCGGAAGGAGATCCAATTTTTATAATGTTTTTCCATCGAAGGATCCGTCTTGACACATCTCAATGGTCATGATATAAAAATGTTTTTGCGCTGCTCTTCATCTAACTCTTTTCCTCGTCTTGTTTTTACCAACATAATTTTGCATTGCGTCTATAACAGTTATTAGTTGAGGAAAACAATTTTATAGTTAGTGTTTGGAACTTGATTGTTTTCAAATAAATAGGAAAAACGAAAATTGTCTTGACGTTTCTCATATGAACGTAATGAACTTACAATAAATAGACAATTCTCATTGAAATGATTACTTCTTACGTGTTGGAAATACCAAACGAAACAATTTTATTCTTTTAATCAATTTAAATGACAGGGCTAAATAACTTGTAGGTCACAATATTCGTAACAAAGGCAGGGAGGAATCTTGTTCAACAGAAATGCATTCAGAGTAAACATCGTTCCTTGAGTTACATTAGTTTGCATATATTGCTAATGTTGAAGTGTTGTACCCATAAAACTCATTCATTTGTTTCGTCAATTCATAGACGACTTTGATATTGGTCACCAGCAGGTTACTTCAGAGTAGCAGAGTAACTCTGCGGTGCGGTTTAGTGACGTTTATTTTACCAGAGTAACGTTGAGTAACGACGCTTGGTTTTCTTTACAAACAATATGCTAAAGCAAATAGATGGTAGGCACAGATACAGCTCTATCGTAAGTGCTCCGAACATTTACACAAATTAATGCACGTTTTAACTATTCACAATATGATCCTAACATGTTGTAGTTGATGGCCTATTACTCTGAATCTAACTGAAATGAGAGGCTTATCGCCAGATATTAGCAGCAACACGGCAAGATGTGCTGCGTTGGCCTGCAAAGTTCGTTCTGCTGGAAAGGTCCCTGTACCATGTAGCACTGCATTGACCAGTAACCACAGTCAGCAGGACTTGGCTGAAAAGCTGATTGGCTTGAATATTGGCCTGACTGAGGAACTCCAGCTCGAGGCTCTCCGTTGCTCCATGATGTTGTCCTCCAACTAGACCAAGATTTACTCCGCATACCAGGGATGCCAGGAGTTCCTTGCTGCCAACGCATTTGATGGGAATCAGGACTTCCAGGCATCATTGGACCTCCATTCTCGTTGGAGTGGAGTGTTTGCTGATATGAATAGACAGGCTGCTTATTATAGTTGGAATTTGTTTGACCACCTAGCGAGTTACTTGCGCTCGAAGAAGAAGATGTCAACATACCCTGGGGAAACGCACTTGACGATGATGATGACGAGAGTGAAATTCCAGATCCCCCCGAACGAGCTGAAGAAGAAGAGCTCACCCTCATCTGCATGCCTTGCATCGGGTCGAATGCCTGAGAAGAAACCCCAGGCATCATTTGCGCTTCACTCGTAGATGACACTCCAAAGTTTCCTAAAATCAATCGTCCCCGGAAGCCGGATGGAACAATGTAACCAGTCGTGCCCGGGATTTTTTCTCCTGAGGTAAGTACCGTTCCTTGTCTGTTGTTAAGTTCAAAGGAGCTGGGAGCAGCAGCCATGACTACTTTCACATCAGCTATGCTAGGATCTGACGCAGGAATTGAATGCATGGTTCCTATACTGCCTGGCGTTATAGGTCTCATCATTTCCATTCCTTGACCTCCCGGGGAAATATTGTCATCCGTTCTGCTTGTATGTATGTTTGGTTCCGGGTGAACTTCGAGCGGATAAACTGGTTGGTATGGTCCATTGGCAGTAACACCAGCCGCTTGCGTAACATGCGGCTGTGGAGGTTCGGTCGAAATTGTCGCAGGAACTAATACCGTGTCTGATGAGCTGCCGATGCCTCTCTCATCGGAGCCACGTTGGTAACTATAATGATGAGATGAAGAATACACTGAATGTGACGTGTTGTACACAGGTTGAATTTCTGATGTATAATCATCCGTTTCGTAATTAAAATCGCCGCTGCTGACCGTATTGTCATATTCGGGGGGTTTTGGTTCGTAACTTTTCTCCCCAGCATCGTTCCCAGAATTCGATCGAGGTTGATTATCGTATAAGTGTGGAAGAGACTGTGATGAATCGGCTGAATCTACTGCGGTTGCAGGAAAATTGTTTCTTGGATAATTTTCAGTATTAAAACGTGAATAACTATTATCAATTCCTTGCGAAGCTGGCTGTTTATCTTGATCTCTGTGTCCCGGAGGATAGTGGGTAACGCTACTGGCTGACTTTCTATCAGGAGGGGGTGTAATCCTTCCCTTGGCTCCTTGATGATGTGGTTGGTCGTATCTCGGTAGGGCTGATGATTGTATACTTGGTCCTGAATGTCGATGATCCCAAACTTCGTTGTCAGAAGCGTCGACTGGCTCATGATCATTCTCAATCCGATGAATACCACCGTCTTCTAAATTGTAATGTGACTCTACTACATCCACTGGCAAAGTACTATCCGCACCCGAACTAAAATCGTACGAAGGATGAGAAGAGGATGAACTTGTTCTTCTGGAATGAATATCATAATCCAGGACATGGTCTGGGACTGAAAATTGACCTGCATTCTCTGAATTTGGAAATTCTACATCAGGAGGTTGAATGAAATATGACTGTAGACTATCATCAACGATCATCATCCCATTGTTAATAGTTTGTGAGCTAAGCTCCCCATTGTCATGGATATAACTACTTTCATCGTTACCCACGCCAGTTTCATTTGGAATGCTCCCTTCATTTAAGACTTGATTACCTTGACCGTAGAACTGGTTTTGATCGTACAGGTTTGGAGCCTCGTGTCCAGGGTGCACGTTACTTGGGTGCCTATGGACACTTTGTTCGTACTCGCCAGGTTGTTGAAGAGAAATATCTTCTGGATTGCTAATTGTTCCAGTCTGATGGTTTGAAATGATATCTTGCCCATATGGTATTCCAGGAAAATAAGGGTATCTTTCCTGATCGGATACAAGGCTATTGTCCACATTAGCAACGTAGGGATCATTTTGTTCTAACACAGCTTCATGGTGAGAAGAGCTACCAGGTGATGCATGATTGACCCCGCTGTCAATAGCCTCGCCGGCTCGTCCAGGTGTTTGAATTGCATTGGCTGAGCTGTCTGGACTAGCAAAAGAATTGTCGACGTAAGCCTGATAATCGATTGAGTTGTAATCATCCGGAAAATCAAGTGGTGGGTTGTGACCGTAGCGTTCGAAGTCATAGTAGGCGTCGGTATAATCGCTTGACGGATATCCGGACGTTCCTTGTGCGTAAGTAGCCAACCCAACAGATTTTTCATTTCCATCTCTGTTTAATCCCCCTTCGGGGTTATCTCCCTGATTTATCTGTTCAAATTCACTTTCTCGATGATGAGAACCGGTTCCACCTATCAGTCCACCATAATCAATAATTCTATTTGCAACATGTGGGACACGTACATCTCCTGTTTCACGATTTTCTGAGTTCACTTGAGTGTTAGAATTATCATTTCCTGCATCACTAGGATAACCAGCCACTGAAAGACCCAAACTAGACAAAGGTTTAACCTTATTCCGGCCTCGTTCTTTCTTTCTTGACGTAACTGAAGCCATTGCAAGCCCAGTGTACCCGTTACTCCGCATTATGCCTTCTATTTCACTAGCAGAAATTATTGGGGACGTTTCCGAATAGTCTGAATTTGCAGCTTCGTGTGTCTGTGCTCGTCTTGAAGAAGTTGGCGAGACGTTAACATGAGCTAAAGCTTGTTGGTTGAACCTCACAGCTGATGATGAAGCAGATGCACCTCGTGCGCCGCCATTAACCGCGCTCTGGGTCGACTCTCCAGACTGGCCAGTTCCACGCGATTCAGCTTGAAATGAACCATCAGGACCGGCACTGCCATGTGCTTGTGAAAAAATAAGAGAGTTTCCCAATAATTCGTTACGATTTTGTGTGGTATCTAACTCTCTTCTGTTATTGGATTCGTAATTTTGTAATCGTTGACTTCTCCTGGGAATTTGGTAGTGAGAATCTGAATGCTCATTTTCGTCATATTCTTCCTCATCTGATTCATTTTCTGAATCATAACTTTCATAGTCAACATTGCGCTTGTCGTTATTTGATATTCTGTTTGTGACTGCCATGTTCCTGGATGCCGATTGTTGAGACCTGAGTCGTCGTCTCGGCGAGCGGGGACGAATCTCTGGCCCGTCCTTGCTCTTAAGTCTCACATGGGACGACGGTTGGTTATTGACCCTCAAGGAGTAACGTTGAATTGGAAAATTTCCATTCAAACTTTGTTTATCCGAAGTATTTGACAACTGTGGATTGGAGCTAGCTTGACGTGCGATTTCATCGTAAAATGCTCTGTAGTGTTTGAACCGTTGACCGTTTGGTTGTCTCGAGAAGAGAGGAGACGGGTAAGGATCGTTGGTAAGCTGAACTCTTCCTCGCGTCTCTGCCGCGCCAATCGTTGTCCAAGCAGCATCTGGCGCAAGATAGCGTTATATATTATAGTGTTACAATGAATAGAACAATAGAAGAGACAGTGTTTATAGTGTTTCACTGAATAGAACATAAGCTTGATGCAGGGCTGAGGCAAACTTATGGCCAGAGGTTGGCAGTAGCGTGCTACATGTAGCGGTAGCGATAGCTGCGCTAGGTACGTTTAAGCAATTGTAGCGGCAGCGCCCGCTACATATTTAAGTAGCGATACGAGATTTGCCGCTACAGCGCTACCGCTACATTTATAGATAAAGCCTTTAGATTTTACTTAATAGTACTAAATATTATTTAAAAACCAGTATGATACATACATAAATAATATAAATTACAGAATAAAACTGTACGAAAGATTTCGGTGTAATGTTGTCAACCTCAGCCTGTTACCAGTGTCAACATGTTAGTTGTTACCAGAGGTGGGAGTAGCGCGCTACATGTAGCGTCCGCTACATTTTCGGTAGCGGTAGCGGCCGCTACATTTCAAAGTAGCGCTGCCTAGCTCTGCTTATGGCTCACAAGGACTCATGAGGTACGGTTAGAGTTAGCTATATAAAGTATTACGCGGCACATTTATGCACTCTTCAAGATGAAAGCAGCTAAATTATAAATGCATCGTATCTACACTGATTCACTTGGAGCAAGTCGCTGCGTGAGATCGTGCAGACGTCTTCGAAGCCTGTCAGATGGATTGCTATTTCCCGAGCTGCGGCGAACGCGAGGCTTCGGGATGTCCTCCGGAAGTTCTGTTTGGTTTTGTATTATGAGAATTTGACAAAATATTTTAAACAAGATGTGTCCAGGCATCGATACTCTAAAAAGCATTTAATATTTTGAAAGAGTTTCAATTTTTTTTTATGAATTAGACAGAGTTCTGCGTACAGCAACATCACTTTAAATTCATTTAAAAGCCTATATACGTTTTGCAGTTTCTGGTTTTTCCTTCGGCTTATTTTGTCAAAGGTGTCTAAACTTTCATGACGACGCCATCACAATCTTAGTGATTTCATTTACGTTTATCATTATTTACCTTGATGCTTGGTTTTGTTGTTCCTGTAGTCGTGCAGGTAGTCGATGAGTGTCGGTAGCTGAGGCCGTGTTGCTGTCAGCCACCAAGTTGAACCTGCAGTGCAGTTGCTCTTCAGTTCAGTGTTGACATGAGTAACCTAAAATTAGAAAATGTGTTAGTATACCAAATTGTTCTAACACTACACTACACAAAGTTTAAATATATGAAAATAATAAAATTTCGTCTTTGTTCGGTGTTCCTTCTTAACTTCGAACTGAACGTCAAAGATGAACGTCATAAAATAAATGAGAGAAATACCAATAACATGAAAAGATTCTATCATTAATTTATAATTAAAGTTAGGGACATATATTTGAGTTCATCAAAAAGGGAAAAAATGTTTCAAAAATTTTGGCTACTGACTAATCGATCATTCAAAAATTTGGAAGCAACAACACAGATATTTCTGAATCGTCAAAAATATTCATTGATTTAATGATTATAGAAGACTTCTTATGTAATAGATGTTACTCATTCAATTGTGACCTGAGAAGACTCGACATAATCGGCCGCATAGAGCGTTGCGGACGACAGGTGCGCCGGCGTGCCGCTAGATGGCGTCTGCGTGAGTGTGCCCAAGAAGCACAAGTCGTCTACTTTGTACACCACCACACCCTGAGGGACGAGTTTAATGTTTAACCATGAATTCTGCCTTGAAAATATGCGGCTCTAAATCTAACTTGTTATAAATTCCTCATTCAAATTACAATTTTAGTCTTCGTTATTAGACGATTTCTTAAAACAGAGATCCTCATAGAGCAGCATTTATACCTTAACATATTTTTGTAAATCGTTCGACTTATTTGAGGTCAGATATATTGCATAAATGACGTTTGAGTGTAAAATACTTTATGATGAGCAATGTTTATTCTTACAATTTATTAAATTTCGTATGTCAAGTTGCACTATAATCTTTTATAATTAATCGTCCATGTTAAGCAACAAATGCGATGAGAGAATGCACAATATTCTGGTTAAAATGTCGTCGTTACGAGAATCACATATATATTTTGCCCGAAAACTTACATTCTAAGCATATATGTGAATCAGATATACATGTTTGAAACTCTTAGGGAGTAAGTTCCAGTATTTCATGCGTTTCAGAATCTGTCAAACTTGCCGAAAGCTACAGATCGATTACATTAAGTCCAGTTGTGCATTTGCTGTTTTGTTTGAAAAATTTACGACAATTTTTTAAATTTTCTTCCTGTGTTAAAGAAGAACATGGTTTTCTACGAATAAGAGTCTAAACAAGCTGATATGTGGTCCAGGTGTTTGTGGTCCTTGTTGTGCTACAAGGTGTTGTGTGGTGCAGCTATGTGGGGCGATGCAAGGTGTTGTGTGGTGCAGCACTGGGGGTGATACAAGGTGTTGTGTGGTCCGGCTGTGTGGGGCGATGCAATGCGTTGTGTGGTCCGGCTGTGTGGGGCGATACAATGTGTTGTGTGGTCCGGCTGTGTGGGGCGATGCAAGACGTATCGCTGCTTAGTCATGAGTTCACTGCATAGTTTATTTTAAACCTCAGTTAATCGCCCGGTAATAACTCGTGTTCTTATTGTTTTCTTCTGTGTTTATAAGCATATGATGGCAGTTACGATCCTTTCAGGTCAATGGACATTTGTTGAATAAAGCTTGGATTGCCCAAGTTCATCTTATTCCAAAACCTTTTCCTTGGTGATATGTTAATACTTACAGTCCGCCAGGCAACGTAGGTTTTTGTGTCAACCTGGCTGTTGGCCAGAGCCAGAACCTGTAAAAAACAGAGAAAATATTTTTCTCCATTATTAATCACACATTACCTGATTCTACCTAGTCAAATTGGAGATTCCTAAGCATAAAGAATTTAAGCAAATAAAAGCCCAGCACTTAAGTCATTGCAAGGAGAGATGACATAAAATATAGTAATCCTAATATTAACAGAAATTTGTGTGAACGTCATAGATAAATTTGTGTAAATGCCATAGAGAAATGTGTGTAAACGCCATAGGGAAATTTGTGTAAACGCGATAGAGAAATTTGTGTAAACGCGATAGAGAAATTTGTGTAAACGCGATAGAGAAATTTGTGTAAACGCGATAGAGAAATGAGAAATCCTCGGCAAACATGGTCGCCAGTATTGATGTTATCAGGAATAAGAGGAGTTTTTATGGTTTCTTTTTTTTTACAACAATCACAATTCTGAGTACACGTACATTATCGTCCTTAATGATAATAATATTCGTTTAAAACTTACTTTTAAAGACAACACTTTTAAAGAGGCCAGTGTCTCCGATGTTACACATGTACATTGAATTTCTGATCTTATTTTTAAGTATTTATTATTATTATTATTTTAAGTATTATTAAGTATTTATTTTGTCAATTGATTCATGCATTGTCTCCTACTTTACGAAAGCTTGTAAAATTTCAGATCGATTGGACAGGTAGAAGGGTGTTATATATCGATTATAAGATTTGTAGCAGACAGACAAACAAACAAACAAGAAGTGAAGTTAAAGAGAAGTGTTGTAAATAAAATAATATACGTTTAAAAATTACTTTTTAAAGACAACACTTCCAAAAAATCCAGTGTCTACAATCTTACAGATGTACAATGAATTTCTAATTTAATTGTCGAATATTAAAAAAATTAATTTTTAAATTTTTTTAACATATAATTTTTTTTAATATATACATTTTTTCAAATTTATTTATTCTGTTAATTGATTCATGCATTGCCTCTGACTTCACACAAGTGTGCAAAATTTCAGATCAATTAGACAGGTAAAAGTGTGTCAAATATCAGTTATAAGATATGTAGCTGACGAAATTATTTTTTCAATTTTTTAATATTAAAAAAGAATTTTTTTTTAATTTTTAAAATAATTTATTTTGACATTTGATTCATGCATTGTCTCCAACTTTACACAAGTGTGCTAGATTTCAGATCGATAGGATAAGTAGAAGTATATTAAATTTCTATTACAAGATTTATAGCAGACAGACAAACAAGAAGGGAAGTTAAAGAGAAGTGTTGTAAAAAGACAACGATAACTATGTTAAGCCGTCAGCAGTGGGCGTGGCACGGGTTTAATTGTAGAAACAGATTTGCACTCGTATAGCAAGACCGTATGGTGCACGCGTTAAATACCCTGTACGTTGATGATGAGTCGCTCATATATCAGTGCCGCATCATGCCCATCAATGATGAGTCACTCTTATATCAGTGCCGCATCATGCCCATCAATGATGAGTCACTCTTATATCAGTGCCGCATCATGCCCATCAATGGTGAGTCACTCTTATATCAGTGCGGCATCATGCCCATCAATGGTGAGTCACTCTTATATCAGTGCCGCATTTAGCAGCTTTCAGTATACGATCACGTGTCTCATCGCTTGCGGTTGGTACAGAAAATTCCTTCCCCGTTCGCGTAAGCCGGAACTCAAGTCGCATTAGTTATCTCTGTTGCATACCTATTCCCGTCAGCAGAATACCGACATCTCGGATCCAGTGGGCAGTTTATAACTAAAGTATTTTTATCGAAAAGAGACCCGTTCAGACCTTCATTTAACATGAAACTCCAGTTAATCTCCCATTATGAAATAAAAAGAAAATGTAAGATTTTTCGAAAAATGTCGATCACTAAATTGAACTAAACTTGCTACATCACTAAATTTAACAAAAAGCAGCATTTATATTTAAATTTCTATTTGAGTTTTCCGTTTTGAATTCCATCGTAAAACTTTATTATACTAACCACTTTGAAAGTCAGTATACAGCTGGTGCGCACAGTAATATAAGTTTACTCGCTCATTCCATTGAAAATTGTAGAATATTTTTCCTATGATTGTTGTGATTGTTGTTATTATCATCACAAAGCAAAGGCCGCTCTTGCGTCTCAAGTAAGTGCAGAGACGGGCGAGACGTTGATGCTTGAAGTTGTTTAATTATTTACAAGACACTCAACGAGGTCACGGCTAAAGCGATCAACTATGGCGCTGTTGTCAAGGGAGAGGCAACACTGGGCCTCTGTCCCGCGCCCCATGTATGCNCTCGCCATAACAAATTTTTGTTATTTCTTCATTTTAATAGGTTAATTTTCGCATTTCATTCAGGTTATATTCAATTTCGTAGTTAAAGTAGGTAGTCAATTTACTCAGGGTTCATTCATTCTTCAGACAGCATTCTACGCTGCTCTAGATAAATTATTTGATCAATTAATAAATTAAATCAATCAATAACTAATCAATTGAAGTTTAACCTCAATGTAGGGCGACGTGTCAAAAGTTTGCTGAAGAACACGTTTCCTTAGCTGAGACCAAGGTTTTTTCTCTCAAATTCACTACCTCAATACTTCAAATATTATTTTCTACTTTCCGTGTAGAGTAACTACATTCCCAATAAAAGTTTATAAATTATTTCTGAAAATGCGTTCGTGCATTCATTTTCTTTATATCTTCGACATATACGTAAAATTATCCCATCACTTAGTGAACATATTTATATTTAATTGACAGGATCAGAGACTCAACGGGGCAACTTAAAAATTATTCGAGTGCCTGTTGCAAATTTGACGGCATTCGAAGTAATAATAATTGATTTGAATAAATATATATTAATTTCAAAGCTAGCTCAATTTGATCCAAATGTGAGAGGCAATCAACATTCCGCACACAATTAACTATTGAAAAAGAATGTTGATGGGCGGAAATGTTTCGTGCCTATGCATCGATAAATGAAATTCAATTGCTCAGAATAATTTATTAATAGAGGAATATTCATCTTTGTGTTTAAATAAAATAATTTACTCTTCCATCCTGACCGAAAGAGGAAATATCTCACCTGATCGACGCACTTTTTCCTTCGTGCGAGAAGATTTTCTTGCTGATCAAGATAAGATAGCCTGGAAGTTCCAGTTTATTAGACAGCTGTGCAAAATACGAGCAAGAATAAACGACAAAAAGATTTGATACGCATTTATTGAAACTAATCAAGATAATAAAATAGAACGTTATTAAAACTCGTGCATACAAAAAGCTATACTGTTGAAATTGTGTCTTTTAAATCAAGCACTGTGATGATGACTCTGCAAATACTGTCTCTTATACACATCTAGATGTGTATAAGAGACAGGCAGTGGGCGTGGCACGGGTTTAATTGTAGAAACAGATTTGCACTCGTATAGCAAGACCGTATGGTGCACGCGTTAAATACCCTGTACGTTGATGATGAGTCGCTCATATATCAGTGCCGCATCATGCCCATCAATGATGAGTCACTCTTATATCAGTGCCGCATCATGCCCATCAATGATGAGTCACTCTTATATCAGTGCCGCATCATGCCCATCAATGGTGAGTCACTCTTATATCAGTGCGGCATCATGCCCATCAATGGTGAGTCACTCTTATATCAGTGCCGCATTTAGCAGCTTTCAGTATACGATCACGTGTCTCATCGCTTGCGGTTGGTACAGAAAATTCCTTCCCCGTTCGCGTAAGCCGGAACTCAAGTCGCATTAGTTATCTCTGTTGCATACCTATTCCCGTCAGCAGAATACCGACATCTCGGATCCAGTGGGCAGTTTATAACTAAAGTATTTTTATCGAAAAGAGACCCGTTCAGACCTTCATTTAACATGAAACTCCAGTTAATCTCCCATTATGAAATAAAAAGAAAATGTAAGATTTTTCGAAAAATGTCGATCACTAAATTGAACTAAACTTGCTACATCACTAAATTTAACAAAAAGCAGCATTTATATTTAAATTTCTATTTGAGTTTTCCGTTTTGAATTCCATCGTAAAACTTTATTATACTAACCACTTTGAAAGTCAGTATACAGCTGGTGCGCACAGTAATATAAGTTTACTCGCTCATTCCATTGAAAATTGTAGAATATTTTTCCTATGATTGTTGTGATTGTTGTTATTATCATCACAAAGCAAAGGCCGCTCTTGCGTCTCAAGTAAGTGCAGAGACGGGCGAGACGTTGATGCTTGAAGTTGTTTAATTATTTACAAGACACTCAACGAGGTCACGGCTAAAGCGATCAACTATGGCGCTGTTGTCAAGGGAGAGGCGGGGTGCTTGAAGGCGTTCATTTACAAGACACTCAACGAGGTCACGGCTAAAGCGATCAACTATGGCGCTGTTGTCAAGGGAGAGGCAACACTGGGCCTCTGTCCCGCGCCCCATGTATGCCTGCCGATCTCTCTCTCCCAGTGTCGGTTGTATATGCATGGACACCCAAATCAGATTAAGACGCATATTTATAGAACGATGAATAACTAACTCTCTATATACGCATTAAATAATCAATAAACATATCTTCTATATAAAAGCAAACAACGATGTCACTCAAAGCCAGACACGCATAGCGAATACGAACAAGATATTAGTTTATGTTCTGCAATTGAATATGCTACTCTCTCGAATTGGTCATGTTTGCTGCAGGGTTTAGATAACTGACTGCTGCTTGACTCTCATTAACTCTCGTACACTAATCGGACTGAAAGCTGTTGAATAGAATATTTATTGACCACCATTTACAAGTCGCATGCTGACCTCGCATGGATTTAATGCTACCAACAAAAATGAAATTATGAGTCTGACAGCTTATTCTGTTAACCTGCTCGCACTTATTACTCGTCTTTATATTTGAAAAAAGTATAATTTTACTCGTAATAGAGCAAAAATCTTGTACATATTTGACTAATTTGTGTTCTTGTTTGAAGCCTGGCACCGCAAATGTATTGGAGCTGCATCCACGATACTTGCCTATACAAATAGAATTAACTTTCACAGTGCATGGAGTTACGAGACACTGGGAAATGTGAAGGGAAGAGTTCGATAAGAAAATTAACGAACTAATTGTATTTTGGTATTTTGTTTAGTCAGATTTTAATTTAAAAATAATGGTTAGAATTCTAGCTATATATAAAACTGGGGGTTATTACAGTCCAGTTAAAAATGCAAATCATTAACGATGGTACGAAGAACTGGAGTATCAGGGACCATCTATTCAGAGAAACTCCGGCTTCGGCTTCTGGTAATTAATAACATTTATCATTGAAAGAGACTTTTCCACATTCATCGTTAAATCAAAACATCGTTTTATAAAATTATGAGTTCATTGTAGGAAAATAAATTATTTCAGTCGTTTTAGTTTGATGTACTCGTATTGATTTCACCCATTATTGGGAAAAAATGCACTGGGTTTAATAACAATATGAATCACATGAAAAAACTATCATCATTCGAATTATTCCCCAATCAATTGCGATCAAAAGCTCATTAATGGTAGTAAAAATTAAGAGTGTTCAGAAGATAGAATATTGCATAGTTTAAAAGCCAAACTCCACTTAATCTGTATACGTACATTTTTGCAAACTAACGCCTACTCTGTGAATATTAGAAAACTTGTATGGATGGCAATTGATGCGCCAGTAACCAATTTGATATCATTGTTTAAAAATTGAAAGTATTTAGTTCATATAGTTGAATTAAATCAACGGAATCTCTCATAAACAAACAAAAATAAGCTTACTTCTGACTCTCGTAAGTTTTATTCTGTGGAGTCATCTTTATTTGCTAAACTTGAGCGGATGCTAAGATGATCGAAGTGTGGAGATAGCAAAACTCACCGGCAAGATGGCGCCGACCAGGAAGAAGGCATCTACGACCGCCATTTTGGAGACGAGCGTTTCTTATATGATCACACTGCGAGATCTGTAATGACTAAGAAATATATTGGTCTCACTCAGAGCTGCCGTATATAGAAGCAGTCAACTTCATCGGTCTCTTTACACAGCACTGCAAAAGATATGCGCAAAATATATTATCTGCATCGCGAGCATCAAAAGTAGAAATCACATCACTAAAATTTGTATTCATGCATTTCAAATCGGGAAGAAGCACTTGTCATGTCGACACTTCCTTAAAGAACATGTTTCGCCATTGTTCCTGTCAGCCGCCGCAGTGAGCGGTGTAAATCTTAGCTTTGACTTGTGTGCTGTAGAACAACTAAATGCACGGATAGTTATAGAAATAACCTCTGTGATTTTTTAGTTTAGTTATTCGAATTTAACGGGAGATGAGGATTTACCCGATTTTCTGGGCTTGCACAAAATTAACCGCAAAAAATAATCAAATAATCAGTGTTGCGCAATATCTTAAGTACTTACAATGCTATGAGATAAAAAAGTAAGAAAACATTTAGAATTGCTCATGTGATACAAAATGATCCCATTGCTAATGAAACTTAGAGAAATAATCAATGTGAACGCTAGATTCGCTTATAACTTTACTCGAAAATTATTGTTCACTGCACTCGAGAACGCAGCACAGCCGCTGCCCTGCACGCAGGAGCGTCTCCGAGACTCCCTCCTCCTGAACTGCTCGTTGAGGGCATCTCTGTCTCATGGCGGAGTCACTGCCGCTCCCCCGCACACGACGAGCACTTCCCAATCTCCCTCCTCATGAACTGATCATTCCTCCCTGCTCCAGAACCTTTCGCTCAATTGTTGCGAAAACTGTTACATTTTTGCAGTCACATTCCCTGCTCCAGAACCTGGAGCAGGGAATGTGACTGCAAAAATGTAACAGTTTTCGCAACAATTGAGCTTCTAATGCTTGGAGATTTTTCCGTTGTATTGATACGAATTGAAGTGTTCATGCCGATAGATGGGTCAGTTCAACGGCCGATGACATGTCATTTGTCAAAATATCCTATTGAACGTGCCTCCCATCTCCACAAATCAATGCTCGCAGCAATCTTATCTTAATTATGGGTCACGTTCACCAAATTAAATTTTAATAATGAAATGGAAGAAAAAAATTTCCAGCGATACAGGGATTTTGACAGAAGTAATGTTTGTGTACGTGAGTGATAATGTAGGTGTCATTGATGATATGGTGCGTTCAGTCATTTAATAGTAATTTTTTCCCTAACTACCGAGCGCAAAAGTTCTGTCTACGTCTATGTTCATCTTAGTGAAGGAGAGTTGCTTGACTCCATCGATGCATTAACCTGCGAATAACTGTTATCAAGCCAGGGCGTCACATCAGAGCATATAGGCGTTCACCATGTTTCTCAGGCACAGCTGTTTTACAGTTCACATTTCCATCTCGGTATAAAACGAGGATATATATGAGCCACCCTAATTTATGGGAATTTTCATACTCCTTATCTCTACGGAAAACATGTGTGAGCCCCGGAAGCCGGTATTTTAATCATTGATAAATTCAATCTTCGATGATGTCGTATTCCTTTATTTACTTTCTTCCGTTATCCCCTGAGCCTCTTTCAATTTTTTCTTTGACATCTTCTATGCTGTAAAGTTCAAATCAGGACGACTCCAAATAGATTCGATAAATTTGAGCCCACGACTACCGCCGAACCTCAACAAAGGAAAAATGAAAGCCAAATAAACAAGTATCTATTAACCAGAGACAACTACAACAATAATGACTAGGTAACAGAACACTTCAACTAATTAATAGTTTAAAACATGAACAGATAACTACGAATAATAGGCGGAACTGAAAATATACGGAACTGAAAACATACGAACACGGAACTGAAAATATACGTAACTTTATAAATAAACAATATGCTGAAGGCACAATAAGCTTAGGACACAATATCCTGAAGGCAACACGCAAATGACACTATATGCTGAAGGCAATACACAGACGACACTATATGCTGAAGGCAATACACAGACGACACTATATGCTGAAGGCAATACACAGACGACACTATATGCTGAAGGCAATACACAGATAATACTATATGCTGATGGCAATACACAGATAGCTCTATGCTGAAGGCAATACACAGATGACACCATATGCTGACGGCACACAGTACAGTAAGGAGTGTTCAACAAGATGCACAGCATCAGCTGTGAGTTAACACACAGTAGGTGTCTGGACCGGTAGAGACTTGAATGTGGCGGACACTTCCCTAGAAGCGCCGCAGTCGTCGGCCTACGTAGGAGCCGTACTTGTTGGCCAGGCAAGAAATCGATCCTGCCAAACAATGGTGGTGAACTACTCTAGTTACGCAGATAAATACACAACACTATTAATTACATCAGTTATGCAATTCAAATTAGCGGGTCGGTAAACACTTATTAGAAAATTCATAAGCTAAATTACAAACACAGAATTAGCCTATCTTATATCTCCACTGCAACTCACCTACTAGGGACTCTACACAGTCACTAGAGCACAGTGAGAGGAAGGTGCGCTCCGACCAAGTCTCAACGAAATAATGAATGGGTATCCTAACGCGGACTTTAACCCGGTGATGCCACGTCAGCACACGCGACATGGTAGCCAACTTTACCGGTAACATTATACCGTATAACAAGAAATAATTTTGACCACAACAAAAACCTGACAATGGATGAATTTCCCTTACATATGCCATGACCAGCTCAATTTTCCTTTAACAAATATTAGATTTCAAAATAAAACATTTACTGATCGCTGATGCTTCATATGACCTAAAATATTGTTTGATTTCAAATGTATCAAGTTCCGCCCGTGCAAGTGCCTCACCGTTCACTGCCAAGCACATCTGGATACAACACCGAAATAAGATTAACATGTTTGATGGTACCAGTCGATCGGCGATTGTTATGACGACTGTGTACTAAGGCGCAACAATAATCTTGGGAGTGCTCATCCATTCTCTTGCTAATTTTATCCATAACCGGCATATTTGATTTTCCTCCTTACTTATTCTGTAAACAATAATAAGCTACTCCTAGCAAATCTCACCTTCATTTGACCTATGTTAACGTATGATGACCTGGTCTGCGAACTTATAAACGAATTAGGTAGGCTGGTAATACCTATTGAAGGAACCTACCTGCTTGAAAGGTGAAGAAAAATATGTTTACAACTTACGTTGTTGTTACGGGAGGGCTATTGCATATAATTTCACTTAGATAATAGTAACACAAAATTAATTAATCTAACTTTGCGTGATATTGAAAGGGGAAAATAATTCATACAACTTATAAAGTTATTGGTTTATGAAATAAAAAGAGAAAAACTACCGTACTGGCATCCATTTACTTGAGCAAACAGTCAAATTTTGAATATGTAACAGTTTTGACTGGATTAGCTACTTCAACATGAATATCAGTGGATTATAAACTTATTTTAATTTGATCGCGGATCTCGACTGGATTGTGAGGCATAATTTATGCTGAACTTGTTAATTAAGAAATTATAACACGCTGCTTTACAAACTTTATTTCAGCCGTAATGGCCTCATCAAAGAAGTGTCACTCATCTCATAAGGTCATCCGACGGTTTGAACAGTTGGTGATTAAGAGTAACAAAAAATGTAGCTTTTTATTCAGAACACTAGAAAATAATAAAATCAAATTAACAAGAAGATGTCTATGTCCAACACAATTCCATTACAATTCCCAACGGGGAATTAGTAGTACTAAATGTTATTATATAGCGAAAAGTTCGAATAAATAATAGTCGTTGTATTCGTAAAACAGACATCATCGTATATAGTAAAAAAATTTAATCGGCCATTGCTATCCAGATAATCAACAGTCCGTAATATGAAATAGAATAAGAATAAAGTGGAATTCGAACTAAGAAGCTCTCCATGACAGCAACAATCTTTCTCGAGAACCATCAGCCAAGCCGCGACGACCCGGCCATCAGATGACGTCTGAGCCTCCGTTAGATTATATTTATTTGGAACAAAAGCAACAAGAATTGAGATAACCTTGGCGTGAGCAAGAAGCTAAATATGAACAATAGCGGCTCTTTTCAACAATTTATAATTATAATGGGTACATTGAATTGATAATCTTACACCGGAGCTTATAATTAGAGAAAGTGTTGTTTATTTTACTCAGGCTTTGCTTGGGCTTATCAAGCCAGGATGATGCGACGTTGTTTGTCTCTATCCCCTGCTTTGACCTACCTCTCAATTTCAAACTAAACATAAACTTAAATATTTAATATACTTGTTAACATCAACGATATTGAAAAAAATGTATGTTGCTTTTGATCAAGCCACAAAATGTGTTGAATGGTTTTCCTATTCTTCATTAAACCATAAAGCTTTCATACAGAGCGGCAAATACTGCAAGCGTAAAAAAATGCGACGGTATTTACCGCGTAATCATTCCCACTAGGCGGTTTTTAACGCTGGAATCTATCAGCCGTGCAGTGCTGTTCTCTGATAATTGTCGTGAGTGTTTGTGAACTATGTTTATTAATTAATGGCTGCTCAGAGTAAAGAAAGAAGGCTCTTCTTTTATACTTGCTACATAAAAGAGAGCAAAGGAAGAAAAAAAAAGGCGGTGCTGGGTTCACAACGTAGTAAATTTAAAACCGCAAGAAGGAGAATTTGCCACACTATTTGAAAAATTAAGTCAAAATTAAGTGAAGTAAAAATTTTTAAATTATTTCCGAATATCAGCCGAAAGTTTTGACGAATTGTTGTCATATGTCCTTGGCAAATCCACCCACAACAATACGCAGATGAGAGACGCCGTGCCTGCCATTGAAAAACTGGCTTTAATTCTCAGGTAAAGTATTTTGATTTCCCTATCTGACCCCCTCGCCGACTCTCTGCCTGTACCACACTATGATGTGGCGTTAAAAAAAGCTTAGTGAGAAAGATTACATTGAATACCATTGCAAGCTAAATTGTTGCGGCAAATCTACAACAGCACTTTCAGCAGTACACACGCGGGCATCAGGCGTCAAATTCTATGTGGCGTTAAAATCTTTCCTATGTACATTTTGTATGTCCGCTGAGGTTCGGCGGTAAATACAGTTGCGT